ATATACGTATGTAGTTTCAGTCTATATACGCAATTTGTAACTAATCTATGTCCATTTCGTATACGTATCTATGTACTTAGAGAAATTAATTTAGTTTCATTATATGTCCATATCTTATCTATATATTATAGATATATATAATTAAAGTATTAATTTCTTTTCATTCTTATACGCAATTTGTACCTAATCTATGTCCATTTCGTATACGTATCTATGTACTAAGAGAAATTTGTTTTATATAAAATGGCTGACGTGACAGGGTGCTTTTTAATTGTTTATATCATGTTTTAAATATTTTTAACGTTAAAATATATACAGGTGCATTTTATAAAGAACAACATTACTTAATTAAGGTAAAGAAATGAAAACGATAATATACAGTATATTCCGGATATTAGTATGTCCGTTGTAGGATTCGGTGATGAATATACAGGTTCGTTCTTCACCTTCCGGCACGTAATTATATCTTGATTCAAGAGAAAGATAAGTTTTTTAACTTTTAACATGATATTTATGACTTAAAGAAAAAATATTTTTTTAGGGCGAAACAACCTGGGGCGAACGGGATTTGGGGCGAAACAACCCTTAGGGCGAACGGGATTTGGGGCGAAACAACCCGTTACCATCCAGGATGATCCGATCATATCATATATTAGCTGATTAGTGTGTCCAGCAGACCAGCACCTGTCGATACCAGATTTAACTGTTCATGCACAGGGGTTCGTTACAAATGTCTGAAATACACATGCTATTAACATGTATGTTTATGTGTGCTGTTACCTATAATCAGTATAGCATCGTACTTCAGACCATGAGACAAATGTAACGAACAACTGACAGGTGACCTGTGTCTGTGGTTCATGTCGACATGTGTCGGGCCAGAGTTGGGTAACAACGACAATGTTATAAACAGCTCACGAAATGAAAGCAATGTCATTTCCTTAACTACCTGATCGCAATTCATGTATGGTCTGGAAAGCTTATATAACCTAGGCCCTAATTCCTGTGTCGTGTTTCACGTCGTCTGGTGTTTTTAGGAGATTTCCTAGGAAGAACGATAACTCCATCATAAAATGAAGGTTACACACTACCAATGTCACATAATATAACCTAGCCCATGAAGAGACATACAAACCACACGTATTATCACGGAATTAAAAGAAAACCATTGTATATAAGTACATAAGTACCAGACATATTTCATCCCCATCCATACTTTTTATTACATGTACATATTTCATTTTTTTTAACATTTTGTATTAAATTATTCAATGATAAACGAAAATTAATATACGCAAAGATAATTTCAATTTATATATATCCTTTCGTTTCTTTTCTCTACGTTTATCGGTTTTTTTTTTTTTTTTATCTTGAAAGTACTTTTTCTGAAATAGTGTGGTAAGATAAACATGAAAAATCTCTTTGATAAAATGAAGATGCCAATTACGTGTTGTTGAGGTTTTTTTTCTTTTTATGTAATATAATAATATAATAATATACATATGTATGTATATGTACCGAACATCAGTGAGGACTTCATGATTTAGTTAGATATGACACTGTATTAGTAAAATACGGAGATATACACAGAAAAATTAGTTTTTTTTTTTTTTTAAATATGCCATGATGCATAAAGAATTTAGAGGGGGTCCGTAAATCAAGGGGCCGTATTCGTGAAACCGTTTTTATGCTCAAACTCAGATTTTGTGCTAAAGAAAAATGTCCTGTTCCAGTGATCAATGGAAAATAATCATTTTGTCAACGATTTCGAAGAATTTTTGTGTCTTAAAGCTGAGCATCATTTCAATGATAATATTTGTCTTTTCGAGCGTGTCAAATTATTTGAGCGAGTAACAGATCTAGAGTTTGTTTGAGCACAGAATCCATGCTTGAGCACAAGAGCGGTTTTAAGAATACAGGCCGGGATATCGGTAATATAAGTTCAGTCTCACTTCAATGTTGGCCATTTCATACGTTTTTATGAACCTATGACATGTTTGAAACGACGGTTACAAAAATATAACATGAACACGAATATCAATTATAGGACATTTTATTGATCCCATGATTGCATGTTACTACATAGAATTCGCCAGAACAAAACTGACCAATACAAAACGAACAGAACTTTGCATGCTGGTAATTCTACAGAACCTGGTGGTCAGGTTGACTGAATGTATAATTAGTGGTCATTGCAGAATCAGTTCATTTTGATTAGCGAATATACCAAGCACTTGTTAAATATAGGAGGGACCACTAGCTGTCAAAATCCAAGAGAATGAATTCCTTCCGAAAAAATAGCCGCAATCAGCGTGAAACAACTGGTGGTTTGAACTGACCTTTATATATATATCAATACAGCTTACAACTAAAGATCAACTTTGGAAACATCTACGGTAGCCCATTACAGGTCGATATCAACATTGATAGAACTGACATGTACTTGATCAACAAACGCAAGACACTTTTTTCATGAAAATCCTTTCAGCCATGGTGAACTGACTTCAAACTGACAAATGCTACATGGTCAAATTCCGGCTCCACAACTTCTCAAATCACATAATGGCCAAAAGAAAAATGTTAGCAACTGACCAATCAGACAATTCAACACCATCGAAACTTATCAATCAGACCACTGCTGGTCAACACTAGCTTAGTTCTAAATGGCCAATTCATCAGGTATCGGTTCAGTTCTTCATGAGACCACTAGTGGCCAAGATCCGCACAGTTACAATTCAATTAAACAAACATAAGGTACAATATATGTAACATTGGTCACACACCATTCCAATCGGATCGGATCGTGACCCGAATACAAAACATCAAACGTCTATTCCGTCACCGGCTGCCATCCACATTCTGCTCTTTGAACGGCGCAACGAATCTGCAATGAAATAGACAAATAACAAGCTTAAGATTTCATGTAAACTTAATGCACAATCTATCTGTTCTCCACTTCAGAATTTGTGGTCGTGGTTGAAGTAAGGACATGCATCAAGGAAAATTAATTAAAAATATATTCATTAAATTTATTATCAAAATCAAAACAATATTTTCCATTTTTTTATTCTTATTATTTCGAGGAGGAAAATATCTACCAATGACATGTTACCTAGAGAGGGATATAGTACCAACCCAGTGAGGGACATAGTACCTAGAGAGGGAGAGTACCTACAGAGGGAGAATACCTACCTATTAATGGACATAATACCTAGTGAGCGACAGTGCTCCTAGAGAGGGATATAGCACCATCCTAGCGAGGGACATAGTACCTAGAGAGGGAGAGTACCTATAGAGGAAGAGTACCTACCTATTAATGGACATAATACCTAGTGAGTGACAGTGCTCCTAGAGAGGGATATAGCACCATCCTAGCGAGGGACAATGTACCTAGTGAATAACAGTGTTATTAGCGAGGGATAAAGTACCAAACTAACAATGAAAAGAGTACATAGAGAGGGATATAGCACCATCCTAGCGAGGGACATAGTACCTAGTGAGTGACAGTGTTATTAGCGAGGGATAAAGTACCAATCTAGCAAGGAACAGCGTACATAGAGAGGGATATAACACCAATCAAGCGAGGGACATAGTATCTGTTGAGAGGCAGAGTACATACCTAGCGAGTGACAGGGTACCAGTAGTTGATCTGACGCTGGATGCACACTGGGAACAATACAACATGCTCCTCCTCAAAATGCTGGACGAACTTCCTCTCCAAGTACAGCTCTTTCCATGGCAGCTCTTTGGTCAGTACCTCCGACAACTCTAGTCCATAATAAAACAACATCATGGCGTTTGACCTTTTTGCGAAATTCGCCTTGTCCTCCTTACGAGTACCGGAGGGCTTCCACAAGGATCTCCTTTTAACCTGACACGGGGCAGTACCGCAGTGACGGCAGAGGGAAGGACCTGTACAAACAAATATTTATGTTAGGTCAAATTTCCGAAATCAAAGTTTTACGTTTTCGGCACACAAAATTTTACTTTCTATGCATCCTTAGATTTTATCAGAAAGAATCGGGGACTGACAGTTAGCTATCTGGCTGGTTCCAGACACGCAAAATCTTATCAATTATAGGGCTTATAATTATGGAAATGGTACTTTAAAGTTTTTCAAAGAGCTACTCTGAGATCAAAGCCTGTCAATTTTACAATTACACTGTGCGTTACCAAACAATTCACTTCAATATTTAATAAAAACATTGCTTTGGGAACACAGGTATGCAAGGTTCTAAAATGGTTTTCAGGCTAGAAAACGTCTATCATAGACAATGTGGCGCGTGAAGGTATTTTTTACAACCCTTGGTCCATTAAAAGGTACATTAAATTTCAAAAATTGACATACCGTCAAAAGAAAAAGGGGGAAAGGTGGTCAAAATACAATATGTCAGATATTTAATTTAACAAAAACATCTTATCAAACGACGAATGGCTACTTACGAGATCTCCATTCTCGGAACATTGACACGGCGGCTGACCATTTCTCTTTGACGATTTTTCCGACCGACGGCGCATAGCGCAATAGCAAGGTAAGAAGCACACACAGCAGATTATAAAATACCTCCATTCCAATTCGCTAAAATAAATCAAATCATAGTTTTTTTTCTGGAAATTGTACTATACTACAAACATTCAATTTTCCAGACCCGCAAATTCTTCCTTAGATACCGACACCGGAGAAGAAAACCGTTTTTGCCCCAACTGGAAGCAAATATGATAAAAATTGCGAAAACACTCACCGAAATCATACGAAACGAAATGCACACGCGTAAAAATAATAGGTATGATAATTTCTAGAGAAGTAGAATAAGATACGCATCATCACAAGCATACGCTTACTTAATTATTAGTAGAAAAAAAGTGTTGACGTTTTCTTTACAGTCATTAATATAACAAATATGTAATCCTCACCCATGTCAGATTGGCAACCGTTGGACAGACTTGCTCAATTTCTCCTGCGTTGAGATAATGAAACAATCTTTTGGCATATCCTAGCTCAGGCTCCACGCTTCAGAGGTAAAATTTCAAGGTTATTATTAAATATTTCTAAACTTTTAATGTCAGCATATTCGTCAACTTGAAAAGATTATTAAAATGTATTTAAGCGCCGTGAGTTCCTTACGTAATGTAAAGTAAACATCTAAGATCCAATCTTACAAGATACAAGATACAATCTTACCATGTCTGGTCCAAACTTACCACGTAAGGTCCCGATAAACAGCAGGCCCCTGATGCATGGTGCACATCATTACCACAAATATCAAGAACAACCTGATATTCATTGTGGAAATCGAAGATTTAAACATAAGAAGTAAATAACAGGAGAGTGACTGATCATCTCCGCCTTCGCTGATTGCTAAGCAGCTTAGCAACAAGAATGTGACGTCACAAGTCGGTAACACTATTTTTACCAATCATGACGTCATGCTATTGTCTTTTACCTACTAAGTGCAAGCGATTACACGTTTGGTGACTATGTGTATGGTACCAAAATGTCTTCTGTTATGAGTCGAACCAAGGACTAGCGACAGTGAGTGATTCTAGTAGGTGTCGAATTCGGTACTAATAGCGACAGGATATGTTTACCTTAGAATTCCACTAAAACTCGAACACATGACAAGCGACATCTGGGCCCGTATATAACTAATATATATATTCATTAAACATTGGAAAAATCAGGGTTTTTTATCAATCTGTAACCGCAACAAGAAGTTAGGCTTGAACACAAAATCCTTGCTTGAGCATGAGAAAGACTAAGGTATGTGTTTCCGTCAGAAATTGGAGACACAACGAAAATAGAGGATAGATACATCTGTGATGTAGCCGGGATCAAATATGTGTTTCCTAAACACACATTCTGATACGGCGTCTTTCCGTCCACTCGTTCGCCCGTCCTTCTGTCGGCAGAGCCGATACACATTTTAGGGTTCCCACTGCGTATTTGATTCTCCATCCGCTACTTGACTCGTATAATGTAAAGAGCAAACGGAATGCATTTTTGTTTTTCGAATAGTCAACACTTAAATAATACTGCGAAATGTGCAGCATCCTTCATCCGGGAATATAGCTTTTAGAGAAGGAAGCCTTATACGGAAAACGTGGAAAGGGGTCACCTGTATGTCGTCAGTGTCTACAGATAATCAACCATTTCACCTTTCTAAGTTATTAGAAGATGGCACATCATCAACATTTATGTTTCAATCTCGCAAACAATTCGATGTACGTGTAGTTTGTAGATTCAAATTAACATTTGATGTGCGTGTAGTTTATAGATTCATATTAACATTTAATATAAACTTTATTTCATTCCAAATTAAGTTGCATTACATCACATAACATACAAAGTACAGAGGAATGGGATCCGGAAACATTTGATGGAATAAAGAAAATATTGATGTTTAATCGAAGGCTCATACACCCGTACACATTTTAAGATGTTTGTTCTACAACCATGAAAAAGTGCATATATTTTGTTATGGTTATAAACTAAAATCAATTTAAGTACCCTTGTCTTTATAAAAACAAATGTGTTCGCACCACAAGGCCAAACGGACTCTTATTTCATGGCATGGTCATTAAAATCACACGTTTTAAAACATTATTTACTGTTTAACTTCACCTATATAGTAACAAACAATTATAATAGAACTTTGAGTTTGTGTATGACACTTTTCATTAATATTGCTGAAATTCTTCTTGTCATGTGGTAATTGCATATTAAAATATACAAATATTGCCTCCATGTGAGGGGCTCCTTTCGAATTGTCAACCCGAAAGAGGTAATCATTATCATTATTTGTAACATTTTAAAAGGTTTTATATGCCCCTTTCTGTGCTTTCTAAACTATTTTTAGACATGTTTTTATTCTTGTGACTTAAGTAGACGAAATAACCATACGATGAAGTAAAATAAAATGATTTGACTTTCAGTCTCGACAAAATAAATTTGAAACGGATGCAAATCACATATCGGCAATAACTATTTTATTTTACAGAATATTTCAAATTAAAACAAAAGTCAAATAATAACGAATACATTTTTACACCAATCAGAATGTCAACATAGTGTGGCAGAGACCGGGCAAGTTCGACGCAAGTTATTCTGGACAGTATGACATTTGTTTTAATTAATGTGTATATGTATCATTTAAAGAGAAACTTCATGACTTTCATCAAATATTAACAAAGGGGCAAATACGTTCATATTTGAAGAATTGTTTAACATTTTTTGTCGGAAGATTGGATGGCCGGAACGTGGCCCGCCTTTGGCAAATAAGTCTGGGGGTAAGTTCGACCACCGTTGGAATCAGCATAATTATGATGTTATAAAGCATGCAACGTCCGAACGAACCTGCCCAGGTATCATCGGCCGAACCTGCCCAAAATCAATATTTCATTAAAGTATGACTCATGGTAGTTAGCTAATTTTCAAATTTTAAAGACACTCCGTAAACTCATGTCTTTATACTATTTGGAAATTAACATACTATAGTTAGATAAACACGGTAACCAACCATCACTCGTTGAGAACCAATGATATGTCAAACCATACTGTTTATAGACCACAACCTTTGCATAGGAACACTACTGTATAGTTTCTCTATGTTAAATTATCATAGTTGTCGATGGGCCGTTCAACTCAAACAAAAACAAAACAAAAACAAATTAAAGTACAATTTCCGTATGGTATCAGCATGCATCGTGTCTGCATAATCGACTTCATACAAACCCTAGCGTTTCAATTGTAATAACATTGCACTTCAAACTGCAACTGGTTTCCTCAAAGTAGCAGCCTCCGAAATTTCGTTATCTATGTCTGGTATCAAATTTCTGGACAGAGCAAATTGAAGCCGTCTTATTCACTAGCGCTTATGTAAAATGTCTCCAGAAAATGTGCCAGTAAGACTATGTCCAGAACCTCGTTTATCCCGAGTAAACAATGTTATACAATTACATTTAAACTGTTAAAAATTTGATTTACTTAACTACATCTTTATCAGACATTCTTGTAACAAGTTCAGCTTCCATTGAACTCGCGAACCTATCGGTAGCCATCGGGCTAAAGACTAACACCCGTAGCCGGCTTTTGTTTGCTAAACCCTTATATACTGATGTTTCACAACATTGATACAACGCGAGTGCGCTCTCATGGCAAATTCGCAAACTGTTATATCGGCGAAAAGCAACAGCTGCAGATTTCGGCGATAGATAAAGAAGTGATACCTGACTGTACGAGCTGATCATGGTATATACTATTATTTTATGATTACTTGTTAATTATTGGTGAACATTATAAATGCTTTTGAAACGTGTGTCTGCTAACTAGGATCCTGCAGAAGAAGACCTTTGATCACATTTTTCATTTCCCTTTTACCGTTTTCGTGTTTGATTATAGTAATAGCAGGAACGATTACTCGATCATTGATATGGAACTCTCCACGTTCACCTGCAGGATATCGATAATGAGATTTTGAAATTTCCCAACAGAATACCAAGGGAGGTGTTTCCAATAGCATGAGCCATACAAGCTTAATACACGCATCTACGAAATTTCTCATTTGGTCATGCTTTCGATCTTTGTCACGCATCGATATGATTTGCGAGGGCAATTTGGTAGAGTAAGGTTTGCATATCTTCTCCGGCCAAACTTCGTCGAAAAATTTCTGAAACAAAAATAAGTTCTTGAACAATGTTATTCTACTGTGAACGGAAAATGCATTTTTTACAATCGAATGTTAGTGCAGCAAAAAATTGACTTAACTCTGTGCATTGCATATACGCATTTGAAAAATAGAACCAGTCGGCATCATTTTATTATAAACCGACAATGGTCACACAACGCAAACAATATATTTTAGAAAAGTTGTGCAGAAATATATTCAATACTTCACGAACACAAAAAAAGAAGAGATTTCCATTTGGTTTGCGTAGAATAAGACAATTTAAAAGACACACTTGCTGGCTTGTATTGGTACATATAAATGATAATCAATCTGACACAACACCTGGTATCTGAACTACGACATGAACTGTGTAAAACATACATATTCTTCTTTCAATACCTGCATTAGATTTATTATAGCAACTTACCAATGAAAATATCAAGGTATAGAAGTAGCATGACTATAAATTTACCAGCGACACTTTTTTGAAATATTAATTTAATTCATTTTCTCCAAAGCTTTATTTCGTCTTATACATGTACACATATTGCGAATTATAGTTGTTAATAATTTGAATATTCAAATCCAAATAATTTATATATGTAATTAGTGGACCAACTCTGACCTATTCACTGCCGATACTTATGTTGCTGTATAGGAATTGTAAAGTAAAAGATGAATACTTTGCCAAAGAAAGTTACTCTAAGTCAGAAAAAAACTCATTTTAGTTTACTTTAAAGGAGAAAAAAAACAAGTCTAAAGCATAGCTCTAAACACGTCCAGTTCTTTATTTTTTTTTTAAATTAAACTCTTTTCATTTTGCAACACTATTGCAATTAATCACTGTTATTTTGCCAAATGGTAGCGGCTCTCATTAGAGTTTAAATTTAGAAGGATATCGGAGTATCCATAGAAAATAGTGGTAGGGCAGATGACTTCATACCATTTCACGGCGGATCGGGGAATCGAATCCTGACCATGTTTGTAAAAGGCAATATCCAAACATACGCCAAGGTTCTTGACAGGCATGGTGATGGGAAGCTTAAATTAAGTCTAGACCATATCGGATTTATAGATTATCACACTATCTTCAGGGCTTAACATGAGAAAAAAAAATTGTATTGACAGCATGTGGATAAAATCGAGAAGCTACCTCGCGTCCACCTGCGGCCTCTCGCATAGCTGTCAAACCTCCTTCATTAGGAGGGAGAATCTCTCAATACGACCAAAATTTACTTATCTTCCTCAAAACTTCCTCATTCAAGTCCAAACTCACACAAACTTAAACTCTACATCCTGTAGTCAAATTATTTCCTAGTTACTGCAGGGTGTGTGTAATGATCATAACAGGCGTGTCGGAATCAAATGAATGCTTTCTGGAGTTATTTTGATACCTACAAAGGTGGGAATAAACTGAGTAAAGCAGTTTCAGTCGTATTTCGCGAAATGTGAAATGAGGGAGATTTCGTATACGTTCGCAAATGGCTTAATCTATTCCCAAGTTGTTATCAAGTTGTTCTAAAGTCGTTCTCAATTTCTCCTTGAGTTTTCTCACACTGGCAGCCCGTGATAATGAAGGTTTATCGTGCCACCGGTAGGTGGTAATAAGTTGTTTAAAGGTGTACATATTGATCAAGATCTTGTAAGTTTAGTATGTTAATACGTTAAATCCAATTTACCTGATATAACGCCTTTTCGATAGCGTATCCAAGTGTTCGTTGAAGGTTGAGGATGTTACCCTTTTCCTGTAACAAATAAAACTAGAGTTGTTACCCAGGGGGATGACAAGTATATACAAATGGTTCAGGGGACACATATACATATGGTATTGTCACTACGTAAAAATAAAAACCAAAGAAATCTACTGAAAATGAGCGAATGCATAGCATGACAACTTTTGTATACGGATAGACGGACGGACGGACGGACGGACGGACAGACAAGCTGATTCCAAGGGGCTATACTAACCGTGATATTGATAGTATGTCCCTAGTAATTTAGGATAAGTATTCTCACAGGATTAATGGGTAGGTTCAACGCTGTGTTGGTAGTTTTAGACAATGCGCAAGTGACGACACGGCTACATTAGTTATTCTATTTAATTTTGGATTTGAATTCTGTAATATGTTTTATTTGTCTCATTATTTATTTTTGCATTTAATTCAAGTCTTCACAAAAATATTTAATATATAAATTATGCTAGCAAAAGTTTGAAACCAAAAGCAGTATAATATGAAATATAACATATTTGTACACAAATTCATCAGGATATAAGGCGAAAACATATAAGGTTGTCAGCATTCAAGATTTTCATTGAATCGTATTCAACTACTAGATGTTTTGAATGCGTGATGTTCGTCATCATATCATAGTACCTACTTGTTCATCAACGTGCAGAAGGTCTGCAATCTTTCTGATTTGTTCCCGTTGTTCTTCACTGACAAAGTCAAACACAGCCTGGAATATAAACTCGATATTGAGGATCCCCATACCACCGCAGAAAATTGAAATAGTTATTTTCCCGACAAAACTATAGCTTTGATAAATCATTTTTGAAAAGACAACCTCACCTTGCGGGACTTTCATAAAAAAATAATTGAGATGAATTAATTAGTATAATCAACAACTGTATTCATTGCTGAAACCTATGAAGCTAACTGGACAACGGAAGTGTACGAGCCCAAATGTGCTACAGTTGTATCAACACGGAAGTTAAGAGGAGGTTACTGTAAATGTATAGGAAAAATGGCAGTGCAGCGGGACAGGGCCATTTAGGTAAACATTTGTTTTAGTTTTACTGTCAAGATAACAAACTTATGCAACGAGTGATAATTGAACATCAAGCCAAGAATTACCAGTCGCTCCTACTGACCACTACACAATCTCACTGGACACTGGACACCAAACCTTGTTATGAAATGACTTACTGACAATCCTTCAACCACAAAGGAACGGATCCCGCATACCTGAATCTATTTCATTTAATTATATACATTGTTAGTGGCATTAACTTTGTCGTTCAAAATATTCCAGTCACGCTCAATATCCTTATATTTTGCACTATTGTCACTCAATAATTGTTCCACGGCACGCGAATGTACTGTTTTAACCGCACGTTTAGGTCTTTATGTCAACAATTTGGTAATAACGTCATCTTCTGAGAGAAAGAAACCGGGACATTTGAGATTATTTACATAAATGATAATTCATACCTTTTGTCAAAATTGCAGCGATTTTTGCAAATATTTCTTTTGCCAAAGTACCTATTAGGCTATTTGACTATTTTGGATAAAATATCAACCATCTTTTAGGTTGACGCGTCAATCATAGCCCCCCGCCCATTTTAATAATAGTTATTACTTCTCGAGACTGCTACGAAGACATATTTTGCCACAACGCTGCTTTTTTGGTTTGTTATCACATATTCGTTTTATACAAGTGAAATAAATATATCGTATTCAACGGGAAAACCATGACATTTTCTATTTCTTCCCCTTTTTCACGTCATGCTGGGCAAATATTGCTACACCAGAAAAGCGCGGGAATGTGTAACGTTCGTAACTTTTGACGCTAAGTTGTAATGACGGAGCGCCATTTTGAATGGGTTTTCACTGCAATTTTGCCGTTTGCTAGTATTATTTGGTATGATTTCCAGATAAAAAGGATATTAATTGTGTAGTTTAGGTAAAAACAATAATGTATGCTGCAAAGGTACACAACACAACCACTTATTCTGCCGTCACCCATCTAAACTTGAAATCTACACAGAGAATATAATGTGCCGTTCAGATAGGACAATACTAAGAGTGAAGTTTTTATTTGTGAAGATATAATGTTTCGTTTATTTTCACTGCATTAAAGATATGGTTTTATCAAATGGAGTATTCATGATATTTCACTAGTAAACTGCAATAAAAACCGATACCGTAGGGTTTACCATCATATTTTTGTAGACAGTATGTGGCCTCAGTTTCCCAGAAGGCTTCATGCATGGGGAAGCACCGGAAATGGACAAAGTGTTGACAGATGAAACCCCGCTTGGGGGGTTTGAAAAAAACCCCGGTTTCGATGCCGCAGTGGCCAAGAGCCTGAATTCTATCGAGATGGTAAATGTCGGCAGCTCCTAGGCATTCAATAACTAAACTAGAAATTTATAGTCATACCAGTCAGAATTTTCTACGACATAATATACTAGTCAAATATCAGCGGCGAATCAAGTAGGGTTTTGGAATTCTTAAAAAACCCGAAAACTTAATTTGATATTAAAACTTTTCATGCATGTATCATTTGGAAATATTCTGGGACCACATTCAGACACCTCCCTGATTTGCATCAAACTTTTGTTTCGTCGTTGGATAATTCAGTATTACGGGGCAATGCTAATCTGAATACATACAAATCTTACGAAGCAATTTAAATGAAGGAATGATCATATGGCTGACAAATGTAACATGTTATATGTTAGTGAAGATTAAGTAAACAATTACCTTAACAATGTCCAGTAATAAATCGGAGATATCTCTTCTTGATACAGCGTTTCCTTTTTTCTCAGGATTTGCATATTTGACGACAACCTGACTACGAGCGAGACTGAGATTGCGAGCTGCATGTTCTATAGGCCTGTCCCAAGCACTGGAACTAGTTGTCTTTTTTTTTGTTTTTCCTCTCCTTGTTGTAGCTTCAACCTGGTAACAGAGCAATTAGAAACAATAGGTTCATGAATACATTCTTACACATAATAAGATATGTAAAAGGGGATCGTTAACCGCAGATATTTTATAGTTAGAGATATTTCTATTTTGGATTCAATAGCAAAAAGAAATCTCTTCCAACTTAATAAAAAGTTGAGTTTCTTTTGCAAATTTAAACCTATCTAAACATGTCACTGACGGCACAATCAAGAAAATAATCATTCGTGAAACTTACGTATTTACAGTATATACTTATTGTTAATGTAGTGTATTACATTTAGATCAAGGTAGACATTCTTTTGTATGTCTAAACTTGTACTTCAACGTATAACGTTATAGTATAGTGTTCTCTGATAAAAGATATAACATTTCTTAAGAAAAGTATATTAAAGGAATAACTAGGTATTTTTGATCAGATTTTGAGGTGATAAATCCAGTCTATGGGTTTACTCGTTCTCAACTGGCGTTATCACCTCAAAATCTGACCAAAAATAGCTAGCTATTCCTTATATATGCAGTCATATTCTATGAATGGTTTAGAAATATTTGAATTCGTTAGTTTCACCAGCGGATATAAAATGCATTTCTAAAATACATAAGCGTGTGATCGGTTCAATAACAACAACTGCCTGACCTGTACATAAGCCACGGTTAAGCTCCATTAACGTGTATTGCTGCCGACGTCATGAAAACATGTCACAATCTTTGGTAAGGTTATGAGATGCTAGTTCTAGTTTGCGGGAACAATGGTTATTAAGCGAATGTCAGTGAAACCTATTAATATTATGATTTATCATTTGCACTTAAGACTAATTAGTAATACCAAATTTAAGGTTCTCGTACAATTCGCACAAATGCTGCATTTTAAGGAAATGGGGTTGTCATGTTTGGGCACAAAAAAGCCGCAGTCGAAAAACTTTTGGGCAAAATGTACGCGGTTAAACGGATACACAGAACAATAGTTGTATATATTGTACAAGTAATGTATGTTTTAATGTTTATATTTGTTCAGAACTTAATCATCCCGTCGTAAATATCTTTTGTATCGTAAATCCCCTGACAGCGTGTTTTATATCCAGTAACGGTAGCTTATTTTAGTATTGTCGTTTTCTGAACATAATTGTCCACTATGTGATATAACCTAGTTCGTTAATTTCATTGCAGGTGTAACACATATATCTACTTCGGTTTTCCCCTTTTCTGCCACTTCCTCCACCCTTTCCCCTATAAATGGGCCTGAAATACGTCATGTTGCGGTCATGCGTTCATTTGCTTATGACACTGCACTTATGGATATCCATACATCAAAATATTTTGAAATTAATGCACATTTAGACGCATCTGTCAATGCATGCACTGAAAACATTGTAACAAAATTTCAGATATCTTGTAGTTATGGTTTTTATTATCTTTTTAAGACCAATGCTTTTTATAACGGTAGCAGATTTATCCAATAGTTCGAAAATAGAAATTTTGTACTAAAACAAAACCATGGACATTCTTTGCTTCAAGTAACATTCTTCCAAAAAGAAACCAGAGAAAAACACCATGGTCACTTAAGCGATCAAAATAATCGAATAATTGCTCGATTCCGCGGTTTTTAAACCCGATAGTGACAACCCTTTCCCTAACAAGTTACTTTGCCAAATGTACTAAGTCTTTTAATTCGGTATTACCCAAAATGTTTCGGTAAATGTCACCTTTCTCCTAATAATATTTACCGATCTTGTAAGGCCGTCACTTCATCTTTTTCATAGTCACGTATTTCCTCTAGCTGCTTGAATATTTCTTCCTGAAGTCAGCAATCAACAACTAATAGTCAACTACGTAATGTAGGGTTTTAAACGACCCAGTGTTTACATTGTGATAAGGGTAAAAACGACTCGGTGTTTACATTGTGATAAGGGTATAAACGACTCAATGTTAGCATTGTGATCAGAGTATGACTAATCAGGTTTAACATTGTTAAAAGGAATAAACGACTCACTGTTCACATTGTGATAAAGGTATCAACGACTCAATGTTAACAGTGTGACATGAGTATAAACGACTCAGTGTCAACATTGTGATAAGGATATACACAACTCAGTGTTCACCTTGTGATACGGGTATAAACGAGTCGGTGTTAATATTGTGAAAAGGGTATAAACGACTCGGTGTCAACATGGTGATCAGGGTATAAACGACTCAGTGTTAATATTGTTAAAAGGGTATAAACGACTCAATGTTAGCATTGTGATCAGAGTATGACTAATCATGTTTAACATTGTGTAATGGTATACACGACTCAGTGTTCACATTGTGATAAAGGTATAAACGACTCAATCTTAACAGTGTGACATGAGCATAAACGACTCAGTGTCAACATTGTGATAAGGATATAAACAACTCAGCGTTCACATTGTGATACGGGTATACACGAGTCGGTGTTAATATTGTGAAAAAGGTATAAACGACTCGGTGTCAACATTGTGATCCGAGTATAAACGACTCGGAGTAAGCATTGTGATAAGGGTGTAAATGACTCAGTGTTTACATTGTGATAATGGAATAAACGACTCAATTTTAACATTGTGATAACAGATCAGTTATAACAATGGTGTAGCCTTAGAATAGATAACCATGCACCAATTTTTGTCTACAGACAGTTAGTGTTTAAGTTTAAATAGCACCAGAAAACGTAATTCAAGCTCAAAAGTCAGTGTTTTGTTTACGTTCTTAACAGATGGCGCGTGTAGCGACTATGCACTCTGTTTTGGACAGTAGGAATAAATTCACTCAATAGAAATGCTTGTTTTCATATAAATTCAAAGGATCATTATAAAATGTTAATAAGCTGACAAAAGAATATTCATTTGAAGTGTAAGATACTACAAAAGGCTTGACCCGAGATGGGTCCTGACATTCGCAAAAAACCTGAAACGCTGATTGGTGACGTCAGATTGGGTCCGCACAGTGATCAAATTAGTGGCGATATATATAAGGAATTATGTCTGGATGTTTCCAACATCAGAAAGTATCAACTAGGTGAATTAACCTACACGTAACACTTTTACTGTATTATCCATGAATTTCCACGAACATGGCGAAAGCGGCATGTAAACACTAGGCCCAGGCCTACACACGCCGGAACGCACACGCCGCACATAACAAGGTCAATACTACAAACCACCGAATCCCGGGGTTGGAATTAAGACACTAAATCTCCCTTCTATATGTATGGCATACGAATTAAAATTCTTTCATATTTTTATCAATGAATGATCCATGACACAAAAAACGTGACGTGTCTAGCTACTACACTTTCCGCTACAATAAACGCCGCTTTCCTCGAACCGGGTGTCAACTCTGGCCTTTCCTGGCTGTTCCCCCGAATCATCATCCCTCGACTTCAACGTACCCTGTTGTTACTTTCTCTATGTAGAATCGCCTAAGTTACTTTATGCTAAGGGTTTACACGACTCGCTGTTAACATTGTGATAAGAGAATAAGCGACGTGTTGTTAACATTGTGATAAGAATATAAACGACGAGGTGTTAACATTGTGACAAGAGTATAAACGACTCGCTGTTTACATTGTGATACGGATTTAAACGACTCGCTGTTAACATTGTTGTAAGAGTATTAACGACGTGGTGTTAACATTGTGATAAGGGTATAAACGACTCGCTGTTAACATTGTGATGTGGATTTAAACGACGTTGTGTTAACATTGTGATAAGAGTACAAACGACATGGTACCAACATTGTGATAAGGGTATAGACGACTCGGTGTTAACATTGTGAAAATAGTATAAACGACTTTGTATCAACATTGTGATAAGGGTATAGACGACTCGGTGTAAGCATTTCGATACTGGTATAAAGGACTCAAGTGTTTAAATTGTGAACAGGGTATGAACGCCTCCATTTTTACATTGTTATAAGGGTATAAACGACTCATTGTTAATATTGCGATATGAGTATAAACAACTCAAGGTTAACATTGTAATTATGGTATAAACGACTCAGTGATAACACTGTGATAAGAGTATAAACGGCTCAGTGTTAACATTGTGGAAAGAGTATTAACGACTTAGTATCAACATTGTGATAAGGGTATAGACAACTCGGTGTTATCATTGGGATATGAGTATAAACGACTCAGTGTTAACTTTGTAATTATGGTATAAACGACTCAGTGATAACACTGTGATAAGGGTATAAACGACTCAGTGTTAACATTGTGAAAATAGTATAAACGACTTAGTATCAACATTGTGATAAGGGTATAGACGACATTGTAGTAAATAGTATAACTGAAAACTATGTACATGTAACCTATCAACAATTTAGTCAACATCGCTATATAAAGTGCAAAAGACCCCATGTCATACACGTTGATTAAGCAAAAACAGTGAATATATATGATAGTAATTAATGGTATCAATAACTTATCGACAACAGCGCAAGGTTGGATACGCGACTCAAAATAACACTATTATATAGGGCCTTCACCACATACATTCTACAAGGTAACAAGGGTAGGGAGTACTCAAAACAACAATATCATTTAGGGTCTTCACCACTTACATTCTACAAGGTAACAAGGATAGGGAGTACTCAAAATCAACAATATTATATAGGGTCTTCAACACATATATTCTACAAGGTAACCAGGGTAGGGAGTACTCAAAATCAACAATATTATATGGGGTCTTCACTACATACATTCTAAAAGGTGACAAGGATAGGGAGTACTCAAAATCAACAATATCATGTAGGGTCTTCACCAAATACATTCTACAAGGTAACCAGGGTAGGGACTACTCAAAATCAACAATATTATAAAGGGTCTTCAACACATATATTCTAGGAGGTAACCAGGGTAGGGAGTACTCAAAATCAACAATATTATATGGGGTCTTCACCACATACATTCTAAAAGGTGACAAGGATAGGGAGTACTCAAAATCAACAATATCATATAAGGTCTTCACCAAATACATTCTACAAGGTAACAAGGTTAGGGACGGACTACTCAAAATCAACAATATTATATAAGGTCTTTACCACATACATTCTACAAGGAACAAGGGTAGGGAGTACAACAATTTCATATAGGGTCTTCAACCACAGACATTCTACAAGTTAACCAGGGTAGGGAGTACTCAAAATCAACAATATCATATAGGGTCTTCACCGCTCTAACTCTACAAAGTAACAAGGGTTGTTGTTGTTTAGGGTAGGGTAGTGACTACTCAAAATCAACAATATCATATAGGGTCTTCACCGCTATAACTCTACAAAGTAACAAGGGTTGTTGTTGTTTAGGGTAGGGTAGGGACTACTCAAAATCAACAATATTATATAAGGTCTTTACTACATACATTCTACAAGGAACAAGGGTAGGGAGTACTCAACATCAACAATGTCACATAGGGTCTTCACCGCTCTAACTCTACAAAGTAACAAGGGTTGTTGTTGTTTAGGGTTTAACGTCCTTTCAACAGCTAAGGTCATTAAGGACGTAGTAAAAAAGGTAGCGAGAACTCAAAGATCACTGATTACTGCTACATGTTTACAGCTTTTTGTTCTAAATGTCTGTGAAACGTTAATTTCGGAAAATACACTTGTCTATCCTTGTCCGTACCTGATGGACATGTACTTACCCATTTCTTCTTCAAAACCTTCAATACCTCCCCGCTCGCCCCATCAGAGAGTGATTTGTCAATCAAATGATCAAAATCCTTACTCATCGCATCCATAATGCACGCAACGCTGAGAGTACAAAACGAACAAGGTACGCATAGACATACAGAAGAGGAGAACACCCCTCAGAGATAACAAGAAATATCACTTCCTTGTAGATAAGTTTTATTTTCCTCACTTCAATGTTTTATCAAGGTAACCGCGATCAAAGAACGTTTAAACAAACAGATATAAATATATATTCATGTTGGTTGTCAAGAGCCTCTTACTGATAGGCGCGTGGCGAGATATATGTACACAAACTTGTTAACAAACGCACAAGAAAGTACACCAAAACGAAGACCGCTCGATTGTTTCCGAGATATTGACATTAAGAAATGTAACTTCTAAAACATATTTGGCATAACCGAGAAGCATAGTATCAGGATTTATTAAATATAAAATATTACAGGGTAAAATCCATATAAAATGCCATATCAGCCCGAAGACCCTATATCAGAACGAGGGCTTTAGCTTATATGATATGTGAGATATCTCATATAGATATATAAGAGATCTTATTTAATTAAAATCTCGTTTCTTAATAGGATATCATATATAGGAACGATATTTTAACAAAATGTCGAAAATCAAGTCTCCCCGTCCATAATCTCTCGGGTGTCTACGTAGGGACAGTACGCTTGTTGTAACAACATGTGATTCTGTCGCCATTATGTCTGAATCCACCTCAAAAGTGCAGAAAATGGCCGTTTCTGCTTTGGCCGCCATAACAGAGGCAAGGCGAGATACAATGTAGGCCAAGGGAAAATGAGCGAATTGCATTTTATATCAGATATCTTATATACGATATTAGATATCTAATCAAGTATACATGATATCTCATATAAGATATCTCATTCAATTTCTTAATCAGATATCTCATAATTCTCGTATGTAAGATATCTTATATGATATATAGGAATCTCATATGCTATTTATTATATATACCCCTTTTATAAGCACAGGGGCCTGACACACGAGATAAGGACTTGTGTAGAGAGTCGTACTATACATATAGATATATAATCATACTACATCCCTTCCGTAAGTCTGTATATCATGTACCCTTTCCCAGTGTTTATGAGGAGCTGAACGGAGTTATCTAATGAGTATTCTGTTATCAAGTGATTACATAAGGCGGTATAAAGTTAGTAATACCTGATCATGCAATATATAACTGTGTTATGTTACCAGCAATATTTCAATATAACTCAAAAACATTCCCTGAAGTCTTCAGGTTAGTCCAAAAATCATAAATGTCCGGCAGATTCTTAATTAAAGAACACCAATCGAACAATAGCAGTACCTATACACTCCAAACGTGGCTTACCTGTAACACCCCTTTAGACTGTCTACTTTCAGTTACACGAAGTGAGGGTCATTATACATTATATCAAAGGACATATTACCCAGAGAAGGATGTAGTTCCAACCTAGTGAGGGACATAGTACCTAGAGAGGGAGAGTACCGACAGAGGAAGAGTATGTACCTGGTGAGTGACAGTGTTTCTAGAGAGGGATATAGCACCATCATAGCGAGGGACATAGAACCTAGTGAAGAAAGTGTTATAAGCTTGGATATAGTACCCATTTATTAAGGAACAGAGTACCTAGAGAGGGATAAAACAACAATCTAGCGAAGGACACGGTACCTGTTGAGAGGCAGAGTACAAACCTAGCGAGTGACAGGGTACCGGTAATTGATCTGGCGCTGAATGAACAGTGGGAACAGAACCATATGCCGGACGAACTATCTCTCCTCGTGCAGGTCATCATGTGGCAGTTCATGTGCCTTTAATTTTGCTATGACATATTCAAGGGGTGAAGAGAGTGTAAGCGAGCGTATCCCCTGGAGTATAGAGGATGGCATTGGACGTCCCAAATGGAACCGTGATAAAAATGGAACCTATTAGTGATAATCTTCACGAGATCCCGTTAGAGTGCGGATGTTCAAAAAGTAATATCGCTCACATTAAATTAGACCCCGATTGAAGGTTGATTTTAATGTGCTTAGCGGTAAATTCAAATTAAACACACAGTCTGATATGACGTCCTTGCATCCACTCGTTCGCCCGTTTTTCTTTCGACAGAGCCGTTAAAAACGTTTAGGGATTCCGATCGCGTACTTGATTCTCCAACCGTTTCTTGACTCATATGATAAACAGAGCGAACTGAATGCAGTCCCTAAAGCTTCTTCAAAGGAATGTTGTCTATAATGCCCTGTTTTGGGCCCCGGTATATTCATAACATTGGAAATAGTCAGAACATTTGATAAAACAATGAAATCGATTAACTTTCACGATTAAAGCAGATACTTTCCTTGAGGCTAGGAGACTTAAAATTACCAGAAAATCAAACTTCATATATTAAATCAATCATTTTACAGTAGTTGTGGTGGCAAATGCCATTTTTGATTTGTTAGTTAACTTTGATAAGTAAAAAAACCAAATCAGGGCCTGGAACTCACTTCAGCCACAGGTGTTGAGCAAATATTATATGATATACATAATATACAATACTAACAATTGATATCTTATACCATAGCATATAAAGGGTGTCATGTACCTTTTAATTCACTTAAAATTTAGAGATATTTGAAAAAGCCATTTGAGATGGGTCCAGAAGCCATAACTCAGTATAAAACAAAAGGAAAGTATGTAATCAATATGCAATTAATGTAAGTCTACTTAAATGAGTAAAGGTGTAAATTTCAAGTCAAAATATTAATTAGAAAGGAAATTATTGAGAAAACAAATTTCTTTTCAATTGAAAATGACCAAAAAAGACCCCCCCCCCCCCCGTGACGTTATCCTTTGTTTTATATAAACAATCATTAAGTGAAGATTGAATTTCTGTCATTTTTCATTCTGTTACATATGCTTGTGATTTACCATACCCCTTTTGGTACCCCAAGAAAACCCACTTTTGGTCAAAGGTTTACCTAATTTTTGCCTCATGTCATACGATAGGACATCTTTGAACAAAATAAGGAGGTGAAAATCCGAATAAACCGGGGCCCAAAAAAGGGCCTTATAGACACCATTCCTTTGATTTTTTTTCTTCATCCTAGAATTTAGCTTATATAAGTTAAGTATATATGAAAAGCGAATTTGGTTATGAAATTAAGAATATTTGTTTGCACTGCCCACTGTCATAGTCATGTCGAATAGTCAACCCGAAAGAGGTCATTTATGATTAATTTGAAACATTATCAAAAGGTTTCATAGAACCCTTTTTTACACATGTTTTTATTCCTGGTCCTTTAGCACCACCGTTTAGTTCTTAACAGTAAATACTGTATAACATGAAATGTTCGTGGCTAGTTTCCTTCGTGGCTTGAAGCCATTTAGATCGTTTCGTGGTACAAGCTTTCGTGGATTTCCCATATAAGCAAAGAGTAGTCAATTATATCAATTAAATAAATTGTGTTTATTTTCGTGGTTCTGTCACCTCCTCGAAAACCACGAATGTTTATATACAACGAATATTTCAAAACGGGAAAAAAATGAAACAGATGCAAATCACATTTCGGCAATAATTGTTTTATTATACAGAATATTTCATTGCAAAAAAAAGTCGAAGAACTTGAATTTAATTGTTACACCAATGAGAACGTCAATATGCTAGTGTGTGTGAGAACGGGGCACGTTCGGCGCCTGGACGGTATGACATTTGTTGAAATAAATGTGTACTTGTACCATTATTGCTGTCGGATGATTGGTCGACCGGAACGTGCCCGCTCTTGGTAAAAATTCGGAGGAAGTATGGGGATTAGTTCGACACCGTTGGAATCAACATAATTATGATGTCATAAAGCATGCACCTGCCCTAATTGATATTTCAATAAGTTTTTATATCACAGCAATACGAAAGTCAATTCAGGTTTCAATGTATACCATCATTTGAAGCTGTCATGTCAGTGTTTTACACGTATGACTCGTGGTAGTTGATTACTCGTCACTCACCATCACTCGTTGAAGAACCACTATATGTCAAACCATTTTTTGTTTTAGACAACATTCTTTGCATGAAACACTGCTGTATAGTTTCTGTATGTTAAATTACCATAATTGTAGTTGGGACATTACACTCAAAAAAAAAAAAAGGAAGATAAAGTACAGTTTCTGTATTGTATCTGCATATATCGTGTCTGTATAATCGATTTCATCCGAACCCTCGCGTTTCAACTGCAATTACATTGCGCTTCAAACTGCAACTGCTTTTTTTAAATTAGCATCCTTCAAAATTTCGATGTCCATTTCTTGTATGATTATTTTGACAGAGCAAATTGAAGGCTTCCTAGTGCGGGTAGTGTTTACTTTGAGCCGTCTAATTTACTAGCGTTTATTTAAAATGTCCCTAGAAAATTTGTCTGTTAGGCTATGTCCTGAACTTCGTTTAACCCGAGTAAATATTGTTATAGAATTACATTTAAAATGTTAAAAACATGTTTCATTTACATGTAAAATGTACTTAACTTCATCTGTATCAGACAAACTTGTAACAAGTTCAGCTTCCATTGAACTCGCGATCCTATCGGTTGCCATCGGACTAAAGACCAACACCCGCAGACGGCTTTTGTTTGCTAAAACCTTATATACTGATGTTTCAAATCATTAAAACAACGCGAATGCACTCTCATGACAAATTCGCAAACTGTTTTATCGGCGAAAAGCAACAGCTGCAGATTTCGGCGATCGATAAAGAAGTGATACCTGACTGTACAAGCTGATCATGGTACATATAGTATTATTTTTGATTACTTGTTAATTATTGCTTTTGTAATGGGTGTCTGCTCTCTAGGTTCATCCTGAAGAAGACCTTTGATCACATTTTTCATTTCCATTTTACCGTTTTCGTGTTTGATCATAGTAATAGCAGGATCGATAACTCGATCATTGATATGGAACTCTCCACGTACACCTGCAGGATATCGATAATGAGATTTTGAAATTTCCCAACAGAATACCAAGGGAGGTGTTTCCATCAGCATCAGCCATACAAGCTTAATACACGCGTCTACGAAATTTCTCAGTTGGTCATGTTTTCCATCTTTGTCAACCATCGATTGGTCTAGTAAGGGCAATTTGGCAGAGTAAGGTTTGCATATCTTTTCCGGCCAAACTTCGTCGAAAAATCTCTGAAAAAAAAGAGGTTCTGGAACCATGTTATTCTACTGTGAACGGAAAATGCTTTTTTTACAATCGAATGTTAGTGCAGCAAATAATTGACTTAACTCTGTGCATTGCATATACGCATTTGAAAAACAGAACCATTCGGCATCATTTTATTATAAACCGACAATGGTCACACAACGCAAACAATATATTTTAGAAAAGTTGTACAGAAATATATTCAATACTTCACGAACACAAAAAAGAAGAGATTTCCATTCGGTTTGCGTAGAATAAGACAATTTAAAAGACACACATGCAGGCTTGTATTGGTACATATAAATGATAATCAATCTGACACAACACCTGGTATCTGAACTACGACATGAACTGTGTAAAACATACATATTCTTATTTCAATACCTGCATTAGATTTATTATAGCAACTTACCAATGAAAATATCAAGGTATAGAAGTAGCATGACTATAAATTTACCAGCGACACTTTTTTGAAATAATCATTTTATTCATTTTCTCCAAAGCTATATTTCGTCTTATACATGTACACACATTGCGAATTATAGTTGTTAATAATTTGAATATTCAAATCCAAATAATTTATATATGTAATTAGTGGACCAACTCTAACCTATTCACTGCCGATACTTATGTTGCTGTATAGGAATTGTAAAGTAAAAGATGAATACTTTGCCAAAGAAAGTTACTCTAAGTGAGAAAAAACCCTCATTTCAGTTTACTTTAAAGGAGAAAAAAAACAAGTCTAGAGCATAGCTCTAAACACGTCCTGTTCTTGATTTTTAAAAAAAAATTAAACTCTTTTCATTTTGCAACACTATTGCAATTAATCACTGTTTTTTTGCCAAATGGTAGCGGCTCTCATAAGAGTTTAAATTTAGGAGGATATCGGAGAATCCATAGAAAACACACGTGATAGGGCAGATGACTTCATACCATTTCACGGCGGATCGGGGAATCGAATCCTGACCATGTTTGTAAAAGGCAATATCCAAATATACGCCAAGGTTCTTGACAGGCATGGTGATGGGAAGCTTAAATTAAGTCTAGACCATATCGGATTTATAGATTATCACACTGTTTCTTCAGGGCTTAACATGAGAAATTATTTTTGCATCGACAGCACGTGGATAAAATTGAGAAGCTACCTCGCGTCCACCCCCGGCCTCTCGCATAGCTGTCAAACCTCCTTTATTAGGAGGGAGAATCTCTCAATTCGACCAAAATTTACCTTTCTCCCTCGAGACTTCCCTATTTAAGTCTAAACTCACAAACTTAAACTCTACATCCTGTGGTCAAATTATCTCCTAGTTACTGCAGTGTGTGTTTAATGACCATAACAGGCGTGTCGGAATCAAATGAATGCTTTTTGGAGTTATTTTGATACATAAAAAAAATGTGGGAATAAACTGAGTAAAGCAGTTTCAGTCGTGTTTCGCGCACTTTCTACCTCATCGGTAATGTGGAACGAGGGAGATTTCGTATACGTTCCCAAATGGCTTTATCTATTCCCAAGTTGTTATCAAGTTGTTCTTAACTTCTTGAGTTTTCTCACATTGGCAGCCCGTGCTAATGAAGGTTTATCATGCTACCGGTAGGTGGTAATAAGTTGTATAAAGATGATAAACATATTTACCAAGATCCTGTAAGACTGATGACAAAATGCTAATACGTTGATTCCAATTTACCTGAAGTAACGCCTTTTCGATATCGTATCCAAGTGTTCGTTGAAGGTTGAGGATGTTACCCTTTTCCTGTAACAAAAAAACACCTAGAGTTGTTATCTAGGGGGATGACAAGTATACCCCCGCATACACGTACATTGCATAATGACAGCGGCAATGTCATTCTCTGTATTTTGGTTTAATTTTTTCATCCCATAGCATTTTGATTTTCTGGGTTGGGCTACCTGAACAATCAATTTTATATCTCTCTCGTCAAGAGCACATTTTCCCGCCATTTCCTCGCTTAAGAAAGAGGAAGTGTGATCACAACTATGCTTCAGTTTCTAGGCCTATTTCAGACGCCGAGAAGACTGTTCTCGTGATATTATAATAAAATGATATGGAAACGGACAGAAATTTCCGGAATCGGCAGGAATAAGACAAAATAATACAGTAAATAGACAAAATTGTAAGGAGTACTTGTTATGTTAAAATCATAAGGATTAGGCCAACAGAGAAGGGGAGGCACCTCTGCATAGTATTGCCACTTCACAAAAAGTTTCCAAGCAATTTATTGAAAAATGAGCACATGCATAGCCGGACAATTCCTTGTAATTTTTGACGTAAAGAGAACTTTTTCTAACTCTGTCAGAAAGGTCTGAAACACAATATTATTTCAGGGGCACAACTACATATAGTACTGTTACTACTCAAAACATTTCAAAGAAATGTATTGAAAATAGAGCGAATGCATAGCAAGACAATGGTTTGTCAATTTATTTACAATAAGGGGCATGAGTCTCTTACAAAGTTCCCAATTGCAAAATTACTTCAGAGGGCACAACTTAATATGGTACTGTCATTACACAAAGTTTCAAAGAAATCTATTAAAGAATGAGGAAATGCATAGCCGGACAAAGTTTTGTCAGTTTATTTATGTAAAAGGACATAACCCTCTTAAAAATATCCTAAACACAAAATTGTTTCAGAGGGAAAAAATACATATGGTATTGTCACTACGCAAAAATAAAAACAGACAGACAGACAAGCTGATTCCAAGAGGGTAAACGAACCGTGATATTGATAGTATGTCCCTAGTAAATTTAGGATAAGTATTCTCACAGGATTAATTTGTAGGTTCAACGCTGTGTTTGTAGTTTTAGACAATGCGCAAGTGACTAAACGGCTACATTAGTTATTCTATTTAATTTTGGATTTGAATTCTGTAATATGTTTTATTTGTCTCATTATTTATTTTTGCATTTAATTCAAGTCTTCACAAAAATATTTAATGTATAAATTATGCCCCTTATGCTAGGAAAAGTTTGAAACCAAAAGCAGTATAATATAAACATATAAGGTTGTCAGCATTCAAGATTGTCATTGAATCGTATTCATGTTCGTCATCATATCATGGTACCTACTTGTTCATCAACATGTAGAAGGGCTGCGATCTTTTCAGTTTGTTCCCGTTGTTCTTTTCTGACAAAGTCAAACACAGCCTGGAATATAAACTCGATGTTGAAGATCTCCATAACACCGCAGAAAAATGAAATAGTTATTTTCCCGACGAAACTATAGCTTTGATAAATCATTTTTTTAAAGAAAACCTCACCTTGCTAGACGTTCATAAAAAATAATGGAGATGAAATAATTGGTATAATCAACAACTGTATTCATTGCTGAAACCATTGAAGCTAACTGGACAACGGAAGTGTACGAGCCCAAATGTGCTACAGTTGTATCAACACGGAAGTTAAGAGGAGGTTACTGTACATGTATATAGGAAAAGTGGCAGTGCAGCGGGACAGGGATCATTTAGGTAAACAATTGTTTTAGTTTTACTGTCAAGATAACAAACTTATGCAACGAGTGATAATTGAACATCAAGCCTAGAAATACCAGTCTAATCTAATCTAAATACATACAAATCTTACGAAGCATTTCAAATAAAGGAATGATCATATGGCTTACCAATGTAGCATGTTATATGTTAGTGAAAACAATTACTTTGACAATTTCCGGAAATAGATTGGATGTATTTCTTCTTAATACACCGTTTTCGTCTTTCTCCACATATGGATTGTTGCTGACAACACTACTACGAGCGAGACTGAGATTGCGAGCTGATTGTTGTATAGGCGTGGAACCTGCGCTGGAATCAGTTGTCTTTTTTTCTTTTTCCACTCCACGAAGGAGCTTTAACCTATTAATAAAGCAAAAATAAACTAGAAATTGTTGGCTTACAATTTGACGGGCTTTTCACTGTAAGGATTGATTTGGCCTCATACATGTAGCTAAACATCCAAGCAGCTAACATATGAAATATCAAGACTCTAGACCTTAAACAACCCAAGACAAGCTTGTCGAAGTTTATTACCCAAAAAACTGCATTTGAATTTTGACCCCTACCGAAAACCGGAAGTTGGTCTTTGATGGTCATTCTTGTGCATACACTTGGTAGCACTCAGTCTCAGCCAATCAAATGGCAGGGCGGCTATATTGGGTATTTTGATTAACATGAACTGTAACAACACTTATTTAACACCTCATCAGGATCAATTGTAAAAAGTAAGGAGTCAATTGGTGCAATTGTTCTTGAAAAGAAGTCGAAAATGTCCCAGCCAATCAGATGCCAGGGTGGCCATCTTGGATTTTTTTGATCGGTACCGAATGTAACAACACTTGTTCATACAGATCTATTGTAATACGTCAGGGGTATTAAGTTACAGTCATTCCTGAGAAGAAGTCAATAATATCTCAGTCAATCAGATGTCAGGGCGGCCATTTTGGATTTTTGAATTGGTATGAAATGTAACAACACTTGTTTGGAACCTCATAAAGATTTATCGTTATATAATAGGGGTCTTAAGTTGCAGACATTCATGAGAAGAAGTCAATAATATCTCAGTCAATCAGATATCAGGGCGGCCATTTTGAATTTTGAATTGGTATGAAATGTAACAACACTTGTTTGGGATCTCTTCGGGAGCAAATGTACCAAGTAAGGAGTCAATTGGCGCGATCGTTCTTGAGAAGAAGTGGAAAATGTCCCAGCCAATCAGATGCCATAAGTTTTTAAACGTTTGCCTTTAGTGACCTTGACAGTCGATCTTACATCTTACATATCAATTATCAAGACTTAAGACATTGTGGAACTTAAGAAAAAAGATTGTTTTCAAAACTGTTACCAAATATTGTGCTTTTCAACTTTGACCCCTACCGAAAACCGAAAGTTGATATTATTTGCTAAAGCAATATGACAGAAAAAGTTTGCCCTTGCATATCCTATATCATATCGAATAATCAACTTTCTGCTTGATATCGTTAGCGAAATATATTGGTATAGGCTATAATCCAATCGGAGCCCGTGGCGGCCATCTTGAAATTCTAGTCGCTCCAAAAATTAACAACACTTCGTGAGGGCCCCCAGAGGAATACATGTATCAATTGTGGTTAATATTGCAATGGCAGAATTGGAGAGGAAGATCGTTGAAGTTTGTAAATATATTGTCGGCTTTTCAAAAAGATCAAAGGTAATTACGAACACGTCACATGAAGTTAACGGGAAATGTTTCAGAAAAATATATCAAATTGATCGGATGGCCATATTCTATCGATTACTAAAAGAATTTTAAAAAAATGTTTCAGTCAATAAAAAAATAAAAAAAATAAAAAAATAGGTGACCTTTGACCCAATGGCGAGGATTTAAACTTGACCTTTTTCCTGATTACATGGCATGGGTCAAATTTAGCTCCGACCACATTCTATCAGTATATTATAACAAAAACACAGTACAATTTATATTTAAGGAGATATAGCTGTTTTAAAAAAGGTTTAAAAAATCACTTTATAGATCATGGCGGCCATATCGATTTTTTTTATGAAGTTGAAAATACTTCAATGGCATCTTCAGACCATGACCTACAACATTTCAAATATCAAACATATACCTGCTGTCATTAAGGAGAAAAAGGTTGTGAAAGATTTGTGTAGAATAACAATAATTATAAAAAACATAACAAAAACAATAGGTCTTTTCACAAAAAGTGAAAAGCCCTAACTAAAGGTTACGAAATGTATTCTTACAAATATTAAGAATTATTAAAGGGGTTCGATTTCCATAGATCTCTTACATTTAGAGATATTTCTATTTTGGAGTCAATTGCGAAAAGCGATCTCTTACAACTAAATATTTAGACACAAGTGTCCAAGAAACATAAAGCTGTCGCGTTCCCTTTGCAAATTCAAACCTTTGCAAATTCAAACCTTTGCAAATTCAAACCTTTGCAAATTCAAACCTTTGCAAACATGTCGTTGACGGAACAATCAAGAAAATATTCCTCCGTGAAACTGAAGTAATTACAGTATATATACAAATATATCTATTGTTCACTGTATTGTTCAGTGTATAGATATTTCAGATCAAGGTATGTCCAAGGTTGTACCTCAAATGATAACGTTATAGTACAGTATTTTCTGACAAAGGATATAACATTGGTTAAGAATATTATATTAAAGGAATAGCTAGCTATTTTTGGTCAGATTATGAGGTGACAAATTCAGTTGAGCAAAGACGTCTATGATCACCTCAAACCAGACCAAAAATAGGCAGTTATTCCTTATATTTGCAGTCTCACCAGTGGAGATAAAGTGCATTTCTAAAATATATAAACGTGTGATCGGTTCTTTGCACATAAGACTAGTTATTAATACCAAATTTAAGGACCTCGTACAATTTGTACAAATGCATCGTTTTAAGGAAAGGGGTTTTTAATTTTTAGCCACAAAAAAGCCGCAGTCGAAAAACATATCGGCAAAATGTACGCGGATAACCGGAAACACAGAATAATAGTTTTTATTTGAAAATTTCAATTTATGTTTGTATTAATGTTTCTTGTTGTTCTGACTTTTAGATGTACCTTCGTGAATCTTGGATTTTTTGTATCATAAAGCCCCTCACTGCGAGTTTTACATTCACTAACAGTAACTTATTTTGCCGGTTTTTTAACGCGATGGATCACTATTAAATACTATTTCGTTAATTTCTTTGCATGTTTAGCACATATATTTGCTCAGTTTTCCACTCGTATGTCGCTTCTTCCATCGTTTCCCCGATAAATAGACATGCAAACGTCATGTTGCGTTCATTATGAGATCATTTGCTAATGGCACTGCACTTGTGGATAACCGTACCTAAAAAGTATTTAAAATTTGTGCACTTTTAGGCGCACTTTTTTAGCATGTTTTAGACTTCTGATAATAATACAGTAACAAAGGTAACAAGTATCCACGAAATTTTGTACTTAAACAAATATGATAATTCTATGATTCAAGTAACATTCTTCCAAAAAGATACCAGACAAAACGCCATGGTCACTAACGCGATCCAAACAACCGAATCAGATTTGCTCGACTCCGCGGGTTTTAAGCCCTAAAGTGACAGCCCATTTCCTAATAAGTCTTTCGTGCCAATTTTAGTAAGTCCTTTAATTTGGTATTATCCTAAAGGTTTAAGTAAATGTCACGAATCATTACTACCCTAGTAAAGTAGTTCAGGACGGTACATTTAACTCGTAATAGGTAATATAAATGTAAATCTTACTGAAATAAACAGTGTTGAAAGTTAAACAACGCGTCCAAATGCCTTCAACAATGTCGTTCCAAGAACACTGATATTTACACCTATCAGCAATTGTGAAAGAAGTAGTTAAATGAGAACATTTAAAAATACTTTCGCGCACCTTTCCACTCTATATTGATTAGTCTGCATCATAACCGCCTGTTAATTGTATCAGGATACCGAGTTTAATAAATAAATTGATAAATTATAAATAAATATATTAATTACTAAAAGTTCTCTTATTGTTATTTACCTAGCTTGTAAGGCCGCCACTTCATCTTTTTCATGGTCACGTATTCCCTCTAGCTGCTTGAATGTTTCTTCCTAAAGACAAAATAAACAAAGTAACTATACATCAACATCATAAAATCAACAAAGTAACCAATGTAACACAGGAAATAAATAACTCACATAGAACTACGTTTTGTGGGATTTTAGACGACCCAATATTGACATGTTGATAAGAATTTAAACGACTCAGTGTTAACATTGTGGAAACAATGTGATAAGAGTATAAACGATTCAGTGTTAACATTGTGAAAGAGAATAAACGACTCAGTGTTAACATTGTGGAAAGAGCATGAACGACTCAGTGTTAACATTGTGATAAAGGTATAAACGACTCAGTGTTAAGATTGTGGAAAGAGTATAAATGACTCAATGTTAACATTGTGGAAAGAGCATGGACGACTCAGTGTTAACATTGTGGACCGAGTATAAACGACTCAGTGCTAACAATGTGGAAAGAGTATAAACGGCTCAGTGTTAACATTGTGGAAACAATCTGATAAGAGTATAAACGATTCAGTGTTAACATTGTGATAAAGGTATAAACGACTCAGTGTTAACATTGGGGAAAGAGTATGAACGACTCAATGTTAACATTGTGGAAAGAGTATAAACGACTCAGTGTTAACATTGAGGAAAGAGTATAAACGACTCAGTGTTAACCTTGTGGAAAGAGTATGAACGACTCACTGTTAACATTGTGATAAAAGTATAAACGACTCAGTTTTAACTTTGTGGAAAGAGTATAAACGACTCAGTGTTAACATTGAGGAAGATGTATAAGCGACTCAGTGTTAACCTTGTGGAAAGAGTATGAACGACTCAGTGTTAACATTGTGGAAAGAGTATAAACGACTCAGTGTTAACAATGTGATAAGAGTATAAACGACTCAGTGTGAACATTGTGGAAAGAGTATAAACGACTCAGTGTTAACATTGTGGAAAGAGTATAAACGACTCAGTGTGAACATTGTGGAAAGAGTATAAACGACTCAGTGTTAACATTGTGGAAAGAGTATAAACGACTCAGTGTTAACATTGTGGAAAGAGTATAAACGACTCAGTGTTAACATTGTGGAAAGAGTATAAACGACTCAGTGTTAACATTGTGGAAAGAGTATAAACGACTCAGTGTTAACATTGTGGAAAGAGTATAAACGACTCAGTGTTAACATTGTGGAAAGAGTATAAACGACTCAGTGTTAACATTGTGGAAAGAGTATAAACGACTCAGTGTTAACATTGTGGAAAGAGTATAAACGACTCAGTGTTAACATTGTGGAAAGAGTATAAACGACTCAGTGTTAACATTGTGGAAAGAGTATAAACGACTCAGTGTTAACATTGTGGAAAGAGTATAAACGACTCAGTGTTAACATTGTGGAAAGAGTATAAACGACTCAGTGTTAACATTGTGGAAAGAGTATAAACGACTCAGTGTTAACATTGTGGAAAGAGTATAAACGACTCAGTGTTAACATTGTGGAAAGAGTATAAACGACTCAGTGTTAACATTGTGGAAAGAGTATAAACGACTCAGTGATAACCTAGTGGAAAGAGTATAAACGACTCAGTGTTAACATTGTGGAAAGAGTATAAACGACTCAGTGATAACCTAGTGGAAAGAGTATAAACGACTCAGTGTTAACCTTGTGGAAAGAGTATAAACGACTCAGTGTTAACATTGTGGAAATAGTATAAACGACTCAGTGTTAACAGTGTGGAAAGAGTATAAACGACTCAGTGTTAACATTGTGGAAAGAGCATGAACGACTCAGTGTTAACATTGTGGAAAGAGTATAAACGACTCGGTGTTAACAATGTGATAAGGGTATAAACGACTCAGTGTTAACATTGTGGAAAGAGTATAAACGATTCAGTGTTAACATTGTGATAAGAGTATAAACGACTCAGTGTGAAGATTGTGGAAAGAGTATAAACGACTCAGTGTTAACAATGTGATAAGAGTATAAACGACTCAGTGTTAACATTGTGATAAGAGTATAAACGACACAATGTTAACCTTGTGGAAAGAGTATAAACGACTCAGTGTTAACATTGTGGAAAGAGCATGAACGACTCAGTGTTAACATTGCGGAAAGAGTATAAACGCCTCAGTGTTAACATTGTGGAAACAATGTGATAAGAGTATAAACAACTCAGTGTGAAAATTGCGGTAAGAGTATAAACGACTCAGTGTTAACATTGTGGAAAGAGTATAAACAACTCAGTGTGAAGATTGCGGAAAGAGTATAAACGACTCAGTGTTAACATTGTGGAAAGAGTATAAACGACTCAGTGTTAACAATGTGATAAGAATATAAACGACTCAGTGTTAACATTGTGATAAGAGCATAAACGACACAGTGTTAACATTGTGATAAGAGTATAAACGACTCAGTGTTAATATTGTGGAAAGAGTATAAACGACTTAGTGTTAACCTTGTGGAAAGGGTATAAACGACTCAATTGTAACATTGTGATAAGAGTATAAACGACTCAGTGTTAACAATGTGATAAGAATATAAACGACTCAGTGTTAACATTGTGATAAGAGTATAAACGACACAGTGTTAACATTGTGATAAGAGTATAAACGACTCAGTGTTAATATTGTGGAAAGAGTATAAACGACTTAGTGTTAACCTTGTGGAAAGGGTATAAACGACTCAATTTTAACATTGTGATAAGAGTATAAACGACTCAGTGTTAAGATTGTGGAAAGAGTATAAACGACTCAGTGTTAACATTGTGGAAAGAGTATAAACGACTCAGTGTTAACCTTGTGGAAAGAGTATAAACGACTCAGTGTTATCATTGTGGAAAGAGTATAAATGACTCAATGTTAACATTGTGGTAAGAGTATAAACGACTCAGTGTTAACCTTGTGGAAAGAGTATGAACGACTCAGTGTTAACATTGTGGAAAGAGTATAAACGACTTGGTGTACACATTGTGATAAGAGTATCAACGACTCAGTGTTAACATTGTGATAAAGGTATAAACGACTCAGTGTTAACATTGTGATAAGAGTATAAACGACTCAGTGTTAACAATGTGAAAAAGTTTACAAAAAGACAACCATGTTACCAAAGTCAACATCATAACACGAAGTACAAAATACTCAATGCCATACATGGTATTTATGCAAACACATGATAGTAATGAAAGGTATAAATAACTCACCGTCATTAGCGTAAGGTTGTATACGCGACTCAAAACCCACAATAGTATATAGGGCCTCCATCACATAAATTCTACAAGTTAACGAGTTAAGTGCTGTTGCTGTTCATGGTGTTACGTCCTAGTAGTAACAAGGGTAGCGAGTACTCAAAGTCAATAATGTAACACAAAGTATCATAATTAAGAGTCTTGCTGTATATGTCTACATCTCTTTGTTTCTAAATGTCTGTGACACGTGTAGTGCGGCCATTAAGATTAGGCATTCTATTCATACCAGGACCCGAATTCATGAAACCGTTCTCATGCTCAAACTCAGATTCTGTGCTCAAGCCCTATTTCTTGTTCCAGTGATAAAATGAATGAAAAAATAACATTTTGACTGTAATTTGGAAGAATCTTGGAGAGACGTGTGTTATTATTTTGTTAAATGTTTACACTGGACTTTATTAGCGTGTGACAGGATTTAAGAGAGCTACAAGAAAGCTGGTTTGAGCACAGAATCCATGCTTGAGCATGATAACGGTTTCAAGAATGTACCTGATGTACATGTACTTACTTTTTTCTTCTCCAAAACTTCCAATACTTCTATGATGTCCTCATTAGAGGGTGATTTGCCAAGCCAATGATCAAACTCCCTATCCAACGCATCCATAACGCATTCAACGCTGAAAGTATAAAATGAACAAGGTACACCTCGATATACAGAAAAGGCGAAAACTCCACAAAGATAAAAAATAAATATCACTTCCTTGTACGATAAGATTTATTTTCCTCAATTCAATGTTATATCAAGGTAACCGTGATCAAAGAACGTTTTGAACGAAAAGATATAGATAAATATTCCTGTTGTCAAGTACCTCTTACTGAGAGGCGTGTGGAAAGAGATATGTACACACAGTTGTTGACAAACGCACAAGGAAGTACACCAAACTGAAGACTCTTTGTTTGTTCCCGATACACTGGCATGATTAAATCTAGCTTCCCAAACAATATCAGAACTACGCAGGAGAAATCAACCCGAATATCAATAAATTTTGTACTGGGCTTTCTCAACTGATAAGCACCATACCATAAAACTCCTTGTAAAAACAATCCGAGATATTTCGGCCATGTTACCTATTCATCAAAGCTAGGAAATAGGTCATAGATGGAAAGCTGAAATGTGCTGCCATTATATGAAAATAATGCATTTTTACCTATAGTTGTAGATGTAGATTGATGTTCAGATGATATGTGACAAGTTACAACGTAGCACAGGGACACGACACAAACAAATGGTGGTAGTGTTACTTTCACTTTTAGGAAATTACGAATCTACCACACAACATTCCTTTTCCTGAGATGACAGGAGTTCGGCAGTAAAGCAGACCTCGATCCATATATTTGACTAGTTGAAGATGTAAACATCTCTTCAGGTCTATTGCAAGCACAGGGACATGACAAAACAGATAGGTCATGTATATATAATCGTACTATAAAGATAGATATATAACATACCCTACGTAAAGTCTATATCTTATGTATCCAGTCCCTGTGTTTGTGAAGAGCTTAACGGAGATATGGTATAACTGTTATCTATATGATTGCATAACGCAATATAACATGGTGTGCCTGAAGTTAATTGTATACATCATGTATATCTGATGTTGCCAACAATATTTCAAATAAATCCAAAATACTACCTGACGTCTTCAGTTTAGACCAAAAATCAAAAATGTCCGACAGATTCTATATAAAAGGACATCAATCGAACAATAACAGTACATATAAACTCCAAGCTTGACTTACCGGTAGCACCTGTGGAATGTCTACTTTCGGTTTGAACAGGAAGTAAAGCGTCGGGTTTTGTAAGAGTTATCCCCCTTCCATCGTAAGCAACCAGCATGTACGCCCTTATAATAGGGGCAACCTTAAAGTAAAAAATATAACTTTATAAAGCATTCTACATCATCACAGTTTAAAAATGTAAACTCTAGTTAACTTAAAACAATTATGGACAGAGTCATTTCAACTTATATGACTTACTCTTGTTGGTGGAAGCACGCAAGGGTATTTTATATATGAAACTCCTTTCTTGCTTTTAATATATTGCATGCATTATATTTGAACATGCCTTAATCAATATTTCCTCTTCTTTCGTGTAGCATATAACTCGATATTTACTTACCGTCACAGGTTCGCTGGTGACTGTATGACGTCATATACTGACCACAGCAGTAATTTAATTCTTAGTTCTAGCGCCACAGCTCTTTCCTAATAATTTACTTTTCGTAGGTTTCATTTTTGTCCATGCTTCATTAGATCAAGTACACTGTCCTGTATTTTCGTTTCTTTCACCCGGATACCTATTCCGTCTTTTCGTATAACAGAGTTATCTGCTCTTGTGAGCAGGTATTAATTGTTACGTCATTTGTTTGTGAGAGTAACGTCATAAATTTTTGAAAACACGAAGTAATTTTCTCACACAAACTAATGACGTAACAATCAATACCTGCTCACAAGACCAGATAACTCTGCAATACGAAAAGACGGAATATGAACCATGCTCCCCTTTTAACGTTTGTATGTGCATTCTCATATTTACAAAGTGTGAATTCCACATGCTTTGTTGTCCTGGTAAGTCTCCATGAATAGGTTTCGGTACTTGAGACTGTCATGGACCAGCTCAACAAACGGCACTGCAGACCATTTTCAGCCTCCATTTATCGAGATCACTGCACGCCTGATGTTGTCAATGATTATTATTTGCTATTCTTGGTGACCCAGGTTCACTCGACAACAAATGACAATTAGAGCTGCACACGTACATGTACACCTGCATGGTGTTTGACTGTAAAGTCCAATGTTGAAGAAAGAAGCTGGAACTACAAGCCATCTATACAAGTAGCTATAAATAGATCAACCTAGCTCTCCAACCGTTATCGGATCCTCATCTAACATCAAAAGTCGTACTAGTCTAGAGTAGGAAGTGATTTCCAACTTTTCTACACCTACAACGTAGCATCACCGGTGAGGCCTAGAAGGACGGGACAGCTGCATGATGCAGTGCACTTCATTTCTCCCATACCGTATTTATTACACAATTTTAAAGGTACAGTTCCATGTGTACAGCTTTTAGAGAAGTGGTGCCTTCTAGCTCCGAGGACTTTGTTGAGCTTCCCGAACCCCTCGATGGGTCTGTCCGTATTAGAGTACTACGTATATATCGAAGTTGATGATATCCACAAAAAACAGTACATTTTACATTTTCTACATTTTAACATTAATGATCCATGGAGTCACTTCCGCAGATACTTGAATGGGTGATTCGCAGAAAATGGGATTTCCCATCCTTCGACCTTGAAACAAGAACAGCTTCATCATTTTATTCTTCCTCACATTCATGCACTTTGTCTTCTTTCCCTCAAACTTGGGCAGCATATCTGGCTTCAATGAGCTTATAATTGATCTATGTTAATCTTTAATGAACACGTATCGTGCATTTAAGATAGAAAAGGTGCCCATAAGCCTGTTTGCAGGCTCCTCGATGTCCGCATTATCTCCTTTTTGAATGATACGTCACAGCTTTGACCAGCATTTTGTGTTAATAGATGACTTTGAAATTGGTGTTACATTGTAAGGAGTTTGGCTAGTTAGGAAGTTAGGTAAATATGTATACGGTAATACTAAATATTCTACTCTATACTACACATCATATATATATATGTGTGTGTAATGTACGTGATCTTGTAAACGGATGAGAGCCGTAAATCGCAACGTGTTAAACGAATTGAAATTCGACTAAGAAAGGGATTAAAAATTCAATCAAGGAATTTGAACCATATAGAGATGTAAAACTTCAATAATACTGTTAAAATAACGTTTAAACTACCAGGCGCGGATTTAGGGGGGGGGCACACCCGGCCCCGGCCCCGGCCCCACCTTTTGGCGGCGGACTGACTTCTTCCGGGCCGGCCCATAATGGTCTGATCGGCCGGGAATGGAAACATATTAACATTTTTAAATGCATCAAATAATGCACGGAGCTTGTATAAAAAAAATCTGGGGCCACGCCCCACACATCCCATACGGCATCCTAGCAAATATTGTGGGTGTACCCGTTATCTGATATTTTTACTATATTTTCTTTATTAAAACAATATTTGTTGGCATCGCTACGCTCGTCTACTTTGTATCTTGACCCTAAAGTGTTTTTTTTTTTATTTTACCACCTCCGCAAAACCCCAAGTTGCAACTTGCAACGCTCGGCGGAAATATACTAGCATAAGTTGCATAATTATATTATTGACCGCTCGTTATAGATGATCTGAAAATTAATACTTTTTATTGTAACCTTCCTAACCGCCCGGGCGATATTAATCATATCATTATACAAGAACGATAAAGGTTTTTTTCGGCTGACAATATTATGTATAATCGACTAAACATATCCATTCAATTATTTTGGTATTATATATATTGTTGGAACTGTTTAACTATCTTGTATGTACAACATAATATCTCATTGTGGTACTTATAGCTTACCATCGTGTACGTACAAGAAAGTATCTTCACACAGCATACTATTGTGTACGTAGTAATAAGTTGTACGTACCAGAATGAGATGATATGCTGTACTTACAAGAATGATAATTTTAAATTAAATTTAAAGGTGACGCGTATGTGCCTTCTAAGTTGTAACATTTTAACCAGATAGCTTAGCAAATGTACCACCGTTGGTAATATGCACGCCCTTACATGAGTTAATCAGCGTGGACATTTCAGATATATCATTGTCTACACTAGTGAGTTAGTCAACAATTATAAAACGCGAGACTATATCAGGGGCGGGTCCAGGTGAGGGCGTAATGGGCGTACGCCCCATTTTCAAAAAAAAAAGATTTTTTTTATCGTAATCTGCTAATATTGTATTAAATATGGCAATTTATCATATTCATTAATTAAAGACATACTCTGATAAAAAAATGTCAAACCATGACACTTCAACTATAAAATATACATGCTCCAAGTCAGGAACCGTTACATTAGTGCATTTCACAATTATTTTATGGTTTTTAGCAAAAAGAAGGTCCAAAACTTTTTTCGCCTCGCTCCGCTCGGCGACAGATTTTATTCTGCGCCCCCTCTTTCAAATATCATAGAAAACGCCCCTGTATATAGCTAGTGACCTTGGGTATCGCACTGATTTGAACTTACCGTTTGTTTACCAACTTAGTGATGCCATGAGTAACTCATTAATTAAACAGCAACGATGTTATGGTGATATTTGTTCTTTTGTACGACAAACGTACAATGTCTGAAGACTAGATTTATATTTTGACGGTGGACCTCTCGTATCCCCCTTGCGGGCGGGACGCCAAATTAGGTAATAATGAACAAGTCCCCTGTGGATTCATACATTTGTCATCACCAGGTTGCCCCTATAATAATACCATCTGACTTCTAAAACACGCTGTTGATAGAGAATTTGAACCGAAACTTAAATTTTCTTTCCAGTACACAAAAAAAGTATTTGGGCCATACTTAAAATATGTTTTTTTCTTCTTGTTAGTTAAATATAAAAACAATCCTAAGAACACGGGAAATCGCTTCTGAGACGTTCTAGAAATCACATTTTTTGGGGGGGGGGATCCCCCAAAACTCCCTTACGGGGAGAGGTGTGTACCCTCCCCCTCCTCGCGCTATGCGCTCGGGCTGCACACCGTTGACTATTGAGAAAAACATTTCGGCCCCCCCTTTTAGGAAATCCTGGATCCGCCCCTGACTACTGTATGTACTACATGTGAATGCTTCTTTTTAAGTAGTATAATTTGTGTTGGGGGGGGGAGGGGGGGGGGGGGGGGCGGTCACTACGATATGTCCTCGAATTGAAACAAGGCAGTGTAAAATTCTGGTAACGCACAATAAAGAAATTCTAAATATACAATAATCCTGAACCCACACGTCCAAAACTGATAAAGGAACGTAACACATACTGGAAGCTGTATAGAGTAAATATATGTTTGTATGTACTAAATATAAGTCCCTCCTTCAAAGGACAACGTTCAATTATGAGGTGATAACACAGACCTCCCTGACCCATACACCCCGACCCCTATCCCCAATCAACCAACCTCTATCCCAGCACGGGAACGCTTGTTCGGAGTGACGGGAGGCCTGCTTTTCATGCATCAATTGATGGTGTATACGACGGGGACAACTCTAACAATGTTCTGTGGTCCACTGGGCGTGGCGGTCACGCATCAATGAACTACTTAGTACAGAGATGTATGCCACTGCGCTAACGGGCACCTAAAAAAGAGTAACCGTACATTATCAGCTATTATCTTTCTTCCTTCAAATCATCTGAAAGTCATAAAATTTTGTTGAGACTATAAATGCCATATTTACTATCTATTGGCAAATAGAAAATACTAAATACTTCGATATTTGACAATGTCATTTATACTGGATATGGGTACTAAACGTGGGCTAATCCTAATGTCGTCTTTAAATGCTCGCTGTATAACTGATCTGACTTCACACAGTTGCACCTTCAGGGCGTGTAATATACTAGCTTGACCCTTGTCCGTGGACTGGGGATTAAGACATTAATCCGCGTAGTCTGCTAATCTCGTCTGATAGGGAACATAGCGTACTAGATTTATAGAGTAATTCTACCGTATTTGTTTTAAAGATAGCACTTTTGAAAAAAAACTTCAATTTATACTCACATCTGACTAAAATATTTTCAACTGACTTCATATACTTTACTGTTAGCATATGGTCTGGCAGATGAGTTTAATTATATAACAACATCAAATATTGATCCGATATGTAACCCGTAACTCGATCATCTAATTCATCGTGACGTCACAAAAAACAATAATGACAAAAATGATGTTTAAATGAAAATTACGCCAATGGTTGGAAACACCAGCTGTGTTTAAAAAACACATGTTCTCGTAAAGTGAACTAATGACAGCAATACAAAATTGAATATTGGTTTATTTTTATTTTTTATTTTTTTACACTGTTTGCTAAATATATTCTGTAAAAAAAACGTTTTTAATATTTACTTTGGACACTATAACTTCAGCTTTGTGTATTACTAAATTGGTCTCTAAATCACTATAGAAAATCAAGTTATCAAAAAATGAAGTTAAAATATTACTCAAGGATACTACATGTTAATATGAGTTTGGTATGGAATGTACTGACAGCTGTTTGCCAAGTAAATACTGCTGTACGACGGACTATATCCAGAATACACCGTACAGGTCTCCAACCCTTTTTAATTCCCTGATCTCCTCATCCGGATTATCCCGATTAGACGTCAATAGTCAGATATTCCAGGCGAAACTTATTCATTTCTCTGGTTTCAAATTGTTTATTTTACATACGTAGATAGAGAAAAATATTCAACAAATAGTTCTAAACCGTAAAATAATTAAGGAATCGCCTTACATTCCATTCGGAACTTCTCTTTTCCGCCATTTTGAATTTTAAGTCAAATTCCATTCATAAAAAATGGCGAATGTGTAATATTTAGACTTGAGACAAAGAAATATAAAAAAAATCGATTCATTGAAAATGGAGACCCCGAACTGTGATATAGGGACAGCGGTTTCATAATGAAGAATTGTCATCTGTGGATTTCATAGGATTTCTTTAGAATTTGTGTAAAACTACGCCATTTGAAATCTCAAAATGTACTTGATTACTTTCGCAACTGCTTTTATATCACTGTTTGGATACACAGGTAAGCATATCTTGTCTTTATTTGGAAGAAGTTTTCAGGACCAATTGAATTGTTTTCAGATTTGCTGTTTAAAATTATATCAATGATTACAACTCAAACAGTTAATTTAATGTTTCACTGCTGAAAATGAGTAACTAACGTGATCAACAGATTGGTTCGCTTTTCATGAATGATTTCCACTGTCTTCTCTGGGGGGTTAACATCTAAGTTTCTTGCATTTATTTGTTCATCGCTATTTATGGAATGACTGTTTTCTTCTTCTGTTTTGATAAACCTGACCCTGAAAATCGGCAAATAAGATTTTCAATGACACGTCTTGTGTCATTGATGTTATTCGGGAATGTCTAATCACATAAGACAGTGTTCGGATAAATGAAGAGCCTTTGTGTGTGTGTGTACATTTTGATATTAGAAACATACTTAAGCGACGATTTGTGTTAATCACTCGTGTATCTCTATCAATGTCCTTATACGACCGGCTTGGATACAACAGTAAACTCTTCAAAGTTGAACATCTTTTAACAGGATATTCTCCTTGTTTAGTATGTACCTTTGGACTGAGAGACGTATAGCTGAGTACACTATGTATACCGTAAGGAACCTGAAAGTAATTTCATAAATACAAAGTGCATCATATAAATGTAATATAGTAAACACGGTGTGCTATATAGATGTTATATATGTATATCACACATTGCACTATATAGGTGTTATATATATTTTACACTGTGTACTAAAAAGGTGTTATACTGTATAATAATTTGCTATAAATATGTTATATTTATTTTACACAGTGAGCTATATAACTGTTAAAAATGGTTTTGATAGTGCGCTACATAAATGCTATATATTTACATTATNCCCCCCCCCCCCCCCCCCCTTCGATGTGTGACACTATCAATTTATCGTTCCAGGTCCTTATCATAGCTTAAAGTATTATTATATCCACAATCTAATGATTGTGTATATCTGTAAATCCGTCTATATAGTTAAAGTTCAAAGAGAGATACAAACTTTAACATACTTATATATATATACCTTTCTATATGAGTAGGTTACATGTAGCTTGCACTGTTTAGAGTATATACGCTCTCTGACGTTACCACACCGTCCTACACAGGTACATCGTAGTGGTAAGAGGATGTCTAGCCTATATGTATCCGTAAATTCGCGCTGTGACGCTTTAAACTAATCGCGGTGTTAGAATTCGCGTTGTGACGCTATAAACTAATCGTGGTGTAAGAATATCCGCGTTGTGACGCGTTAAACTAATCGCGGTGTTAGAATTCGCGTTGTGACGCTATAAACTAATCGTGGTGTAAGAATATCCGCGTTGTGACGCGTTAAACTAATCGCGGTGTTAGAATTCGGGTTGTGACACTATAAACTAACCGCGGTGTTAGAATATCTGCGTTGTGACGCGTTAAACTAACCGCGGTGTTAGAATTTGCGTTGTGACGCTATAAACTAATCGCGGTGTTAAAATATCTGCGTTGTGACGCGTTAAACTAATCGCAGTGTTAGAATTTCCGCGCTGGCAATAGTTCTGAAATATATATAAACTATACATCTATAATGTATATAAGCCACAAACAATTATTCGCGAGTGGATATTTTTTAGTTAATTTACTTGACCTTAAAATCGCAAACATTCCAATACCGCGAAAATTTCCACTTTAACAGGATCTGCAGTAAAAAAGACTTTTTATAGCATTCTTAATTTTCTTAATATTATTATGACCTATATTACAAAGTAATTAATACTTTTGCAAAACCTATTGTTTTACATTCGTTGCAACAAAGAATGCTGTTCCCTTCCTGTAAGAAAGTCGACCATCATAGGATGGACTCAAACAATCCAGAATAAACTAATTCACGGATCTAATGTTTTGATATGATTAATATCATTTGATGATTTTTAATATTCTTTTGTAAAAGAAATAAAAATGGAAAAGAAGAAATACTCAATGATGATTACGTTTTCTCTAGAGCTGCTTTTTGTTTTATTTTTGTTTATGATTTTTAGGTTTGATTATATTTTGTTTATTTTAATTATTTATTTATTTATTGTCAAGTTGTCGAAGTTCTTAGTGTGTCTTTAAAACTTGGAATGGTCAGCTTAAAAATCAATGATTGTTACTTTACCGAATATTTCTGCCTCTTTCAGGTTCATCGTGTACGTTTCCTACCGAACTCACCGGGGATTGGATCAGCTCTCACAAGGGGGAGATAACCTTCTCGAATGAAAGTACTCATGTCTATAATTACCCCATGTACATGTCCGCTACAGTGAACGCCCTCAACTTTAGCTGTGACCAGCAATCAGGACGGAAGTATTTACTTAAGTATGTCTTGTATTTATATGTTTGATTTCCTGATGATAATCATCATGTATCATAAATACATGTGATGGCGTAACTATATCCCCCCCCCCCCCCCCCCTTCCAACTAATATAGGTTAGTTTAGTTTTATACATCGCCGTCATCCGTCATCATCTCAAATGGCAAATATACTTCTTTATTATGCGTTATGAATGTGACTATCCCGGTTCTCGCTCTGAAAACATGACATTTCTTTAATTTGACCTATATTTTAAATGCGGTGTCTTTGATCAAGCAGAAGACGCTTACGTGTCCGCACAACTTGATATTATTCTACTTGTACGTTTTAATGGCCTCTTTATACATCTTTTGTGAAGTTTAAACGATTTCGAGTGCAGTAACTTTGTGATGCTATATATTTTATTTACAGGTCAGTCGGTGCTGTGGAAGCGTTCAGCTCGTACATAGATGCCTACGTCTGCATAGAGCTTTACAGAGTGTCTGCTTACAAGTTCTACTACTACATAGGAACAGGTGAAGTTTTGTTTCGTTTCTTTTCGTTTGCTGAAGTTTTACCACCCATGACATAAGGACAGAGACAATAACACTTAATCGTATATGTCATCAATATTTAAGGATTGACCTTCATTTTGACGACGTATACGGTAGTATGAACGCAGTTGGCAACGGACATATTCTTTGGTGCGCGTTACGCAGAAACAAAGTCGAAGCGGGTTGTCACGACGGTAACTACGGTAGTCTTGGTTACCAGGACAATATAGTGCCAGTGAAACTACATCGATATATGAGTTAATTTAGAAAATACGCAGTGAACAACGCTATTTATTTTCCTTTCATGTTTTTTTTTTAAATTTCAAATAAAGCAATGTGTGAAGCCCTTCGAACTTTTCAATTCATTTACAACGGTCTTCATGTACGCGCATTGACACACTGCTTATGGAATGACGCGGTCAGAACGAAGCCGCCATTCTTGACGTTACCGCCAAAGAAATTTGAATGTGCATCCATGGAATCAGAAGTTTTCAGCATTCTTTTGTTGTATAATTAGACCTAACGGATCACGAATATGTTTTATGTATCTAGATGGTGAATGATCCAAGCATTGGTTGTCATTGGACTGCTTTCTTGCTGAAGCGTGAACGGCGCCATAGTTGAAACAAGTATCAATCCGCCGAGCCATTTTTCACTGCGTATACGCTAATTTATACACAGTCAGAGTTTACTAAGCTGAAAATATTACATCATGATATTACCCTTCATATTCACATTCACATACAAGAATACATGATCTGTCCAAGTCTTTACCTGTTAACTCGCTAATGTTAAAATATATTCATAAATTATTAATTTATTTTTATAGTTTCGACTACAGTTGAGATCTTCTTTAATAGTATTGTTTAGTTATGTAAATACAGAGACCTTACTGGTTCTCTGACAACTTGACAGATTTCCCGATTTAAAAAGTTAAGTAGTCATTAAGTGGAAATTTTTGTCAATTTTGCGTTACTTTTAACGATTTTATTGGCATACTATGAAATAATTTTTGGATCGGAAATCCAGTAGAGCTAACAGTGGCACCTTGGAAAACTAGTAGAGTGAAGCGCAAATGCACACTTTGAGAGTATCTATTTCGGGAATTATATCCTTAGGCAGCATTTACTATGACCAGGAATATGTTATGGAAAAATTTAACTTTCTTACGAAGAATGTATGATAGTGTAGTTGTTTTCCAAACTTTCTGACAACTTTTGTTTCATTTTTTGTTTTTAATAAGGTTTAATTAAATTTGATATATGTGAGATAAATAAACTGTACGAAGTGGTGCTACTCTCCGTTGTCAGTATTATGGGACTGGGTGGAATGCTGTGTTGTGTGCCTTCGGCATGGTATTTCAGTGAGGACGTTTTCTAAAGCTGGCATCAGATCCGCGCTATTGCAAGAATGCAAATACAAGAACCTATCACTTTCATCACACATGCATGCTTTATACACATGAAGGCAAGTCCTTAAATGCATGTAGGATGCTAAACCGAATAAAACCAAATAAAATCCCTTCGGGCCTAAATATATGTTGAGTTAGAGCGCTTTCATTACATGTGCCATTTTGCGTGTATATAGCTAAATTTGTCTCCAACCTTTAAGGCTAAAAGGAACTACTGCTACTTATCAATTACGGACTTTTTATGTTCATTCATGGTCGTATGAACCTGTCGAGGATGTATTTATCGAGACGATGCTTACTATTGTATTTATCATTAAAAAAGCTGTGAAAATTGTCAGGAGGGATGATTTCATTTGGTGGTCGGGTGGTGCAGTGGATAGCGCACTTGCCTTTCACCAAGGCGGCCGGGGTCCGATTCCCCGATCGGACGTGAAAAGGTTGGGGTCACCTGCCCGACCACGTGGGTTTTCTCCGGGTACTCCGGTTTCCTCCCACACTAAGTCCCCCACGCGCTAACATCCGTGCCAACAAGAGTGATTAATATAAGTTGAAATAACTTGTTTCATAATTGTTGTTAAATAAATAAAGTTTATATTTCATTTGGTTGAAAGAGATGCGGCGTAACAATGACGTGTCACAAAGTGAATATTCACCTGCTGTGTCTATATATACTGTGGAAACACGGACTCAATATCACAGATAACCGACATCACGTGATTACGATCCAACCAATGAGGATGTAGGTAACATTGGTGTCATCTAATATTGAATGTTAATGAGTGTCCTTTTGAAATTCTACAGCCGAGAGCAGTACGAACAGCGACTACGTATATGGAAGGGTGAACGGAACGGTCGTGGATATCACAGAAGCGTGCAACAGAGCGGAGCCGTATGAAGACAGCACTTTCGTTACACTTGTTAAATCAGGTAATGTTTCATATTGAAACATGTATTTCATTTGGTGTGTTTTTGGGGGGCAGTCTGTTGAATAAATTGAAAACGTTTTATGTCTTTGAGACTGTAGCGTATTTACCATGTTCAACTACATATTCATACAATAATTTCCTGATAATAACACAGATAGGATTTCTGTAGATCGTTCAAATATAAGTCAATAGTTCGTCTATCTTAATCAAATCCTTAGCAGAGAATAGACTTGAAGAGTCACGTGGCCATTTGCACGTCAACTTTATGTTTCATATACTGTAAATCTAAATTTTCAACCTAACCAGTTTTGGCCCTTTGAACGTTAAATTATATTTACCAATTTTGAATTCACCCACCTATACTAACTGGTAATTAGAAATGTAATACTTCATCCCATGTTGAATAATTGCAACCATTCAGCAACGAAATGGGCAAAATATAACTGTGCGTAAAATTCCCGTTTTACATTAACGTTGCTGCGGTACTGTTGTGACGTTGTAACTGATCACATTCCAGGCGCTGTCGATAGCGGGAAGGCTGATGCCACATGCCCGGATGATCTTTTGGCTAGTTACACGAACATTACTTACACAGATCATGCTGGGGCATCAGCTTGCTCCGGAAATTCTGAAAACGGATGCTCAAACAAGGTCCTGATGACTTATACTTATGAGAGTTGTACTTCTGGGAGCGTATTTTCAGGTAGGCAAAGAAGAAACATACCTATTATTATTTGAAACTGTTAGTCCTTGTTAATGATAAATTTAAAAATAAATGTATATATATATCAATTGACATTTATTTTGGAAAAAGGTTAGATAGAAGAAAAAATAAAAAAATATTTTAATATAATGATGCAACATATTAAATTAGCTGTAAGAACATCGATTCTCTATTATCATGTGATAATACCATGTACCAGTTAGGGCTAAACAGTGGATATCATATAAACAGCAAGTACAAGTGCCAAAAAAGTAAAAAAAACAAGCTGTTTCTTATAGCATCCTTCTCCCCGTTTCACTTTAATACGCTACAATGTATTGGATCGGGTCTGGCTACGTCGAACCACGGGTCTGATTCTGTTGACGTTTTCCTCCAGCTCATCAGTAGGACTCCCTCATTATCCTTGGCATTTGAAAAAAAGCACATATATATATATTAATAAAATGTACATCCTAGTAATCAGTGGAAGATAACCAGAACATGAACCCTGATATATTATAATTTTCTGTTCTCTTACAAGACAGCTCATAATACTGGAATAGAATGAAGAGATTGGTTATTTCAGGTTATGAAAATAATATGCAAAATAATAGAAAGGGTAATGGCAGTATAAAATGTTTGATTTCTGTAATGCATCCTTAGCAACAGATGCAAAAGGAAACGCCCGATTCTGTCAGCAACTCAAGTTAGTCGCTTCGTTCAATCAGGTCGTGGAATCCAATTGGCTAAGATTTTATCGCCAAATCTGTAGGGGTAGCGTCAAATGGAAGAATTGATAGATATACATTATGTGTTGCAGCTAACGGGTCGTTCCATTGCATCCACTCACTGACAAGTGGGTCGACAACATACCTGTCAGTGTGGAACGATGACGTCACAGTGGATGACTCATCCACTTATAGATTCACCTGTCTGGTAAATACTTAAATACTACAGGTTCTTATTTCAGGTAACTCGTTTTCGTATTCAATTGGCGTTAAAAGTTATCCTACGAAAAGGTAAAACCAAATGTTAGCCATTCATTTTGGACGAAACTTGCTTTGGAATTTCGCTAACCTATAAAAGCCATCACAGAAAAAAAAGTTTATAAAAGGCTTTGTAGCTTCGTCTAATAAAATGATTTCTGGTAATATATGTTTCCTTTTCAAGAGATGTAAACAAAATGCTTTGTAGCTCCGTCTTCAAAAGAATTTCTGGTGATATTTTTTTTATCAATAATGTTTTATCTAATGACAAGTAAACTCGTTTCCATGTGAATTTTCTGATGGATCATAAACAACAATAGTTTCATTTTAAAGGCTTTCAAAAAGGAAGGAACCACCATCTATGCAACAGAATATCCCCGGTTCTGTAAGGATACAACACAGAGCAGTACGACTGTAGCCTCTCCGGGAATAGTGGTGGTGTTTGAGTCAAGGTCCACCACATGTGGTGAGTATACCACACGAACATTGTCAATATCCGTTCCTGCTTTGTAATGAACCGTGATTTATTTCGGGTTGCCCGCGGGCTATATGATGTTTTACTTTGAAAGATCACTGTGCGGGCTTTCTATTAAAGCATGCGATGTGACAATGCTTTTTTGAGAAAACCCAGAGAACAATTGTTAGCTCACTGAACATGCAAGGATGTTGTTGGAACTTTTTGATCTTGTATATGTCATATATGGATTTAAGGGTCACAGTACCATTGCGAAACATTATAACTACGCATCTGAAACTATTTTTTCCGGCATGACTTTAATTTTGAAGAAAATATATTCTGAAAAGAAAACCATACCTTGCGTTCCGGGACTTTAATGAAAACAATAAGTATTAAATGTTTTGAGTGTAAAACGTCAGCGGGGTTAGACCGGGATTCGAACCTTTGACGCAGACACAGACTGCTAGCACTCTAACCGATTGAGCTACGTCACCAACAAAATTGTTCCGGCAAACTTTGCTGCAACTATATACAAAGTGAAGTAAGATGAGGTTATTGCATATATAAAAGTCACAGTGCAATGGATCAAGGATCCTCAAAGAATCAGAGAGAATTCCACTGACGTCACGAGTGGATTTTATGTTAATAAAAACCAATCACAATCGCGTACATGTGTTAAGATATGTCTTTTGTTTTTCTAGTATTGACAGAGACAGCCATATCAAGCGGATGGTGGATCGCTTTGATAGTCATTCTAGTACTGGTCGTGGTAGGGGGTGTTCTAGTTGGCGTTATCTTAATGAAGAAACACAAGAACAAAATCAACATGCTGTGAGTAAAATAATGATTATTAATTCGAATTCATACTTAAAACAAAATATTGCTAGATCTTGAAATGTCCTTTCTACAATGTAACCATGACCATAATGAATAATAACATTTCATACATATATATGAAACGACCAGTATTTGATTCCAACTTTTCCTTTTCCTATCGAAAATATATGCATTCATACTTACGACACAATCTCTTGTTGTAACCCATGATAAACGCCAATGTTAAGGTTCACATTGTTTCCTGCCTTTAAACCTTTTCATGTGTCTTTTTCATGCTGTAAAACTCTATAACCACCAACCCCATTAATTTGCTTTCACGGTAGGCAGGGGAGATAATCTGTTCACAGGCTCTGCGGAATCGCCGCTCGCTCTCAAGCAGAGTAAATCGCTGATCATAATAAATAAATTTCAGCATTTACAATGGGAAACTTTATATAACGTTGTTCTACAGTTATGTTATCTTCAATTGTTTCGATATTATTGTCATCATATTCCATTTAACGTAATACCGTCTATAGTTAGCGTCCGTCTAGACTGTGAAAGCAAATTAATGGTAATAATGAACTTTCTCACATCTCTTTAGTTATACCAAACTTTTTCTTTCCCATACCTCCAGTGCTAGCTATCAATTCACTTCCAACATGGAAATCAAAAGTCGAGAACAGGATACCTCCAAACCAGATGGTGAGACCCCGTACAATTACACTTAATTACTCAACGGGCACTTTATACCTTGTTATTCTGATTTTAGTTCTCTGTGATAATGCAAATGTGTGTTAAGACAAAATCCAAAGTGGGCTCGAAATGTTTTGCAAGAGATCGAGAGAAAGAAAGAGAGAAACACACTATTGTGTTAGCCCTACATTTTACTAAATAGCAATAGTTCTTACTTCCTCAGATAGAACCGTGTAGTAAACCGTTTCGTTTGTTTCGTTAGTCTCTGCCATCCTTGATATCCAAGGGTTATGCTCGCCTACGCTCTCTACAGCTTAGGTGAGCGTAACCCATGGATATCGATGATGATTCTCTGCTACATGTAAATAGGGTGATCGCTAAAGCAGAATCGACTGTGTGTTTCATAACGCTGTACTTTTTAGAAGTTCATTTTTTAATGATTCTGTTATCGAAGGAATCCGTGGGTTGTTAACTTTATATTAATTTTACCTACAACCACTATAGGTTCCTCACTCCCTATTCATGGGATAAACTTGCTAGCTGGTAAACCAAAGCAACTAGTGGTTAACACCCTGGATGTGTTTTAATTGGTTACATGTAATCATCTAATTATGACGTCAAGTAAAAATGCTTTGCAACGTCATCTTCCATTGTTATTTCATAGTTCATGACAATTGTTTCCCTGATCGGAAACATGAATAATGTTATATATATAATATTGGAACGATGTGGGAGAAAAGATCCCCAAACTCGTGATGATGGATTATCATGTGTATTTAACTCTCAATAGTAAATTTCAAATTGTAAAAGATACTCGGTAAACCTCGTGTCTTAACACTATTTGAAAACGAACTTACTGGAGGTAGATAAAAATAATAACCAACCATCACTCGTTTGGAACCTGTCTATAACTTAATGCATCTGAGTGGCAAAAACGTTTCGGGATTAATCTTTCACGTATTGTTATTATATATGTAACCATCTTGTGGTAATTATCATTAAATATCTCTGTTTATTTCAGTGAACTCGTCCGAATAAGCTAAAATACCTACCAAGGTAAGTATAATAAATAAAATCATTATTTACGAGGCATCTGTCGGACTACATATATATTTCTAATGAAACTGTTCATAATGCTTTGTAACCTAAAGATATTCATTTATAAAAAAAAAAAAAAGTTGTTTAAAATAACACGATTAACAGTAGGAAAACAATATCAAATAAAGGTAAACAAGTAGTTTTTAGTATCTTGTTTAAAACAAGGTTAACAAAGAAATAGTTTGCTATTAATAACTTTTGTTTAACATATAGGTCGGAAAATGACCATCAGTCTCATCTACAGCAAAATGGCTCACTTGCAGATAAGATGGAGAGGAAGGGACAGAACCAGAGGAATTTTGTTGTTTTAACATCAAATAGTATTTCCTAATTAATTTGCTTGACATTCTGATTGATCGATGTAATATTCAAATTTGCATTTTTAATACCGGATATTATATATATATTATTGAATGAAATTTGAATATTGTTTAAGCGATGTAGTTATGGATGACAAACTGAAAACAAGCTTTTTCACAATGGAATGATACGTGGCATTATACCGGAGCAAAGTATCTGCCATATTGAGTCTGTGAAGTGTTTCGAGGAGAGATCAAAGAAGTACATGAGATGATGTACTTCACATTAAATATATATCCCCCATAAAGCTTATGGTATCATTGATATGATAGAAAAATCCTTGTTTACTTTATATGATGTATATAAACCATTTTTAATTCTAATGCATCTTGTTAAGTCATTTTATCACACGAAGTAGCATATACTCTTACTAAACTTCTTCAGCTTTGAATATCGTTTTGACTGTATCGTATTTACACTTATTTTCATTCATATCTGATGCAAAATTTATCAATTCCAGCCCATCAACTATTATTGTTATGTATGCTAGTTATTTCAAACTCTTAAATAATCGCTGATGCGATGACATTTTACCTTAAACATATTCATATCTGGATTGTGTTGAGAAAGCTACTATACTCTTGAAGATTGTAATTTATAACCAATCATGTTAGATAATTCTCACAGATAGCCTCCTCGCCGCAGTTCGAAGACTACATTTAATTTTGTATTCTATTTTTTCTTCATTTAAAGTGTATGCTGAATTTGTACCGCTGTCTTTTGTTGTTTGATGAATTAATAAAACAAATCCTTTTTAAATTACATGTTAAATATTATGTTTGTCTTATTATTTTTTGTTTGTTTTTATACGTTGAATTACACAGCAATTTAAAACAAAACCTTCTTCAGATTGTCACGTTCTACTGTAAACAATTTGATACACGACTTGTAATGAAATTTCAATGTTCGTTGTATCACTATTTTCGGGGAATATGCGTTTGTATAGCTATACATTATGTATCTAGTGGTTTCCAAAATAGAAACATTAATTAAAGCTGAACATTATTTTCGAAAGTGATAATGATCTTCCTCGGATTAATTTTCATGATTTTACATGAGTCACAGAAAACGTTCACTATTGCGTATCGCCTCGTCTTGCCTTCAATATCATTTATGTAGTCTTTCCTTTTTTATATATTCTTAGGTTCTATACCAAGTTCACAAAATTCCATCGTGTTAAGTTCAACGAAGTCTGCCTGTCCGCTAGCCTATCAAAAGTCAAACATAGTAGACATTGCCTGAACCATATAGCAATGTGGTCCATTTAGGAATTATCGGTGGTACAAATGTCCTTAAAAGGAAACAAACAAAATATGTAATAAGTATCTAAGATGTTCCAAAACATTTGAAGTAATACAGAAAAGGAAGTACGTGGCTATAAAACACTTATAACATTTCAGGTTTTGGATAAAACAAATGATATACATTTGAGAAATACATTTCGAGTAAAACGAATGTCAAGCTACAAAACAAAGTTAGGACAAACCTCCGGGATTAATTTTCCACAAGCACAGTCAATCACAGAATGGCGTAAACATCACTATATATACAAAGAAAGGAAGTGCAATTTAAAATGTTATAAAATGGTGGACGAGTATGCGTCTCTGCTATGCTGTGATGTTGGTGGTTTGAAAAAGGTATGTGAGCTTCCCTGGTGATTCGCAGAATCTTTCATTGTCTAATGACTAGGATAGTAACTATCAGTGCATACAAATGTAACATCATTACATTTTGATTAAGTCGTCTACAATCATTAATATCAATATCGTCAGTTGATAATTTACACTGTAGCTTCAAAATAAACCACATGTGCCCCTTTCGTGCTCGAATTTATTCTATCCTATTCACATGTAACTCAGTATGGGTCTTATAAGAAATCAACAAGAGTTTTCACTTTCACGTTCCTGATAATTGAAGGAGACGACATCAAGGCGAATAGGTTGGTTTGGTTTGGTTTGGAATGGTTTAGTATTGTTAAACGTCCTATCAACAGCTATGGTCATGTAAGGACGGCCTCCCCTGTGTGAAAGATGCATGCGCGTAGTGTATGCGTGTTTGTTTTGGGAGGCTACGATATTTTCGTGTTTGTCTCCTTGTTATAGCAGGGAACTGATGCCGATTTTATAGTGCTACCTCACTGAAACATACTGCCGCATACACCCATCAGGACACCCCACCCGGTCACATTATACTGACAAAGGGCGAACCAGTTGTCCTACTCCTAAATTGCTGAGTGTTAAGCAGGAGTGGGAAACTACCATTTGTACAGACTCTGGTATGACATTATGAAGGAGAAAGTTGTTTAGAAAGAATAGAAAAGAAAAGAGCCCAAATTTAGTCCCCTCTTACGATCATGCAATGGGGGCAGCAGGTACAATTCTTACGCCCTATACCTGCAGGGACATCAAGGCGAATAGGTCTTGGTTCCGTTACTTACTACTTTTCCATGTTTTTATTTATTTGCAATTATTATTTGGGAAAGCCTGCTTAAATATTTTCACGATCATCGGTTAGTAATGATTATATGGTCATTGTCCTTGGACTACGGAGGTGAATCTCTTTTCCTTAATGTTGAAGTATGGATCGAGCTTTTAAAAACTGGAATGATATTGCAAACTATACGTTCATCAGTCATAATATACTTATAATATGTCTATTGAAAAAACACTTTATAAAGGTAGGAAGCAAAACAAAATATTTGAAAATGTGTGTTCGAAAGTCATAATGTTTTCTCACGTATTGTTTTGAGCTTAATTACATGTACATTTAATTATATATATTACAAGATCTTACTCAATCACACCTAATTGGCTATTTACACAATGTATTTTTCATAAACATGATATTTGTAGTGAACAATACACGACTTATTGCAAATGCTTTCTACGTATTGCAAACTCCGTATGCGAATCCACACTTCGTCTTACGTCTGCCGAGGTTTTCTGTATAAACGTCCAATTTTCTCAGTGATTCATCATGTTGATCGGGCGATTATTCAAATAGAATTTTGATGGATATCTATTTATTTTATTTACGATAGTCATATCTCAATATATACGATAAACAATATTGATCCCGTTAACAATAATATTACTACCCGATATGTAGAATGGATTAGGTAATTTCAGGCCTACAAAATACTCTGTATCATGTTAAATTATCATTATGATGAGCTCAAGTTGTATGTTATAATTGTTTATCGCTTAGGGTCATATAGATCCATCATTGTGGTCTATGGATGTCAGTAAGTCAGTAGGCATACTTTAAAAGTACTTGTAAAAGTCTTGTAAAGGACTTGCGCATGGACAGACTTGGTAACACAAGTCAAGTACGCACCTTAGTTTGTTTGATTTGGAAACTTTCTTAACACGAAATATTTCGTTTAGTTACAGAATATTTTAAAATGTCAATCCAACATATTAAACAATTAACACGAACGTAAAATAGTTCCACAAACGCAGCACGCTGAACACAATCATACGTCAAACGTGACACAATTGCAATACAACGCCAAAACACAGCTAATTAGTTTATTGGTGTTACCAAGTCTGTCTGTCCGTACGTTCGTCACAAATATCATGGGTGTTGCTAGTCATCTACATCACCGGACAGATTGCTTCGAGGTTCGTTACAGCAAACCCACTTCAAATCATGCACATTTGATACGCTTAAGGACGTTCACTGTTTGTAGCTCGACGGAAACTAAGGGCGATAATCCAGGACAATTCAAGTCACTGCTCGAGATAATACTACATGTCTTTATACACCTACACATACCACTAAGCGCAACACAAATCGTTGATCCGATCTCAATGCTTATTTTTCTTAATACATTCCATTATTCGAAACAGTAAAACCTGTGTAATCTATTAAGTTACACTTCTGGAAATCATCCAACAATATTTCGGTTTTGATTTCCACATCTAGAAAGCAAAATGAAATGCTTGGTTTGATAAATGTAAGACCTATGTACATTGCATATTGGATATGTCGAAAATGTTTTATTTTTCATTACGTTACGTCATATAAACTGGAATATCCTATTGATAATATGTAGAATGTTGTAAAAATCGTTGGTTTATTATGACGATCGGGAGATGGATTATTCTGTTGGTTTATGGGAAATACGTCCTTCATTCAGGTAAGAGATTTTGTAAAGAAATTTTGATAATCGAATTATATAAACTATTACAATTTTCATGATTATTCATGCTTAACATTTTAAATTATGAAGTGTCCAATTATAAAATGATGACGTTAAAAACTTCTGTTCCGCAAAGTATAATGTCATTTCGTTCCATCACTGCCTTTTATTCGAATATAACCTAATATCTTAGTATATCGTTAGATAGATTTCGAATGTCAATAGAATATTATACGCTTATATTACAAATTTCAGCCTTATTTTTTTTAACGTTAATGCTCCACACATATATACAGTTGATCTAATAATACTTGTTATAATATTTGTAATACATCTTGAAGAAAATAATTCAGAAACATAGAATACAGAATATGTTTTGTAACTGTGTTCATATTCAATGTTTTATTGTCATTATCAGAGCACTAAAAACATGAAACGTTAAAGCAACTATTTAAAAAAGAAAATCAAAGAAAAATGTTTACTGTATCATATGGCCTTTTCGTCCATTTGAGTGGTCTTCAGATCAACATAACAAGAAACCTGTCTCAAGCAAAAATCAAAACACTTTCTACAACTTATTCCCTGGATAGCAGATATTCAAAACTACTAAAACATCGTTTCACTGAGTATGCCTTTTAAATACACAACAAAAAAAATGTGATCAACTGATTACTGCCTTTATCATATCAAATAACTACTTGAAATAAGAAAAGAAGAAACATCTACTTGAAAAGTTTGTATATGCAGAAAGCCAATCAATGTAATACTGATTCTAATCATATGACCAATGATGAATTACCATCGATACTTGAGATCAAAAGCATGAAAAACCCCTGTCTGAAATGTTCCAAATATATTGTAGACTTCAGCACAAAGCAGATCAAACCACAAACTACAACTTTACCTCTGGCTGTTGACAGCAATTCAAAACTGTAAATAGATATTTCCTGTGAAAACGCCTTTAGTTTGGTAATAAAAGGCACAGAAACAAACAAATACTTAATAAGAACATTATAATTTTATAAACATGTATACACAATGCATTATGAAATATATGTTAACTGATAATTTTTGGCATGGATTAGTTATTTAAATACCGGTTTTACGATTAGTATTATAACTAATCATTGTTCTACAATATGGTACTAAGGAAAGAATTGTTTAAGAATCAGATTTGACTTTTGTTGGCTAAATTGCTTTACCAGTGTTCTCACACGCTAACAAAACTTTAATCTGCCCTTCAGCTTTGTGTATCGAAATTAGCAACAATATAAGTATACACATTTTTCACCTAAAAACAAACGTTTAACCTTTCTCTCTATACATTGTACCTTGACTTAAGTTTAGAGAAAAATCCTTATCAAACTCGGTAAACTCCCTTTGACCACGAATGCAGACTTTCTTTGTAACTGTAAAAAGACATGAGTTTGTCGTCAATAGGTATATTGATAAAAGATTCTGCAGGAAAAAGTTACTCCTCCCGAACGTTTCTGGCCTTAGGTCCTCAGCAAATAAAATGAGAAGAATAAATAGTTTCAAATAAATATGAAATCATGATTGTCTCCAACATTATGACCTTTACGGATAAGACTACACAAATAGACACTTTTATGAATAGAACATTAGCTGAGCATACTATGCATTTATTGCTGTTTATTGTTTGATAACCAAACTGACTGATTAACCGGTTACTCGGTCTAAAAAATAATTGAATAACCGATTATTAAAATTCGTCCGGTTTGACAACCCCAATAGTTAAGGATTGAACTGCATCTTTGACTTCGACGATAGTATGTAAAATACTTCCATTGAAGCATATGTTGCACGCTGCTACATGTAGGACAATATATTCGAATTTCGATAATCCCGTGAAAATGTTTTCAAAGTATGAAAAAACTATATGTTACACCCGTTTTTTATTGTTCGGCAAATTCAAATTCTCGTTTTTCGTTTGAAGGAAATTGTCGGAAGCAATTATTCGCATGATTAAATTTATTAACAAAAAACAAGATGTAAGCAATGGTTGACGAAATAACGTTTTAAAATTATGTGAAAAGGAACCTACATTTCGCCTAGGTTCTGAGTCTTGAATTTTTGTTATATTTCAGACTGCATGCAAACATCGATTTTCTTAAGGAATACACAGTACGAAACTTGTAAATACCTATTGTTAATGTTACATTTAGTTATGTATGTATTTGAAAGGCACTGTCATGGTAGATTACTTACTAGATTATGCTTGCTAAGAAATTGGGGCAATATCTCTAGTACATTTCAAAGGTTTAATATGTATAATACACATGAAGAAAATATTGAGTTTTTCCTTGTTAATCTTACAACATCACTAACTTTAAATCTAATATCTCACCACAGATGCTGTATGCACCTACCCGACAGATCTGAGAGGGGATTGGTACTCGTCCTCAAATGGAATACTTACATTTGAGAACTCCGCCATTCAAGGTTTCATCAGTGGAGCCACGCTCATTGGCACGCAAAATTACACGTGCGAATTCGACGGTACGGGAGATAGGTATATCGCAAAGTAAGTTGTCATTTATATTACATTTAAAACGTTCAATATTCCACATGCCCTTTACTGACAAATCAGGAATAACTGTTACAAAAGTAATGGCAATGCATTATTGCACATAGTGTTGAAGCTGTGTTACTTGCCTCAGCTAACGTCACTATACCCTAATCGGGACAGTACCCAAAACGGGACACTTATGGTAATATTTTTATGACAATTTAACTGTATATAAGCGTTATTGGATGCTTATTATCGTAACATGGACAATTCAAAGATAAGAATAATTACCAAAACAAAACTTTCCTGATTTACGTGCCGTGCAACGCTATCTATTAGGATATTATTTTCAAAAGTCTATTTTATCAAAACTAATGCTAGTTTGGAGAAGAAATTTGATAAGGACCCATTTTGAACTAAGCATATTTTACTGCTGATATTGATCGTTTATCCCAAAATATTACCCAAAATTCCGAAGTGTCCCTTTCAGGTTACAGTAACGCAAGTTTAAGGACCTCCGTAACTTTTGTGTTCTATTTATAGAACCACGCGCCCGAAAAACCAACTTGTAATAGAAATGAAAAGTGGATAATATCTGTTTATGAAAAATGAACAAACATTTTTGGTATTGATAGTACGATATAAAGAACATTGATATTTATCTGAAACATATCCCGATTTGGGTACAGTGATGTTAGGGGAAATTTCTCTTTCGGCAGTAGAGCGTCCGAATTTCTAGAAAGCCCCTTCGATCGCAGTAACGAAGGCATATATTCAATATATGCATATATTCCCGTGAAGGCATACATTCTTTTGAGTACTTTCTTCAAATTACAAATCCCTTGGATAACAAGCCAGAAACAATCTCATGTACTTTACTTGCAAACCAAGACAAAAAAAATCACAAATACATGTACTTACTGTCGAAACAGAAGGGGCGATTCATAAAACCCCTTAATTATACGAATTTCAAAATTAACAAGAAAACTGGTACATTGGCAAATTAAAACTTTATCATGCATGATATGTTTAAATTATGATCTTTACTACTACTCATAACAGATAACCGTAGTCATCCGTAACCGTATTTGCGAACCTCTGAGACTAAGAAATCCACCAGCAGGTTTTACCGGTTTTTTTGAAAGAAGAAGACATACAAGCGATTGTAGCTGTTAAACCATTGCTTTTGTCTTTGTCTCAACTTAAAGAAAAGGTGTTTTCGTATAACCTCCAATGAAATTGTTCATATAATTATTATGCTTTGATTTAAATTGGTATAGCCTTCAATTGAACCAACCTAAAGATATACATTGGATACATATTTCAGAGCCACCGTCCAGTTTTTCACAACAGTCAGTGGTGATGTTTACCTATGTATGAACATGGTCAAAGAGTCAGATTCAAAGTACATCGTAACGTACGAGTCAGGTGAGAAGATGTTTTGGGGAAGAATATATACATTTACTTTAAAAACAAGAGGCCCAGAGGGTATGTACGGTTCACCCGGATATCAAAGTAATCATGGCAAAATTTACTCATTAAATATTTTACTGCAAATATTTCCAAATAATGTCTCTCGGCATCAACATTATCTTATTAGTTCCTATCCCTCCGTCCCCTTTTGTGGGGTTGGGGCACCCATGATTTATTGTTATACAACATTGGAGTTTATTTGGACAAGGATACTCTATTGCACATCGGGATTATAAACCTTTTTCTCGGTGGATCGAAAAAGATTTAAGATTTACATCTATTTCGTTTGAAAGAAAATCTCGACGTGAAATATTCGCATAATTAAATTGATTAACACATTTTTAGATGTAAACAATAGTTGATGAAATTCCTTTTATTGAAATTATATCTGTTTAGGAACCTAAATTTCGTCTAGGCTCTCTGTCAGGAATGTGTGTTATATTTGACAATGTGCATCAAACATCGCCCTTTTTACGGAATACACAATACGAAATTTGTAAACACACTTTGTTAGTGATATGCATTTGACAAGTAGTCAAGTGTTGGTGCATCGACACCGTCTTAGAAGATTACTTTCTATAATTTGTTGCGTAACAAATCAGATCAAATATTTTAACACATTGTATAGGTTTATTATTTAAAATGATAACTGAAGCGTATATGGAGTGTGTCCCAACTAACTTAAACATTTTAAGTTAATAACAATCCGTGTGTAAATGATGCAAGATACGTGAAATGAATGTCTCTCTTTCTAACATATTTTCTCAAAGTGCAATTTTATGAATGGAACTTATTACGTCTTCGTTGTCTCTTTTCTTGTTACAGAGATTGACTCCACCACAAATCAGCGGGAGGTTGTTATACTTTCGGGAACTGGAAACGTGGCTACGGAGAGCACCATTTGTAACATAGTAGGTTCATATCCGACCGGAGCACATGAAATCTTCGTTAATAAAGGTACGCGAAATAAATTATCACATGGAATCCAAATGTGTTCCTAGACAATATGAGGACCAGTACATTTGTAAATTTTCAATTTTGTCATATAAAGCGTATGCATTATCATCGGTAATAGCAGTTACTCTGATGTTCAAACGACTAAGGGTTTTGATAAAATTGTTAGATTTATTGATGTAGATCATTATGATAATAAGTAAAAACAATATCTCATTTTAGAGATTGTGCTGATGCAACTTGATTATTCCGCAAAGTTGATTGAACCTGAAACTAATGTTGTTGCCAACAGCTGATACAAGAGAGTAACAGTTTAGTTGCAGGGCAAATCAGATATGTGTTGTCCAAATCCTGAGGTTGTTATTATTTTGTTATACTCATATAAAAGTTGTGCATGAAATTCAGATAATTTAGCAAACACATAATAGCATACCTGAACACTTATGTTTGGTAATATTGCGCGAAAAAAATCCAGTAGATTCGGTGATGACGTCATATTTGACAGTCTGTATCAATCTGGTGATCGGACTACAAAACGTTTGTTAAATGTCACGGTCAAATATTCTAAGTCCCGACTATAAGACATCAGTATAATACCACATAGCAAAAGCGGTAAACAATATATTTCTTTGGACAAGTTCACGAACAGTATGTATTTGTAGCTTAGAGTAATAACAACACTGGTTTCTTATGTTTACGTTCAATTGTAGACTCGGTAGAGGACGCTGCCGTAACATGTCCTGCCATCCTTCAGAATACACTTGACGTCGTAGTGTCCAACAAGTCATGCACTAGATCACAATTAGACGGACAAACAGACACAACACGACTGTCTTTTACGTACTCCGACTGCGCCCAGGAGACACTTTTTTCATGTAAGTACATGTGGGTTGCTGACTTGAAAAATTTAGTTCTTAAAGCTAGGTTTATTTTTTCATCTATATATGGATAGAAAAAACTATGAAATTTGAGTTATTCGTATGAAAGCAAATACTTTTTAATTATATGTTTAAAGGTATATACTGTATTGTATACTGAAACTAACATACCAACTACATGTAAGTTATTGCTATATAAAGGTACTATCTTACCCTGAACATTATCTCTCTAAATTATAGATGTTTTTAGCAAAATTAAGATAAATGAGTGTTGATTTAAAACAAATATATTGTTCAGGATAAAAAAATCTAGAAATAGGGAAAGAAATTTTAAAAAGAAATGTTTTATCCGTAACCATAATGGAAACAGTATATATATTTTACACAAAATGTGAGTGCCACTAGTGTTGAAGTGTAGACATAATAACGAAAATGGAAGCTTTATGTTTTGACATTTGATTTTTTCAGCTAATGGTCAGTTTATCTGCTTGTACAGTTTTACCGATGGATCTTTTACCTACCTCAATGTACTCAATAACGATTCCTCCATTTACGAGCCTACAACATACCGTTTCTCATGCTTCGTAAGTATAATTTTTATGAATGGAATAATCTCACATCTCACACCGATTCTCATACTACGCAAGTATTATTTATATGCATTGAATAATCTCACATCTTAAAATGAACCTCATGCTTCATGTATATAAGTATTATTTATACACATGGAATAATCTCACATCTCATACCGATTCTCATGCTTCGTAAGCATCAACAACAAACATGGATAATGCTCAAAATTCGAACAGATTCTCATGCTTCGTAAGTATAAACAACAAACATGGATAATGTTAAAAATTCGAACCAATCCTCATGCTTCGGAAGTATCAATAACAAACATGGATAATGCTCAAAATCCGAACCGATTCTAATGCTTCGTAAGTATCAACAACAAACATGGATAATGCTCAAAATTCGAACAGATTCTCATGCTTCGTAAGTATAAATAACAAACATGGATAATGCTCAAAATTCGAACCAATCCTCATGCTTCGGAAGTATCAATAACAAACATGGATAATGCTCAAAATTCGAACCGATTCTCATGCTTCGTAAGTATCAATAACAAACATGGATAATGCTCAAAATTCGAACCGATTCTCAAGCTTCGTAAGTATCAATAACAAACATAGATAATGCTCAAAATTCGAACCGATTCTCATGCTTCGTAAATATTAAGTTATTCAAAATAGTTCCCTGCTTATAGTGATGTTGACATGCTATCATGATAACGAAATTTTAAATAATACACCACCGATGTAATTTGATGTCACAATGATGTGCAAGATTGGAAATAAGGATGTGCGAGTGTGTGAAGACATACGTATGCATTTCTAAAACTTATTTTTGTAAAGTAACATCATTTTTCTTATATTAATGGCACAGTTAGAAGTACATATAAAACAATATGTTTGGCGAACAAAAGTTCATGTTGTCGAATAAAATTTAACTTTATTTCAATAGGAAAAAGCAAGAATTAATCAATTACTCTGATCAAAGTCTACGACTTCAAATACTATCTAACATATTGCAGGATATTATGTTATCAGTTTACGTGCACTGACTGACCGTGAAAGAGTTTTATTTTTCCGTGACTGGTACACAGGGGTTATATATCATGTGTTAAGATGTTTACCAACAATAATTAGTCTGCGGTACTTCAGATTTGATGTCGAACAGCACTTTTAACATTTCCTTAATCCACTTCAGGACCTTACATCACTACTGCCAGTGGTCGCGTAATGGTATACCGTTTCAAACGACATCTCACTTTCATCAGTGTCTCGATCTAACATAGCAACGAGTAGTTATGTGTGTGTATTTATAATACCGACACGGCGTACTTTGTACCTATTAACGTTAAATGTAGCACTTATTTGTTATATGTGAAATATATATCAGGGTGTCATATCAGGGAACGCAAGCTTAAACATTAATATACGTATTAACTTAGTACTACTTTTATAATTTTTGAAGCTGGAGCTATAATATGCATGCCGTGGGAAAAAAAATATATCATTTGTAGAATTTGTACGTAAAAAGAAGATACTATTACACATATTTTTCAAAAACTAAAATTTGAAAATTCAATTTAGCATCTCAGTAAGCTAACAATACTACAAAGATCTGGATACAAACCACTTTGCTGCACCAAACGTTGATGAATTCATCAGCTTAACGACTTTTCTCCATTCTATTCTAAAATTTTCTATTTTTTATTTATACCTTTTCCCCATTAAGTTCCTAATCGGGCTTTCTCAGATTTCATACTAACTGATGATAATTTCAATATTTATACATAATGTACATGTACGTTTAAGTTGTAATATCAGTAGTTATTAACCTTAATTCCATTTTTCACATTATGTCAATACGTTTACCGCTTACTTTGTTCTGATTGTAAGTTGTACTTAAAAACCTTACAGACCGGAGTAGATTACAGACCCGAGGTTACGAAATGTTGGTTTTAAGTAGATAAAAAGACCGAGATTTACTTGTCACTTTTAGGCAAGTCAGATGTGAAAGGAATTACAGGTTTATATGGCAGGTCCGATTTCTTACCAACCAAAACTACATATAGTATGGATGATAGATCAATACTATTCCGAGGAAACGGTTTTATGGGTCCCAAAGAAATGGAATGAATATATTGTTTGGAACCAGTCAATAATATGTTGCTGCATTTCGTTCTTATTTTTATTTTTTTAGCAGTATTTTACATTAGTTGGTTTCTGAAAACATGTCGCATTATGAGTATAATACAGCGACATACATGATGTAATATATCAGCTAATAACTGACATGAGCTCTTAGGCACCGATGGAATATGAATGTTTATATCGTCGAATAGTGTTTTACGTAAAACTGGAAAAATAATGATTTGTGAATATTTCAGTTATATACTCAACTATGCAGCAATTATTGCACCATGATACAAAAGCAGAAACTTCTGTAACTTAACCCTTTCGCACGGTTTTCCCGAACGCTTAAATGTCGGTCCTTTAGTTTCGAGATAACACAGCTGGACTTTATAACAAAAGATGTGAAATTTTACTAAGGTTTTATACGCGATAATCCGATTCACCCTAGTGATCTGTATGTATAGTCAGACCGAGGTGACTTTTTCTATTTCAATAGCCAATTCAAACTAATTCCTGTAAGGCTATTATACCTGAGTAGTCCTAACTGCGGTATTCTACTGAAATGTAAACCTTAATTATACAATACACATATATCACTTTATGAAAGAAATAGGATTAATAGTTTCGTATCGTTTTACTGTTGTGGGAAACAAACACTGTTCGAAGTCTATTTCAGTACAACTAATCAGTATAATTAACTTCGTTAACTATTGTAGGTTTTGGAGGCACAAGGAAGGCTTGTGTACGTGACACAACATCCGGAAGTATGTCAGTCTGGCCAGACGCCTTATAATGTGTCCTCATCAGGGAGAATCCTGGTGTTAATTGACAACGGTAAGTTGTCCTAATTTGTTTTTAAACTAAAAGCAAATTGCAAAAAAACAATGAATATCCATTTCTATTAGAAAGATCTGGGCCCGTATTCATGAAACAGTGCTCAAGCTCAAGAATGGAGTTTGTGCTCAAACCAACTTTCTAGTAACTCATTTAAATCATGTAAAACGATAAAAAAAAAATCAAATGTAAACATTGAACAAAGCAATCGAATGTAAGTCTCTTCATTGGTTTTCTCGAATCAAGGAAAAACAATATTTTATTATTGATTTATAACGAAAATAAGAAATTAGGCCTGAAAAAGGTTTTATGAATACCGGCCCTGGTCTTTCTTCCATCCTATCCGGGTATATTAGTTGAGCGTCTTGCCAGCTAGATGAGGGTTTTTATTGAATGATATAAATCTTTATTAATAAATAAATGTTTTATCATTTTTTAAGTTAATACCATATATACACTATATTTCAATATGTCACGACTTCACGAATTAAGCATAATATAAACATTGAAAATAAAGGAATTATATGCGAACATTATTTGGTAATATCTTTACAAGTTACACAATCAAAACGTGCATTTTGTGTTCTGGAAAGTAATTACCAAGGAAGTGTTTACCGATAACATTATCTAAGAAAACGATTGATTGTGTAGGGCAATTGACGATTTTTCAATGTGTCTTGTGTTGAGGTTAGAAAATGAAAAAAATTACTTTGAATTTATTATTTTGATTATATTTCGAATGGTATAATAGTAAAATAAAATAAATATTTGATTATGATATGGTATTGTTATTCATGAAATACATTATTTCGTTCAGACATTAATGAGTAAAGGTATGACACATAACAAAGGCTGTTGTGACAAAAGGAAGTACGTCACGGATATGACATACATAGTGTACTATGTTGTAGAGTTTGACCTTCTTAAATTGTGAGGAAACAAACGTGTATCTACGTATTATGTTTAGACATACCGGTTATATCCTTCTTCCTCAAACACTCAAACCAGTGATTCGTCTATGAATAAAAGTGTTATCTGTTATCTTCCTTCTCTAAGGTTCATAATGAGACAGCACAAGTGTTACTGTTGTGCACTCGAATAAAACAACCGTTTGCATTACTTATTCATCACCGAAAAAGTACAAATATAAAATATAATACCAACAAAAAGACTACATATTAACCCTACAGTTGCATTTTTGTAAGTGTTTGTAAAGTGACTATTTTGCAGAAGATGTTTTCACATGACTAAATGCGTCCTCATGAAACACAACAAAGAGACTTTACGTTTATATGAAACCCTCATATAACTATACTACCGAAAAAAATGGTTTAAGGGTTATTATTTGTTTATTTATTTATTTATTTATTTTTGTATCCATTGTAACATTTCGAGAGGGTACCAAGTAAATGAAAATCGGTCTCTGAAATAAACAGAATATTTGTCATAAGATAAAGAGCATCTTTTCCAATATTTCCAAATTACAATATGCTAAAGGTTGTTTTTACTGATAAAAGTTTTATTTATTTGCAAGAGTAATATTGTAATGGTTAAACGTCCCATGAGAGGTTTCTAAAATCAGAATATAGGTTCAGCTGATCTCTTATTTTTAGCTTTGAGTTCTATAATCCCACTTATCTCATGCATATTATGGCTTTATTGTAATATCTAGAAACAAACGTCTATGTTCACATTTGTTATAATAATGATTTTGCTGCAAATACAGATTTAGTGTAAATATTAAAACAAAATCATACAATAGATTATAAACGTACTATTGTGGTTCATTAAAAATGCAGATGTATGCTAACGGTTAACCGTCAGGGTAGCATTTATCATTAACCAGAAGATACAAAAGTATTCATGTTTGGAAAGTCGTCATAACTTAATGTGACTCTACCTAGTATGTGGATTTATTTAGATTATATTTCTAAGGTTTATTTCAAGATAAGGATTTCGATATTACAGATGACAAATTAATCCTATTATATAATCTTATTCACAAACATATTACGTGATCTTGTTTATTGTTATATTTCTTTTGTCTCTTTAGACCCAGACACAGACATGAGTGGTCAGATCGCTGTAGGGGTCATAATCGGTCTTGTGGTTATTTCGGTGTTAGGGTTCGGTGTGCTATCATTCATCAGATGGTTCATCTACGGCAGCAGGAAGCGTATCGAACCTGTACCAGACGCAGAATCAATGAAAGAAACAGCAAGATACTATTGGAAGTTTCTTAAAAAAAGGTTGACTGAAAAAGCAGAACCTTTCGATGATATTCTTAAGATCATTAATTTTAGGAAGAGAAGACTGCAACGAAAAGCGTTATTGTCTAAGAGGGATTCTTTTATAATGGAGTTAGAAGTGCATGAGGAGACAAACGAAGAGTCGGAGTTTAGTGATATAGAATTGACTGTTCCTAAATCAGCTATAAGACGATTGCCATCTATGGTAAGTGAATTAATTACTTTTTGTTTGTCGCCTGCCAAAGTGGTTAGCGTACTAGACGGCAGGGGATCCCAACCAAATATGAATAGGATTTGTTCAAATGCTTGACAAATGCTTGATACGTAGGTTTTCTTCATGTACTCCGGTGTCGTCTAACATAACGTTCCTCTGCGCGCCGTCATCCGGGCGAACAGTAATGATAGATAAGTGATGGATTAAAACTTGTTAAATAATCAATTTTGATTTGATACATTCAAAATTATAAAGTCATGACTGTAGGAACTAAGAATGGCAGACTTTTTACTGGTAGTGATAGGATGCGTGGTACACTTACTGGGACTTAAAAAATTATAGACTATTTATATTTATTTAATTCAAAAGAAACACATGCACAAAAGTCGTTGTTGACAAAAAAAGAAGAAATACCAACAGTTTTACTCAACACTTGTGTTTCATGCTTATATGGTTATTGTTTCATTACTTTATAAGCGTTTTAAGCTATCACCGAAGGGATTTACACGTGCATTGTTACCGTGAAATGTGTTTAAGTGCTGTTAAGTGAGCGTCATCCTACACCTGTGTCCGGTTTCCGAGAATATCAATAAGGAAGTATACTAACATCCTCAGTCTCTTCTTCCCTCCCCGTCGGAAATACTTCTTTAATATTCTTATCTTATTTCAAATCTCTTTTGACATAATGCAAATAATTTAGCCTTTAGTTTACTAATGTTTCATGTATTGTTTTCCCGTCAGTACAATCAGATCACAGCTAAGAAAATTAAATTCGAGCAAAATTATTTACTTTTTCTTTGGGGGGTGGGGGTGGGGGGGTGGTATTAAATACTGCACAAGCTGCCTGTGGTAATACTTAAAGATGTATATACATATATATACACATGTCGTTTGACTTTTTAAACTGCATTTTAAATAAATACTTATACCAAAAAGTGTATTTTTCGGTATTGAATTAAAAGTATAAATACATACTGCAAATACGATTCAGTTATGCAGGAAAGCCTTTGTCTCAGAAATTGTCCATTATAACTGATCCAATTCATTTAGAGAACAAGGATACATCACTTTTTTTGTTAATTGATGTTATATATTTTTTCTCATTAAATCATCTAATTAACCTGAGCCAACCCAAGAAAAAAATGGATCTCATATTTCAAAAGAAAATATGTTCATAATATAATGTACTGAGCAAGGAATAAAAAGCCGAATATATACATCCATAACAGTCACCGAAAAACAATTTAAATGAATGTTGTCTTTGTGTGCATGACAAAGAAATATTATTGACTGAACTGCATTCCAAAATCTTGTTTTTCTCTTCATTGTTTTATCTTAAACGTCAAATTTGTGTAAGACAGATTTTAAAGAAATGCAATCACAACAAATCATTGTGCATATTGTAAACTTCAGGTACAATGATAACCATAAATATATAGTTAATTCAATCAGCAAACTAGCAACACCAATCTAATAAAACCGTAAGCAACGCACACATGTGTAAATCATATACATGTACAACGTATTGTTCACTTAACTGCAAATAGGAAAATATTGGATTTAGCTTTTTTCATTTATTTATTTGTTTTTTAATTTGTTGTATTTTTCTTATGCTTGTGTCTTTTTCTTTTCTTCTTGTCATGTAGGATCGTAAGAAAATGGTGCAATGGATTGATTGTAGCAAATCAAGTGTGTCCTATTTTCGGGCGAAACCAGTAAGTAATCCGATTAAGTCATCAAAATGTGTCGGCTGTATAGGTTTCACTGAGTTTCACCTTCCTTTGAACATTTTGTGTAATATCAAATTGTGTCTATCCATTTCCTAATCTTTTGTCCGTTGTTTCCATTTTTGAATCGTTCTTTAATATACATTTAAAGGGAGAAAGATATTTTTTATAAAATGCAATTAGCATTTCATGCTTTGTTGACATAATAGTGGGATCTTCTTTTTTTCATCTTTTAAAATGAAAATGTATCAATCTTAAGCGCTACGTTTAAATTTGCTGATATATAATTACAGCTTGATAATCTATGAACACAAACATAGATTCTAATAGTAATCATAGTGACTTTGCATTAATATATTTTAACCAAAAATGTCAAGGTTCCGGATTTTAGAAGTCATTCATGAATATAAATTGTACTTTGTTAGAAGTTTGAGAAAAAATAGGAGAAAAAGAAGTTTTTCCATTAAAGTTAACCAATATTTTGAATTCAACTTTTTCTTTCCATATGTGTATACCCTAATGATGTTTAACCTATATCATTTGTTAATTGTGTGCTGCAGATCTGGCAGAAAGACTGGGAATCGTATCGGGATCCGTTTAATATGCAAAACATAAACAGAGCTGATACTCCCAGCACCAGTGCTCAAAGTGTAAGGACAGTGTCCGCATTAATGGACACGGGGGACATTTCGTGGTACGAACCGGAGAAAATTGAGAAAGGCTTGCTTAACACAATGTGGAAACGAATCTTTAAGTTGTTACCACAACTAGCAAAGAAGAAGGAACCGGATTACTTCGGAAGTTGATTTGTAATTTGTATTCTTCATCTCCTACCATTTTCATGGACAAAAACTCTTATGCAGAGATAAACTCATCACAAAAAACATAGTTATTTAAGAAACTTGATCTAGAATGTTCGTTATAGTTATTGAACATCTGATTTTAAGAAAACTATGTAACATGATAATTTGACAAAGACAATATTGCTTAGGAATTTTGTGGAAGCCATAGTCGATTGCCATTGATATATTTCAATCCGAATTGTAGATATTTTATCAATGTTTTCTTATTCACCTGGTGAATGTTTATTTCATGCTTTGTGCTGAAATATTACTTTTCTGTGTAAAATTGTATATTGTATTTACCGTACCAATTATAATGCTTCACTAAGATCATGGCGCAAAGAAAAAGGGGGAAATGTTTTAAAAAGTATCAACAAATATATAATGATCATGATCATTGTGGTCTTCATCCTCGAAACCCCAGGGGCTACGCTCACTTACGCTCTCTGCACTCATGGAATATGTCATAGCAAAATTGAAGGCACACGGCTGTTGGATTGGTCTCGGGTAAAAACTGCTGACCAAACAGGAACATCAAAGGAACAAATATATTCATATTGTCTCATCCTAAAGGTGGCAAACACTGAGCCTTCTATTTCTTCATGACATATTGCAGGTGTGCAGAGGCCGTACGTAAGCGCAACCCCTTGAGTATCGAGGATGAGCTGTTTTTCGATTTAGACAAGTTTTGCTGTACCGATAATGTAAAAACAGAAAGAGGTCGTGTTTTCACTGTCATATCACCAAATTGTCATTTTCAGGCAATTAATCACTCTATTTCAACTGAATATTTTTCAACTTCAAACAACATTTGTTACAACTCGAGAAACTGACATATAACATCTATTTCACAAAATCATTTCAGTATATAAGGTGTTTAATATGTGAATCATGTGTTATTGTTAGTATAATCAATATAGGGCCAATCATAATGCTGATTTGCCAGTATCCCTTTCAATTTAACGTCATATTGAGATTCACTTTGGAGTGACCATGCCGCAATATGTAGGAAAATCTGCGGTTAAAACTGAAGTAAAACTCTATTAATATTATATGTATATTTGTATGAAGATATATAAAATTCCCATGACTGTTATAAATGTGAAGAATAAGCGTGCGAAGCCTTTCCCGCTACTTATCTCAGGGTTGAAACTGAGTTTACGTTTTTACCATGCATAAGCGAATTCTCGAGATGTCTGCAGAGCACATTCCAACGATTGGCGTCTATGTTTTCGACTGGGACAGAGTTATTGTTTACACAATACTTCGTGTGCGACAGGGTCAGAGGTAATGTTCATATACTACACGTGCTTTGATCTTCATTGAAAAATATGTTACGTCACTTGTTAAGCTTAACGACTTCATAATTTACGTCGAGACTTCACAATTGAAGGCTAGGTTGTGTGCACTGTCTGTGAGTATGTTGCCATACATTGTTGTAAGAATAAATGCTATGAATCTTAACTCATTTGTCTGTTGTTTCATAAACCTTAATTTATAAATTAAGAAAAAGACACGAGAAGGAAATAGAAGCCAATGATTGAATAGGAAGCATGCATGAATTAGAACAATATGTGACACGCTCAATGTGATACTGAACATTAAAAGGTCGAACGAATTCATGCAGATTTTCTATTCGACAGGTTATTTTTTCCTAATCATTATCTGACATCTACGAGGTTTGAAACCTACTTTTGTCAGAACAAAAATACTTCAGAGAGTAACACGTTCAGATATTATCAATCATGTAAACAGTATTAGAGGTAATATGCACCTTCCTGCACACCAGCGATTGGAGTACTGTCTATTTCTCACAAAGGCTACATTTGAATTCGAAACACGTTTAAACGAACTATTGGCGGGGATGAAATTTCATTCTGTTTCATTATTTCATTTCAAGGTACGTCATTGACATATTGACCTTGTTTGCTGGTTAGGTGAGAATATTTGCCTGTTGCAATGAAACTTGGTGATGGTTGCTTATGGAAATATACGATAAAAATTGGTTTGATTAGTTCGTTACAGACACGTGTGACATGAATCAGAATCGCCAAAAAGACGCAACAAATATCGGTAGTTTTCTCCAGGTCTTATACGCATGTATAAGAAGGCAATAAGTACCCTGTCACTCTGTGCAGTACATATTAACTAATGCTCATTAGCAAAAGTTATTCAAAAATAAATTTACATCTATGCACATTTTACTAATATATACAAAAGTATCATTATTTGGCATTAACGTTAATTTGAAATACATTTGTTAGGCGTGGCTTTGAAGCGTTCCTGAACAAATAATGATAACTTCACCCAAAATAGTCTGACTGAGAGAACTAAGGTTCTGGCAACGAAGAGTATGTCCTACAACGGGGTTTTAGTTCAATCAGATATTTGTGACACAAGTGCCTCTTATGCCTACATGACATTACAATTTGATATCTAGGTCAACATGCTTGTACAATGATACAATAATGCTGGGGCAATTGTTCGCTTAAGAAAATTGACTTTGTGGACATATGACAAAAATTCTCACAAGACACGAAAGACTTTCACATATATGTAACAAATACTTTGATCACCCAGTTTGTTTTATATCAAATATGTTTACCCGATCAACAAAATGGCTTACGTTTGTAAATTTTTAAAAATTCAGCAAATACTTAAGTACGCTAATTGGAGCATATGAACAAAGATATGAAAGACCATCGTCAAGCAAGTAGGTTGACTAGGGATAAGTGCGGATTTCTGATATTCTATATAGTCTACGTTAAACGAATACTTACTATATAACTTGTATGAAAGTAATATTTAGGTAAATCAATAAGTATCAATCAAATAAGGCAAACACATCAATGACAGTCGACATCATCAAAAGATTCTGACAGAGGAAGTATTTAAATGTGCTATATTTAAATGTCTTCAAGTGGTAACTAAGTATCTGTGCTTTTTTACTTGTCTTCTTAAAGGAAACATATAAACAACATTTGCTGGGGATACTTAGAGCTAACGTGTTGAAATTCAATTCTGTAATTCAACCAGATGAATAGCTAAACCGATAATGCTTGGAAGTAGTCCCTTAGAAGAGGATTGATATGTTGTTGATGTCACTTTCTACCGTGAAAATTATTGACGTACAAAGTATATAGCACAGTAATCTCGACCTAATGGCTCAATAGGCGACTTCCGGTCTACTAAGACATAAGGAAACCTGGGTCCGGTAGTGCACATTAAATCATACACAGAACGTTGTACAAGGTCGAGGAAAGTGGTCGTAAATAATATGTACCAAATATTACAGTTGTTAGAGACGATGACAAACTCAGCCGTATGAGTAGCCGATGTTATAAGCGGTCATTCTCCTGGTCAATGTATTTTGCAGAAAGATTGATCAGGCATTGTATTGATGCAAAAAATACAGATTTATTCATTACTGACTAGTTCTTGCATGGAGCTTCCCTTCCAAAAAGGTAAGAAAAAAAAGGTATTGACTGTATTGTGTTCTGTTATTGTGTTTGTGTATTGCTACTATGGTATATATATTTCTATTGTTCATAGACAATTACGGTTCTGACATGTTGTGGATGTGGGAAATATATTTGTTTATATTGCTGTGATATTTTGATATCCAACAAACAAATAATACAGTTTTAATCTGATATTTTTGATAACCCGTTCATTTAGATTGCACATTTCAATGGTAACCATAGTGTTGGTTTTATGAGAATATGTTGTAGATTTAGAAATATTTTACCTAGTTTTTATATTGCTTCGATGTTTTGATATTAATCTGATCTATTACGAAAAACCCTTCATTTAGCTTGCACTGTTCTCTGGAATTCAATGATAACCATAGTATCGATTTAATGAGACTCAGTCGTTGTTTTGGATTTTTTTTTTTTTTTTTGACATGATTAAATCGCAAATACTTTAAAAGAAACATGCTTAACTCTCAATAACTGCCTTTTTATGTTAATGTAGAGGATTTGTTTTGTTTGGAAAGAAAAAATTGTGACAAATATTGTTGGCAGATTTATAAGATGGTCGTCTTTCCTTATGAAGCGTGCCATGTCCCAGATACAGAATACATTTTATTTTGGCGTACCTTGTTCGTACATGTACGTTCCTTCCGTGAATTTGAAATGTGGATTATAATTAGTCATACGGTAATAATATTATTTTTTCTTTGTAGGTAGACATAAAGAAATTCACGTGCGAATCAAGAAACGTGAAATCTTATAATTCTTAATTCTACGTTTCAAGATCATCATAATGTATTCGGAATTCCCAACGTATGCCGTAGTGATCGCCGGTATAGTCGTCACTATCGTCATGTTTAGCGCCATACTCGGAAACGCTTTCGTCATTCTGGCGTTCATCAGAGACGAAAAGTTACGGATAGTGTATAATGTCTACTTGGTCAATCTGGCCTTAACAGACTTGTTACTCGGCTGTATTAGTATGCCTCTTTTCGCCGTATATACATTGAACTCATACCGATGGATAATGCATAGATATGTATGTACACTCTTCATGACTATCAACGAAGTTCTCTGTTGTGAAGTTGTCATTATGATGGTGATCCTAAGCTGGGATCGTCTCAAGCTCCTGACTCAGAAATTGGAATATATGCAACAGCAGACAATTCGTAGAGCTCTGATGAAAGTTGTTGTTTCTTGGATATTATCGTTTCTTGTTCATGGACCTGTACATTTTGTATTTCATTCATCAGATCACGAACACTCCCATTCCAAATGCAGTGCTGTATACCATGAACACAAGATGTACAGTTCGATATTGACAGTAATACAATTTACCGTTCCCTTCCTCTGTTTATGCATAATCAACTCAATGATTTTCCAAAAGGTCAGAGTTAGAATCAAGAGACGAGAAGCAGCCCGCAATAGGATGACTGGTTATCATGGAGTTCCATCAACGAACAATTTGAACGCCCTTACAGCGGTTGTTGATGAGCTTACAAATACAAGAAGTCTCACGAAAGCGTCCGGTGCAAAACGAGCACTCAGAACCGCTAAAAACTTAGCGTTGCTCGTGTTTGTTTTCCTAGTCACTTGGGCACCATACTCATTAACCTACTTTGTGGACACGGTTTGCACAACCTGTGTTAACGAACATGTAACCACAGTGATGTTGTGGGTTCTATGGTCTAAGTCTGCGATGAATCCATTTCTATATAACTACATGTCGCCTGGATTCAAAGAGAATTTCAAAGCTATGATTAAGTGCCAGTGCAAAAGACAGCAATAGGCTATGTATATTCGGCACTTACATATTGTTCAAATAAATGTAATAATGGATTCGCACTGAGTGAGTTTTAGTATTTCATAACTCAAAATATTTAGGACGAATGTTTCACAAAAGTAGGAAAGTCGCTGTTGCTTGCCAATGTTTGCCGTGCAAATCAATGAATGAATATATGCAAAACACGTAAATATCATCTTTCTGCATACATTTATGGTTTTAATATAAAAATAAATTTTAAAAAATGACATCAAAACCTACATAGATACAGATTTATTAAATTTCGACACTTGATTATCCCTTCATAACTGCCAGCAACTGTGGCTTTTCACTTGAAACCTTTCTTCGACATCACTCATGCTTTAATAACTCATTCCTTAAAAAAACACATAACTAATAAAAGTTTTATAAAGATAATCAAAAGCAAAATATAAAAAAAAAAAAAAATCAAAACCAATGTTCTGAGTGTAAACATGCAACGAAGCTATACAAGGACTTGAAGCCTGGACTTCCGACCATTATACTGTCTCTCTTACAAATGGGTCACCTGGTTAACTGGTGGAATTTTCTATCGTTTTGCATGTAGAGGTATAGGTTTCCTTAAAATGTAAAAATGTATTGAATATCATGATCTGGATACAGGGAAAAAATAATATATTGATATTATTAAAAGCTTTAGATAACTCACTATATCTTGAATACAATAAAAATGGACGTTGCACACGAGTCAGTAGTCAGTCACGCGTTCTTCAACATTTTTTAATTGCCACGAGACGTCAGTTGTGGTCTCGTCAGGATGTTTAAACCACAACCGTGAGCGTTACGTGTGTCTATGAGGTGAGTGTTCTGACTATAAGCTAGTGTTATCGCCGGCGTGAAAGGAAGTGTGCTGGGTCAATGTTCGTACACACAAAGGCTACAGGATTATTTTGTTACAAACAATACAATTGTAGTGTGCAGGGAAATACACATCCTGTTGTAAATTTAGCCTTTTTGTAACGTTCAATATCACGACTGATATGAACAGCCTGACACATTTGTCATCCGTGTACTTGACCCAACGGTTAAACTTCAGAATATCTCTTGAGTTCAAAACAGAAATCATTATAGACTTGTACTGAAATATTCGTAACCTTTACAAATACACGTTTTGTTCTTCGGGCAAAATGTTGCTACAGAAATTTTAACGAGTTTTTGAAAAGTTAAAACAATACATTAATTTGATAAAACTTTGGATTCGTCGTAAAATGAGTTGCATAGACAAAAACTAAACGAAAAGAACATTTCCAATGCTACTTTATGTTTTTATTACATCTAATGGCAAATATATTTGAACATTGACGCCTGTTGTAATGTTTAATTTAGTTTGATGATTGTTCATGTGACAATAAGCCTATTGGAGAAACGACTATAAAATAAATATCAAACGAGTGGCGATTATGAGTTTTGTCCATCCAGGTGGGGTTCATACTACCTACGTTCTACTGGCCGCGGGTCGGTGGTTTTTCTCCGGGTTCCCCGGCTTTTCTCCACCAATAAGTCATGGCACATCTTTAATTGGTTCATTGGTTTAACATGTTAATTGGACGTATAACACATACAAACCAAACCAAATCTTCATTCTTTGGCAAGAAACGTATACAAGCTAAATAAGACAAACAAACGATAACCAAATATGTTTTGTTTTCAATTTAAAGATTACAAAATAAAATAAACATCTGACGGTATTTATATTGTAGCTTCAGAATATTAATTCATAAAAAGAGCTTTGCCTCATCACAGGGGTTTATTATCAATTATATATTCATTCAATGTCATTTGTGTCGTTATGTTATAGGAAGACAACGGATTACGATTTTCCTACATACCACAATGTCCTGATGCGTGACATTTATCTTTAAACGAAAACCACCATTCTGAGAAGATAAAAATACATTTATTTACATCAATCTCCAATGATGTCAATTCTTCTACCGGATATTGTGACAAATGTTCTAGTCAGCTTAATTTCAAAATGTCTTTCATCCCCCTCATCATGTCATGCAAACAAACAAATTCACACAACTTGCTTATTTAATGTCACTTTTACTTTTACTTAATCAAATGATAATGTTCATCAGTATGGCCGTTGCAGTTTATATCATTTGTTTTACTTTTGTTTTTAATTTCGTTGCTTTCGTTGGTAATCTTCATCCACAAATTCATAGCTCCACGAAGTGATTACAAGTTTGACACTAAGCAATATTCCGTTTCATTGGGTACTCGAAATACAAGAGTTCATATGCCCTGGAAATGGTGCTTCATCGGGAAACCACGAAATCTGGGGCCCACGAAAACATCTGATTTCACAGTATCCATAAAGCTTTATGTATTGGAACAGCAGTTTCTAATTATTAAGGTCTGTGAATTGTTGACCATTTTCAGGCAACTGTGGTTGTAGACGACATTGAAAACACATTTTCTGTCTAGAAATTGCAGTGGCGATGATAACTGCGGTGGCAATACAAAGAACGACAACTCCACCGATGACAAAGTAAACAGTAAAAGACCGATCTCCAGAACTGGGGGTAGAGAGAGGTGCTCTTGTTGTTGCGGCAACTGGGAGGACATAAAACAAATAAACATTTTAAATATAAAATTTGATATTTGTTTTGACAATACGTTAAGTTAAATTCAAACAATTTCTCTACTTGGTTAATTGTGTTAACTGTTACCAATGTAACAAACAGTAAAACAAAGATTCATTAAATGACTGAAATGGCCACAGCTATAACCATCAATGTAAGTCAGTAGTGTTTGTTTTCAAATTTTGATCATAAATTGATCTGATAAGCTTAAATAAACCAATAAAACAATCAAGTTGTTTTCTCATGAGTATTTTCAAATAGGACAGCCAAAACAGTTGAGTTTTCTAATGGCTGTACATCATATTGAGGTAAAAACAAATCTCAAATGAATCATTTACTCACAGGTTCTTTATATTACCAGATGACATTAATGCATTAATAACATCTCTTTACATTAAGAACTTCAAAGGAATAATGTATTCGAAAAGGGATGTATTAACATTATCTTAACAAAGTGTAATTAATTTATATACAAGCGGAATGCATTGCAATGTTTTAAGAAAAAAGATACACACCTGTAAAATCCCCCTGACATTTTTCTGAAAATGAGAAAAAAGAATTTGTTTTTAATTTTTATCGTAAAGCAAGCGTGCAGTTTTACATTAGATACCTCGATATATAGAATATCATTTAAGAGCAGTCCTTAATAGTTGAGTTTACTTTATCCTACATACCTAGAAGTACACTGGTAACGAATGTAACTCAATCTAAATATATTCATACATGTTTATTTGGACAATGGAATCACATCCTGTTATAGGGTTTACCCAAACAACCCTGCACCTATGAAACCGATAGATAATAATTAAGAGTTCACATATTACTGTTTTGCACTGTTTTATAGTTAGAAAATAAAAATTCGGATTGTTTATATATAAAAAGGTTATTTGAATAATCATTAAAGTTTTCTGAGCAATGGTTGTAAGAGTAGTCTCCCTTTGTGACGGCAGTTACCTGTAGAAGTAAGCTGGAGAGATAAGATGGGGTGAGCAGTCATTAAGTCATTGCAGTATTCTGGATACATCTTCAATATTATTCCTTCTTGAACATTTTCTATTTCCTGCGTAGGAAAGAAAAAAAGGCATAATCATAAAATAACATACAACAATAATGTCATGATTTCTGATGTGTTAAAATAGTAAGACCACAGCGTATCTAATTATCAGAAACTTTAAACAAGCATTTTAACAACTTTAATTACTCATCTCTGATAAGAAAACGACATCAGCAGAATCAATGACATTTAGTATTCTAAAATGCAAAAGTATTAGACAAGGATTCGACCTCTATATAAATCCAGTTGGCTCTGTCGCACTATGTATACAGTTATACTATATTGAAATTATGAAGAGGTTACCGTATATTTACGTATGAAAGACTGCAGGGTTTCGCTTGACAGGAATCCTTCATAGTTAAGTATTCATAAAAAGAGGCACCGGGGAACCAGAAAAGAACACACAGCCTGCTGTTACCCACTCCATGTATCGTTAGAGGCGACTAATGGGAACCCCCCTACAGAATTGGGGATTTGCGTTTGTGCCCTCTACTAAATTGGGGACACAAAAGCGACCAAAATAAATCTGCTGCACCCTTTGCAATATTATGGAACTTGATATTTCTTTCTATTAATAACTACCTTTTATTTCCTAGCGCCTTGCTTGGAAATATCTCACTTTTGATTTAAATGTTGAGCGTTCGCCCAGGTGATGAGGGCAATTGGTTTTATCCCCAGGCCGGCACATACAAAAGACATTAACAATGGTAGTTGTTATTCTGTTAATGGCAACAACTGGTTCACTTGATGTCAGTATAATGTGGCCGGGCGAAATTCTGTGCTGGGTGCCTTCGGCATAGTATTTCAGTGAGATAGCACTATAAAGTCGGCATTAGTTTCGCGCTATCATAAAGAGGCAATAACACTAACATACACAGTCTCTAGCACACATACACACATACACGCATGTATAACATACATGGAGACTCGTCCTTAAATGATCTTAGCTGTTAATGGGACATTAAACAAAATAAACCAAACCAACATAGAAGGAGGCAAGAATATCTTATCATATTTGAAGCTTCACTATGAGGTGCTGTAAAAATACATGTTCCTACTTACTACGCAAACAATATTATGCTGTAGAGACATCATGTTTCGATCGTCCGTTTCCATATATAGGTACGTTGTGTTTCCACTGTCGACATAGTACAAACACGAGAAATCGGCACTGGCTGAAAAAGACACTCACAATGTATCACATTGACAAAATATATTAGGTAATACCATATAAAAATATTGATAATGGACACAGTCGTATTCTGATCAAACTAAACTTATCTTGAATTCATAATATATATATAGTATTTTGCATATGCATTATGACTATTTACCGATGCATTGCATTCACTAACTAGTTTAATGTATTAGAGAGAGAGTCCGTTTGATAAAGAGGGGATTTATTACTATAAACAAAACCGTAAAAATTGCTGACACACTCCTAAGACTTAAATGGAATCCAAAAGTGTATTTAACACAACTGTGATTAGCGTTTATTTATTAGAGAAATATAATAACCTTCGTTAACATAAATGGTAAATTCTCATCACTTTTGTGTACCATTGTATTCTTCATTCGAAATATAAATATGCTTAAAATAAAGAAACACTTTTGCGAAAAAGATATATATTCACATCTTGATTAATGTTATTAATAGAGGTATTTATTTTGAGTTAAGAAAATCAGTAAAAAGCAATTCTTTAAATACATTTAATCATAACAATTCAAATTACTTGCTATGGCCGTTCCACAGGTGCTGTTAATATCGAAGCGCATGCGTGTCGAATCTTCACAGACATCCAATCGACTAAGAGGACAACGTTTGATGTTAATCCCATCGACGAACGATAACGAATTGTACGTGAAGAACGTGCTGGGCGGACAGGGGATGCCTTGTATTGACGACGCTGAGGAAGACATCGGCAAATTACTTACATTAAACAATACACGAATTTACAATATGATAACTTTAAACGGCTATAAAAAATCAGTTGCTCAAAAATGAATTTGAAAAAAAAGATTGGTATGAATTCAGTAAATACCACAAATATACCCATAAGTTATGATAACATATCATTAGTCAAAATGTTAATAGAAAAGCTTGTATTCGCTCAAATATATCATCAGATATTTTTTTGTCTTTTGAAATATATGTATTTTAAGCTATTTTCTACAATAGAAAAATGTGCAGATTTGTCAGCAAGACAAAAACATTTTAAATACGTAATATACATGTACTATTTACATTAAATGAATTCTGCAAATATATTTCAAACATATTTCGATATATCTTGCCAATACACTGCCCAAGTATTCACAGTTTGTGTCTTGCGAATTACGTTGTTTCGTACCTTACGTGTATTAAACTCTAGGCATTGTAACTGTGAAATTTACCATAAAGTTTCAAGTCAATCGCTTGTTTGTCACAAAACCATTAACAGTTTATAGCAAATTGCAATAACTATGATATCATTTCTTTTTCTCAAAAACAAGGTTTATTTGTACTTCAAAAAATTCGAATACTGGAAAGATCTGTTATTTCAACATGAAAATGGCATACTTATATAGTTATATAAAAAGGATTTAATTATTACCTAAATATGACGTCGTTGACAGTCGTTTGGAATATATATAGTTGATAAGTATTTAAAGTATTATTTTATCTGTTTTTATATAATATTCCTAATTTTTATGATATTGGATTGTACGGATCTTATGAGTGTTAATTTCCGGATCATATGTGCCTTACGTTCCGTACTTTAGTATGTCAGTTAATTGGTCGCGTGACCTGTTTCGAATGATAGCTAATTTTGGAGAAAAACATTTTTATCAGCTTTCCCTTTTACACTTGTAGTCACCAATGTTTAATTTACTGTATTTTAAGGTTTTATGATTGGCATGAGAGAGTAACCAATTCTTGCTTACGTATGAAAAATGAGCAAAATTATTACGATAACTAACAGAATTATCGACGTCTTGATCATATTATGACCTCTTCACTCCCGTCACTCTCTTTCGTACACAATCATGTATTTTACTTACTGTTTTTGACAAGCATGACAGCTGAGCTTCCATCCAATGGTTCCGCACGGTTACACACTTCCGCCGTCGTCACGGTTGAATTAATGGTTCCATACAAAGCATCGTTAAGGAAGCTCTCGAACTCTGACAGAAATTAAATGATCCATGTTAAAGAGTTATCAAAATATTAGTGACGTTATAACATATCTTCATTATGACTTTTTAATTTTCTGATTATTTTAGAATACATTATTAAATGTTGTTCTTGAAGGATAAACATAAGTCACGCATTTTTATTCCACCTACAATTATAGTATGCACAATGAATTATATTGTCCCCGTACTGTTGTTTTGATCAATTAATTATATCAAATTAACAGAACACACTGGTTACTTTCAAATTATTAGTGAGTAAAGTATTCAGTGTATAGACTGTGCCACTACTAGAAAGGGTAGCAGTGATTTAAATCTGAGGACTGTTTGTTTCGCCCGGTCGTTTTATTAAAACGTTCGGTCATAAACAGTTAGCCTTGAATCAGAGACTGTCTCAATATGGTATGAAAGTTTTATTGATAAGACCGTAAAGACGCAATATATATAAGAGGAGCTAGAAGTCGTTTATGTGACATGTACTAATCAATCAAGTATCAACTTAACAAAGCAATCTAAGCTGTAAAACCTAAATGAAAAATGTGTATGTACAGACTGGCGATAAAACGTAATCAGGCAAACGTAAAATAAAAATAAAAACTATACCAGAGCATCAAGTGTTATTCTTAAACCTATTCAAGATATGTTACCTGTTCCAATATAGTACACGTAGGTGTCTTGACTAGGTCGTATGTCCAGACACAGGAACATATTGACTGTTTGTCCGAATACATTCGTCTGCTGGACAGACCTGAAATAAAAAGGTACAGTCACATTAAAAAAACTAATATTATGAATTATTAAAGAATGACTAACATAAACATGAATGTGGTACATAGTTCAACTTCACATACTAAATGTAACAAACCTTTTACAGCTATTCTTCCCATGGATTGTTTTTCAAAAATGACAATCTTGAAAGTATATGTGGTATCAAGTGCAAATTAGTATATGAATATCAGAAATAACAGGCATGATGATATATTTAATAGATATTACCAATTATAAAGTCTTATGAATATAATAAATTAAACCTCATTATTTGGTATCTAATAAACCTTCTTAATTAATTTTTGAAAAATAACAAACCCGGAAACAAATTTGATTAATCATACAAATGTAAATATTTTTAGTTAAGACAAACCTTAATATATATTTGGTATCTTGAACACCTTCACATGTTAAATCAAGGATTCTAAACCCCGGTATATTGACTGGGTATCCATGTAGTGTTGATGAATTAATTCGGATCACCCCTCTATCGGATGTTATCCATACTCCTCTTAGTCCTTCCGGAAACGTACATGGCGTCACTACATATACAATAGTATTTGGGTTTCAAACGATATGTTGTATTTTTTTCATACACATCTGGCATACATTGTATAATATTGAAAGAATAAAAACCACGAATTAGTGCTAAAACAAACTTGGACCATATCATATATCATACACCTACGTTGAGTAATATAAACATATAATATAAATGATTAAATATAGCCATAAATAACAGTTACAAATATATATATATATAAATACATAACAACCTGCTTAACTGTATATTTCAAATAGTGATATAGATTATTTGCAAACATAACGCACATCAAATGCTGTTTGGTTGAAAGAGAGATAAAATTATACTCCTCGTAAAAATAAGAGAATATCTTAATGTAGCTTAAAGAAATAAGAATATTTAATCATATACATACCCGTAGAAACACCATCAGAGATATAGGCAATTATAGATAAGAATAAAACACTTGCAACTCGGACATATCTACATCTCGCCATTTTTCTTTTTAATGAAATCAAGTGGTAGACATTTAGAGTTTGAAAGGTAGGTACAGTGTAACATAATGGCTACTTATGTTGGCTTTATAGTGAGTAATGCGTTCCTGTTACACACCTTGAATGTGTATAATTTACCTTTGTACTCGATTCAATCGGATTTGTATTGGATATGGGATTGTAAGGCTACGTAAGGGCAATTGTCCCGATAGAACAACGGATCAATTGAGGTAAAAATGTGTATGTATACTGAACTCAGCGAACCATGGTCATATGTTTTACTTCTAGTTGGGCACGGCGAACACACCATTGGCCTATTCTACGTTAATGAAGCGAATTGACTAAACAGTTTTTAAAATATATATTTTTCGTCCAAAACATTCTTTAAGACTTAGACATTTACTTTTAAGTGATTTAAGAACATACAGCCCCGGTAATTTAATTCGAATTAAATTTGAATAAATTGGGTTTCACAAAAAAAAAATCTAAAACAATAGTATTGAGCAAATGATCATATTAAATGTCAATTGACAATTAAACAAAATAAAGTTAAATAAATTTGTGCTGATATAGAAAAATCTCAACATTGAATATTACTAAAGGAGACCATTGAATAAGAGTAAGTTATCGTTCTTTGCTTATTGAATACAAGTAGACAAATATGTTATTCAATTAACTAAATACCAACATCTAATTGATTAAAAAAATCGCGTTGGTTTATAATGACAACAACGACGACGACGATGATGATCATGATGATGACGCTGATGATATGATGATGATGATGATCGTGATGATCATGATGGGCAACTTACCTCCGTCATCCTGGAAACTGTTCCTGAATATCTTGTGTTAAGGTAGGTTGGTGTAAAATGCATTCATTGATACACCAAATGGAATATAATGATAATATTGAAAAGTTCATATTTCAGTAGTTTAAAACTAGTTTTAGTAAAACAATAGTGTAATGCAAAACCATACACGTTATGTTGATACAAAATGGATAATACAAAGTAAAACATATTTGAAAACACAATTTGTATATTTCCAATAATATAATGTAGACATTTATTGTATAATCATGTTGGAATGAATATAACATTATTTCAAACGAATATAGTTTATTACAACTCATACACATACTTCATTTCATTCATAGAGACAGTAATAGCACACCTTATGATGCCACGACAAAGACATTATAACAATAGAACGATGGACAACTTAACAATAACGCATGACATGACGCTATATAACAACACACCACAACAGCATTTACATGACACAACAAGACTGTTATAGACAAACATAACACAGGTGTCCATTGCAATACATGGAATACACATGACAAATCGAAAGCATAGTAAAACAATTATGTGATATCCATATTTGAATACATCTTATGGACATTGGTTGATAGATCAACTTTCAAAAGATATCAAATAGCAATGCCTGTACGCCATTGTATATCAATATACTCTATAAAACAAAATGACAACGGCATTTTATGTCAACATAGATAATGTTCATTAAAGCGAAAGTAATTGTATTGCATGCATATACTACTATGTGGAAACAAACTTTGTATAGTGGTATGACAGGAATTATATAATACGAAAAATTCAATGTATATATTTTTTATATAAAATCACTGAAATCATTGGACATCCACTAAATGAACATTACATAAATGTGTCTTAAAGATAATTATATATGTTTACATGCAGAAGCTGTATGCATTATTTAAAATGCAAAATAAATCATACCTGCATATTCAGATCCTGAAAATATTATTTCTGTTTCTAAACTTGTATCTCTTCGATAGTAATTTGGGTCATCTTCACTCAAATTGGCACTACAGAACATCATCGTCCACGTGGCGTAGATAATATCGCCTTCTTTTCGATATGCCTACCAAAAATATTGGAATCAATTATTAAAACAACTTCATGTAATACTTAAAACGGTCGTAGGAAAAAGAGAGCGAGATAATTGATTAAAGTAATAATTTGAAAGAATATAAAAGAATATATTTTTTACCTTGACTTCATTATTTAAATACAGTAAAACCTCGTTATACTGCCATCATTTGTCTAGAGATATATTTGCAATAAAAGGGGGTTTGGCGATAAATTGAAGGAAACGTAAAGCGGAATTCTTCAGAAGACGAGAAAATGGGACATTGAAATCGTCAGCGGTAAACGAGCTGTCAAATGAAACGAGGGGCATTATATCGAGGTTTTATTGTGTATATAAATATTTCATTTACGATTCTTCCTGAATGTCATATCTTTACTTGAGACCTGATATTGTTAAATCAATTCATATAAAATAAATTGATTCAAAATTGTAACAAAAGAACAAAAAAACTGCTTACAATACACGAGAAACTGTAGGATTCGTTATGCCAAACTGATACAAATGTCGTTCCTTCTGATTCCACATGATACAAGCATGAATATTCTCCAGATACTGTACAATAAAAATGAACAATAATAAAAAATGTAGATATAAAATACATATTAGGTACGTAATATGAACATGATTACATTTTTTAAAATTTCCCTGTCCCATTCATAAGAATTCATAAGAAATCTTCTATACAAGTGTTTTTACTATGATCGAACGGACGGACGGACAGACGACGTGATTACCATATGCATCCATTGAGGTTGAGGTATATGAATTGGGTTACTGATGTTCTGTGTTGACGTACATTTGTATCTTGTCAGTGGTAGTGACCATCTTTAGATGGGACGGCCCAACCCAATGACGGTTAACATCAACATCATTCTACAATGTAATTCTTTTCAGGTGTACACGTAACACGGCTTTTGATTGCATATGAAGCCCGGTTTGCGATTGTTAATCACGTCAGTGACCCAGACTGACCCTTATAATTCATGACGTCATGAACATTAACTTGACCACGACAGGTCGTCATTTTTAATATTACTGACGTCACCAATCCGCGGCAGAATGACACAGATATTGAAGAAACAATCAGATATGTCTTAAAATCGTTTTTTCGTGTGAGAAATTGTATAACTATAACATAAAAATTATATTCAAACATTTTACTTACATACTACAGATGAACAACCGTTCATGGTCAAATGGGAGGCAAACATCAATTTTCGGTCATCCCTATATCCGTCCATAGTTACGTTGTCGCACACAGCGCCGTTTCTCATGAAAGTGACGTTTTTAAATACGTCACGCAGATCCATGGAACATTTACGTGCAGCCATTCCACTTTCTAGACTTGCTGTTTTAAATATATATAACAGAGTGTGAGACATGAAAGTACTAAAGACGTGTTGCTGAGATTTTTAAACTGTTTTGTCCTCCGTAAGGATCATTCTTTTTTTATTATAATATTTATTATGAAAAAAGCCCATCTGAAGGCTACGCCAACCCCATAAAGAGGTTTACTCCCTACAAAAAAGGAGACTTCTCCCTCATGAGTATTTGTAGTCGGAGTTTATAGTTGTCCGTTTTTCACAAGGATGTCAGATATCTGAAACAAATGGCATGATAACGAGAGTTCGCCTGTGTCAAGCAGCATACGGAGGTTCAAATGCCTCATTACTCATGGTATATTTGGTTGGTTAAACGTCCTCGCAACAGCCAGGGTCATATGAAGACGGATGCCTAAGGAGACACCGCGAGAAGACAGAATAGAGAAGTAAAAATAGAGGAGATATAGATCCCAAGTAATGCAATAGGGACAGCAGGTCAATTTTTGGTCTCGGTAATGTACACTAAGCAGAAGATACAGAAGAAACCCTCTGACGCTGCAGGGGGTCCCACATTAGTCGTCTCTTATGATAATGATGTAGTGGGATACAGCAGGCCTGTTCCTTCCCCAAACCTGCACGGCACTCATGATAGAACGGCGATAACTTAACTATCGCTTTCATGAAGATATTAAGTATTATATCATAATGTAACACCGATATTCAATTAATTTTCATTCGCAGTAACTGGAGACAATTTCACATAAAAAGGTCTCTAAAATGTTGCTGGAAAAAATTGGAACAACCGAATTAGATGTTGCTTAACAAAGGTTGCTCGACCCAACTATTTTAATACGTTACTTTAAGGTAAAGAGTACCGACAAATTTAACTAGAACATTATCATTTTAACTATTGTGAAATATTAGTTCAAGCCACTATAAAAGAATTTTTCCATAAAAATCACATTAGCATGCATTTTGCGAAATTGTACTTGTTGGAAATTTGAATGTTTGGAAAGACAAGAAATGAAGGAGTCGAACTCGGGAACTTAACATTGTAAGGCCTCACAAAACTAAATCAGTTAATCAGCAAGTGTTACATACAATTGTTACCCCCACCTAAAATTTGTTCCTGTTAAATACATAGCCTCTGATTAATTTAAATGGGTATTTGTTGACATATTTTAGATTGAATGAAATCCACAGATATTTAACTTTAAAAAAACGTATAGTTTTACATGTAGTAGATTTAAATATGTGATGGCGGATTGATGTGGAGTCAAATGTCAGGGGACGGTTTGGCTTGTAAACTTTGGGCTGTCAAAAGCAGACGCCTGCAGGGCTCTTATATGCCATTAAACCTTCAAACCCTTAAAGCCTTTGACAGGTATGTATCTGTTAATCTAGACAGTTGTCACTAGTGTTTAACTTCAAATATTAAAGCTATCAGCTCAAAAGCTTAGTAATAACACATAGTAAATGATTTAGTTGTGCGAGTCCTGAAAAGCCTTCACTTTACCAATGTTTTCATACAAAAGTATACAAGATCGGCATCAAAATTAGTATCGAATTATGGACTGCAAAACATATAACCTTACATGGAAATTTACTCTAAGCTTGAAAAGCTTCATTTGGTTGCATCATCTTCTATATAGTAGGGAGAATACTTGAAGAAATATTCCGAGTAGAACTCTTTTTCGCGATCTTAACTGATGTAGTGATACGCTGTACCTTAAGCTAAATACATACATCAAAATCGCAAAATATCGATCAGAAAGGAAGGAAACAAGCATTTTTTCACTATTTGTCCTATTCATTTGACTTGGTAAAATAATACCAAGCACACATAATTCATTTGTGTGCTGTTTATTCGACTCAATACAATAAAAGAACTATTAAAAGATTCAAAACAATTTAAAACGTGTAAAAGGATGACAATACTTACTTTTTCTCGCAATGATATTGAACGTCTTGGATGAGGTCGGCTTCGTTCGTCTGTTACATGCCTCCTCTAATGTGGCTATATAATCCACTGTGCCAAAAATATTTTCCGCCAAAAAAACATCATATTCTGTGAAAAAGAAGTTTATCAGATGCTTTTTCGTTATTATTCAGCTATTTTTTAAAACCTCTTTCACATTTCATGTGGCATTGAGTTCATAAGAGGGTAATTAGCAACGCCCTGTCACAGAATGTCGACTGCCCAAATAAAAACTGCGTTCGACTGTTTCGAGCTTCGTATATTTTCATAGAGAATTTTAGAATGACGAAAGAAGAATTGTTGTTGTCAAAATGAGATTGTACAGCAATTAAAATTTTGATTTCTTTTAAATTGATATGAATACAACAGCTTGTTTACACATACAACACCCCTTTTATTGACTGGTTGATATAAATGAATACAATATTCATTAGAGAGTCACGTCGGCTCGGGTGACATAGACATCTTCAGGGTGACATTTGGCTAAGTCACCCTCTGATGAATGTCATATTAATATATTTGTCGCATTACATCTTAACTGCTTCCTGAAGGTATATGTTTATTTAAATAACCTGAACAGTTGGAACACTGGAATTTGTTCTTTAAGTTTTAAATGGTTTTTGTATCTGTTTAATTGAAAGCGAATACGAATTGTTATATATAACATTATACTCTCTGTCATCTGAAATATCAGTGACACAACTTATTGCTACATTATCATTGACTGGGTAATAGTTTTAATCATGTAAAGGTCGGTGATTTGTTATATTGACTCGGAGTTACTATTTTTAGAAACAATAGGCAATATTCTCGTTAAGACGTCACTTCGATTGAAACCTCACAATGTTCTCTACCAAATACGGTGTTTTTCTCATTGCAAATTTATTCCATCATGTTTAATAATAAACACAGCATAACCTCCTTTCTAATTTAGCAATAAAGAACTTGAATTTTGGTAAATATGTGGTTACATGGACCTCAAAAGTTTTACTGACCTGGACTTCGTCTTGGTCAATATCGCTTCCTCTCATGTTCATAAAACCACATCTTCATCTCATGGAAAATCCATGACTAATAAATGTGATAAGTGGCTATCAAGCCGGTCTGATGACAACACAAGTCTAAAAAAAACTGCTTACCCGTTGCTTGTATGGCTTTCACTATCAAACTATCAGTTTGAAATATACACGTTAAATTATAAATAAGTGTTTTAAGTAAGATGTTACCTGTTTCAGAATAATATTTGAAAACATCTTCTGATATTTCCGTAACGTTCCAGCATGCGAAAAATCGAGTTATTTTCTCAAAGATATTGATAAACTGCACCGCCCTAGAAAATAAAAAAATACAGGGGTGTCATAATTTCCCGCTTCTATATTTGACACAACTTAACAAATATGAACTAATGGAGGCGATGCTTACTGCATTATTTATTGATACACAATTATTAATAAAACGTGGAAAATAAATGATTTAATTTAACATTCAGATTACTAGATTTAAGTCACCTGACATTTATGTTTGATTGACAAATTGTTTAATTTTGATTTTCTACATGGTTTCTTTCTGAAAACAAATTCGTGATACAGATTATCGTAGTTGTTATCTCAATTTCAACATACATGTCTTCTGATGAGCCCAAATTGATATTTTTGTTTGAGAGTTGTCATAAAAATGAAAATCATCATATTTTAGTTCTACTACAAAGCACACAATGAAGTCTTTTCATTATTTAATTAAAGCAAATAATAATACTATACTGTAGTAGATACGTTGATCCGACTTGGTCTATGCAGAAGAAATCCAATGTCCTTAAACCTGGCATGTCTACTGTAATTCCTCGTACAATTGTTTCGTTGACAAAAGTCCATTTCCCACGATCACTGGTAACCCATTCGCCTTTAAGCTGACTGGGGTATTGGCATTCTGGAGCTGCTCCAAACACAAATTATATCATTTATTGTAATTAAAAAATAGAATTTTCAAAATGACAATGGAGAGGATATTTAAACTACAACATTCTTATCAACATCAATGCCATTTAATTGATAGACAGTTTCGCTATGCCTAACGCACATGTTACCCACTGTTCTGCCAGAAGCCGTGACCACATCTTAAGGTCACGCACGTAGTGTACCGTAGTTGACTGTAGTAGACAGTAGGTGACCTTAGTTAAACGTATTAAACGTAGTTAGACGTAGTTATAAACGTAGTTTGAACTTCAAGAAACCCATTATTTGACTATGGTTAGCCCATAAATTTCCAACATGTTCAAAATATCTCTACGGTGAGATTGGATGCCAAGTCCCTACTGTGACCGTAGTTTGAACGTAGTTGACCCTAGTTGACCGTAATTGAACCAACTTGACCGTAGTGTTTACCGTACATGATCGTAGTAACATGGCACTACGGTTAAACACCACGGTCAAGTAGGGTCAAATAGGGACAACTACTAAGATTGGACTACGTTTTGAAGTACGTTCACAGTACGAGTGTATGAGATAAGGTTAGGGTTAGATAAGGTCACCTACGGTCTACTACAGTCAACTACAGTCATCCCCCACTACGGTCAACTACGTGCGTGACCGTAAGGTGTGACCGCGGCTTTACGAATACGCGTTGCAAGAACGTTCTGTTTTGTGTGGCCGGAAAAAAATACTTCCCGTCAAAGGGTGGGTACTATTGTGTTTATACCTGTAAGTTTATTACAACCTTTTTTTTATCCAGAACAAAGTGAATGTGATGCAGCGAAAAAAAGTGTTCATTATTTTATGGCGACGACGACCTTTTTGACAATTAGATACTTCTATCTCTTATTTGCTTTCCGCACAAGAAACAAAGAACGACATATAGAATATGTGTTACAACGACTGTCGGCTTAATCATACATTATGTCTTTCATGAGGTCTAGAATATTTAACAGCGCCTGACGCCAAATGTGTTGATCGGCACTAAATGAACTCCTGGCGACTCGGGTATTCTTTGTTCGTCCTTTAAACAGGGTTATTTATTAACGTTCCGCGTACTATTACCAAAACTGTAACGATACATTAAAAACTTCTTCTATAATTGCTTTGATCAATCACTTTTGAAAAAAAAACTATGCATGTACCCTGAGGAGCTTTCCACGGCTGAAATAAACAACAAGAACTATCAACAACAGTGTTTTAATTCCAAGCCGCGTTGTCACCGATAGCCATCTGACCTAAGTCCGAGATTCCACTGGCCCTGACACAAGATTTAGACATTTTGACAGACACATGTCTGGTGTGGGGCCAGAGTGCACTACTATATGAAAATGTGGAATTATCCGACACCGTTGAGATTCGGAGAGTTTTGAGGTGCTGACAACTCAGTGTATAGTTAGTGTTATTGGCAGTACGTATATTCATAAGCCAGGTATGATATTTCGTTTTGTTGCTTCATTTCTATAAGAAGATGTTATCTTTGAATGTCGTATGTCGAGCAGCTCAGCAACCGTTACCTTAAAATGCCTTCCTACAGTTTTCTTTATCTTAGGGTATACTTGTCAATGTATTCATGATCATTATAACGTTATAAGATAAAAAGGCGACATACACAATGTATAAAATTATACACTCACCGATCTGCTGAAAGAGGATCCCTAGTATCAGGAGCGGAACGCAATACATCAAATCCATTTTAGAAAGTAATTATAAATGTTAAAGAATTAAGTTAAATAGTGCGCGTTGGAAACACGATACAAAGATTTATGTATAAAAAAATGATACCAGGAAGAACATGAGTGAAACAACTAAACGATTTGTTTGGTTATGTCCGGTCACGAACTTGAAAGTTTAACAATGCTTCCATTGTTTCCTTGTATTAACGACAGGTTCAGCTATAAAGAAACCGAAAACCAACCTTTTAAAAATGTTTTACCATTTCATGAAGGTGAACATAATATATTTCATAACGTGTACAGTTTTATAGCACAATATCTCAGTTTCCATTTCCTATTCATTTGTGTGTGTGTGAACTCGTGCATTTTGATCATATAGTCTTTTTTACACCAAAAAAATGCTGCATACGAGCACTTAAATTACATCCAGTCACAGTGTGAAATAAAACGAAACGCACTAAACCAACATCCAACCTAAACAATCAAGTTATTGTATTCAGTAAGGTTTCATATTGCAACTATTTTTTTATAATGCTAAAAGATTTGGTAATTATGTTTCATTACTCCTAGCGTAGAGCAACCGTCGTTTATTTGGTTAAATGCTTTGTGACGAAGTTTAACAACACATTTCAAAAAACAATACACAATTTCATGTAATTTTAGCGTAGTATCAACACAAGGTCAAAATAGATAAATGCGTCAACAGGCAAGAACGAATACATATACCACAGCGTCGACAACTAAATACACTGTTATAAAACGCAGAAAGATCTTTACAATTCCTAATTCGCTTGAGGGACTTAATAATACCTATCCTGCAGGTCGGGGACCGGGAAAAGAATACGCCTGCTATTTCCAACGTCATGTATCGTAAGAGGCGACCAATGTGGGTACTACCTGCAAAATTGGGGATTTGCTTTTGTGCCCTCTACTTTGGTACACAAAACCGACCGAAATAAATCTGCTGCACCCATTGCAATACTTGGGATATTTATATTTCCTTCTACTTCTAACTATTTTTTTACTTCCTAGAGCCTTGCTTGGCAACACCTCACTTTTGGCTTTAATGGTGAACGATATCACAGGTGAGGAAGGCATTTGGTTCTGTCCCCAAGCCGTGACGTACCAAAGTCCTTAATAATGGTAGTTGTTTTTCCCAGCTTAACGTTCAGCATTTAGGGGAATGACAATAACTTGTTTACCCGTTGACAGTATAATGTGACCGGGCGGAATGCTTTGCTGGTTGCCGCCTGTATGGTATTTCAGTGCGATATAGTACTATAAAGTCGGCATCAGATCCGCGCTATCACAAGGAGGCACATACACCAACATATCTTACCTCCGGCACACATACACGCATACACAACACACATGAAGGCGCGTCCTTAAATGTCCTTAGCCGTTAATAGGACGTTAAGCAAAATAAAACCAAACTAAATCAATCACCTGTAAAATCAAGTACAGATTACCCTTCTTCGGTACAAGATCAACTTGACAAATGTACTTTATAAACGGGGAGACTCATGTGTGACTTAATTACACCCGTTTGTTATCTGTTTGGATCAGACAATACCATTATTGTCCCCTGCTATGCTTAAGTGCTGATATTATAAGGCTGACGCGCAAGTCGCACATTAATGTACTCAGTTCAACAACAACAAAAAACGCAGGTCAACAAATATTTAGGACATAGTTTACAAGTCTCAGATGGATCTCCCTTCTTGACAAAAATCGCATGATTTAACAATATACTTCCCCCATAGTTGCAAATGATGCAAATAATGCACTTACACACTAACTTTAAGTAAAATAAGAAATGAAAAAGGACCGCAGGTATCACCTTGGCGTACACACATACAAGTGCCAGTCAAACGGGGGCCAAGGAGGCAACGTTTGATAACCGATTAAAAAAAAGAAACAGGTTACATGTAAACACATGAACATATGTCAACAAACGCCTTTGTGGGGTTTTATTATAATCCGTCAAGTATTCATTTCATGAGGAAACGTCCAAAAAACATTTGGCTGAAGAGAATTAGGAAGAGGAATTTTGTTTGTAACTGTCGAGGGTATTTACCGTTAGCAAGTTACATGTACTTACCGTCTGTCCTTTAATGTACAATACATGTATCAAATCGTATAATGTTAATATTTAGATTAAAGTACTTTCATCTTCAACACAAAACAATTGTGCATAGTGGAGGTCATTGTCCACGTTTAAAAGTCATGTAGTATCAAATTGCAAGATATATACAAGGCTTCTTTGTTGCTCGTATATATGCCTCTGTAGTTAATGTAACGGGAAGTTCCAGAATACCTTTCACTTCCATGTCAAATTATTCCCAAATAAATCACCGTCATTTGGTTTAAAAATAAAGCCTAAAAGAACCATGTAAGGCACATGCTATTGTGTTTAATGAAAACGCAAATTCAGCACACTGTTAATTCACAGGGGTAAATCTAAATCAGAAGTCGATAAATAAAGGTAAACAATAGGAACCGAGAAGTTCCGAAATGTTAAACGTTTCCTGCAAGGAACTGTTCGGGAGTTGTTCGTCTTATCATAGACAAGACATATTTATCCTCCCGCACTTCAGAGGTACATTCCAATTTAGCAAGGAAAACCATAACCCTGGACTGGTCTGACTGGTCAACAACGATCTACGCCATAATGAATAAGTCTCAAAACCAATCAAACGATTTTAATAAATAAAATATGCATGACAAAATTTCCTAGTTTGGTTCGAGTTGAAAATTAGATTTTTCAAATTTGTAGGTTAATAGAAGTCAACAGGATCCTTACAAGCCGCACAATTTGTGGTTGAAAACGAAGGAAAGGATTAGAACGACATTATTATTTTTAATATACTGTGTGTTTCTCTGTTCAAGGGCAATTACATTTAACATTTTACACATCGTCTGTTTTTCACAATAAGTAACAAAATCGGGTAACATTAAAGAGCAGTTGTAATACTAATCAATTGTGCATAGGGAGGCCTTTGTTCGCACTGAAAACCTGGTAAGTTATCATATAAAGTTTCCTGAACTATGCAATGCTGTTTTATCGCGCAATCGTTTTGTACTTACTGAGGCGAGAATTGCTAAAACAATGCCCTTTTATTTCTGTCAAATCACTCTCATATCGAACACGGACATTGTTTTAGCAATAGAATTTATAAGTAGCATGTACAGTATGAGTATGTAAATTGTAAAATTGAAGGAATGTACCCCTTAGTCATATACAAGGAAACAGTCTCAACTTTGAGTCGATTAAGAAAAGGAACAGGAATTATGGAGCCCAGAAGGGTAAACGTTTCAAACACTACAGAAGGACCAATCTCACTGTCTCCCTCCCACATCTATGAAGTATAAAGGTCACTTAATTTATTTGCAATGATAAAAATGATTTAAATATAAAAGATGTGAATAAATATCTAACCATGATTGTCACATATCATCTCAGGGTAAATAGCATATGATTTTATCTGCAAAAGCTTGCACCTATGCATGAATTCCTGATAATTAAAACAAAGCCTTATAGATGTAAGACATGCGGCATTAAGGGCTATTTTCGGCCTCATAAAAACATCATGTTGATTTATTGGGGGTATCTTTCCTGGTGAAGATTTTTTCAAACCCCCAAACGCCTCCGGGGTTTGATCTGTAAACACTTTGTCCACTTCCGGTGCTTCCCCATGCAAAAAAAGCCTTCTGGGAAATGAGGCCGCATACTGTCTGCAAAAATATGATAGTTAACTCTATGGTATTCGTATTTATTACATTTTACCAGTGAAATATCATGAATTATCCATTTCATAAGAACATATCTCTAATGCAGTTACGATATACGAAATATTATATCTTCACATATGACGATGTCACTCTTAGTATTGTCCAATCTGAACAGTTCACTCTATTCTCTGCGTAGATTATCAGTTTCAAGTTTACGTGAAGTTACGGCAGAATAAGTGGTTGTGTTGTCTACCTTTGCAGTATACATTATTATTTTTACAAAACTACACAATTAATATCATTTTTGTCTGGAAATTTTACCAGGTAATAGCAGCAAACGGCAGAATTAAAGTGAAACCCTTTCAAAATGACGCTCTGTAGTGTTGTCAAGCGTGACGTCATCAGAACTTAGAACTTAGCGTAAAAAAAAATGTGCTACACATTCCCGCACTTTTCTGATGTAGCAATATTTGCGTCAGGTGAAGTGAAAAAAATGTAAGAAATAGAACATTTAATCGTTCAAAACGATATATTTATTTCAATTGTATAAAACGAATATGTGATAACAAAAAAAACCAGCATTGTGACAAAATGTGTCTTTGTAGCAGTCTCGAGAGAAGTAATAACTATTTTTCAAAGGAGGCTACAATTGACGCTCTAATCAAGAAGACGGGTGCTATTTTATCAAGATACACTCCCAAAGAAATATTTGTAAAAATCGCTGCGATTTTGACAAAAAAGTATAAATGTATTTTTTATGCAAATCATGTTATGTCCCTTCTCTCTCAGAAGATGACGTTACGAAATGTTTCAGAAGATGATTAAATCAGCAATTGATAGACATATTTCAAAAAGCATCCGAGAAACAAAGAAAAAACAGAATCCTCTAGATTACCAAGCTTTACAGGCTATAAAACGGAAACACAGGAGCTGGCAAAGATATCTTGAAACAAGGAAAATAGAGAAATACAACAAATATGTGAAAGCCAGAAACAAAGTAAAAACTTTTGTAAGAAAATGCAAAAGAAGTATCGAAAAGGATATTGCGAAAGAGGTTAAGACTAACCCCAAACTGATCAGGATAAGGCTAACGTATTAGCAGACTATTTCTCAAGTGCTTTCACAGTCGAACCACAAGGTTGTATCCCAGTACTGAAAGATCTTACCATAGAGAGGACATTCATAACTACTGAAATATCAGTTGCTGAAGGTTATTGATGAGTGGACAGAAGTTATCGACCAAGGAGGATCAATCCAAATAGTATACTTGGACTTCATGAAAGCATTTGACTCAGTCCCACATCTATGCCTCATCAGCAAATTAAAATCATACGAATCTCACCAGAAATTATTAAATGAGTGCAAAGTTTCATAACTAACCGGAAAGAGCCAGTATCGGTAAACGGAGAAATGTCAAAATGGATGGAGGTAGCAAGTGGCATCCCCCAGGACTCTCTTTGTAATTTATACCAATGACCTTCCGGAATCTATTAAAGCAACAACGTACTTGTTTGCAGATGATACTAATATTTACAATTATAACGATAATATAAATCTACAGTATGATCTAGATCAAATCCAAAAATGGTCAGATCAATGGCTTCTGAAATTCCATCCGGACAAATGCAACGTTTTGCAAATAAGAAAGAAGGCAAATAACAGGGCTCTACATTTATATAAAGACATAATAAACGGAATAGAACATAACAAAAGAAAAGGATCTTGGAATTATAACTGACCACAACCTTAATTTTAACGAACATATTCATGATGCGATCAACAAAGCAAATACAATAATGGGAATCATCCGAAGAACTTATACGTATTTAGATGATACAACATTCTGTCTTCTATATAAAGCACTTGTAAGGAACATCTGGAATATGGGGCATGCGTATGGAAATAAAAATTTACAAACATAAATAAATGAAATAGAAAATGAACAGAGAAGAGCAACGTAACAAACACCGGGAATAAAAGATCTAAGCATTGAAAACAGACTGCGGATTCTGAAATAACCTACACTGAAACATAGAACGTTGAGAGGAGATATGATTTAAGTATATAAATTAACACATGGACGATATGATCGAGTTTTCACAGAAGGATTTTTAATTCCAAATAATAACAAAAGAACAAGAGGACACAGCCTGACACTAATAAAACGAAGGAGTAGACTAAACTTGAGGAAATATTCTTTCAGTGAGCGTATTGTTAATCATTGGAACTTCCTTTCAGATGCCGTGGTTACGTCACCAACAGTCAAAACATTTGAATCTCGATTGGATCAACACTGGGGACTACCTGAATGTTTTTTTAACCATGAGATAGATAACAATGAACTTATTCATATTCGGGACGTCATCATATACACTGATGTTAAACTTTGTGATCTGGATATATAGGAATTATGCCTGGGTCCAGTATTATTATTATTCTCATTACCAAATCGTTGACATTTAAACGTGCGGTTAAAAATGTACATTTGCGGGCTGTGGGACAATTATTGAGGGAAAATAGTGCAAAGTGTAAGGACATGAGCGTGAAAGTAATATTTTGAACGGCAAAATTAATGCCATTAACAATTTATATACATTCTCTTTACTTATAATTATATACATTCAAGTATGTTGTATCCGTTACCTCGATCCTGGCTGTTAGACCGTCAGTAATTATTTTCATAAACAAAATTGGTGTCCAGCAGCTTCGTTGCATTTTCTTGTTTCAATGCGCATGCGTAGATGCCCTACTATAACAACAAAATTGCGTTGTTATTCAGAAATAGGCAAAATATGGTGTTCTTGGACAGTGAGCTGCAGAAATGAAAGCCTTCGAATATGACAAACAAACAATGCTTTCTACGAATGTTTAAGTATGTCAAATATTTATGTGTTTGGTTCATCCTGAAGCTTTCAAAACTTTAAAAGTATCTAATTAATTTGCTTTAGAATGGTAAATGTTCAACATGAATAACACAACAGACGCTCTTCACGCATTTTATTGTGAAATATGCTAGTTTATACCTCTTGTCGTTATGTCATATCTCCTATACCAGTTGTCTGATCAATTTGAAATTTCGTATTTGCATACTGTATTTATTCCAGATTACGTATAACTATTTGTTAATCCCTGATGAGGCAAGAAATGACCCTTAACGCTCCTAGTCCTTTGTTGAATATCTTATTAGACAGAAACTTCATAAGTAGGGGAAGTTTTAATATTGCTACAGGGGAAAAAAATTAGTGATTTTTTTTTGTCATTATGTTTTGAAGTGAGGTGACCAATAGTGTCACACTGTTGTTATATACAAAGACATGAAAATCGGTATCTTAGTTTTTAGTTTTTAACGATATTTTCTTTAATTAATGACAAAACAGTATCGGGTTACAAAAAAATAAATGATAAAAGAATAGGACAAATATGTGATCCCCTTTTTTAATGTGCATTGTATGGGTTTATTTAAAAGGGTGCGTCAAGAATTAGAATGCTCTACGATGGGAAAGAAGAAATTGCCTACTTGTCCGGGCCGGTTATCTATTCCGAACCAACTTTCACTCTTCATCATATTTCGCCCTTCGTGAAACATTAATCTCAGGGATTTTCCCTATACAAGGGTTATAAGTATTCAAAATTACAATTCATAAAAAATACAATAAGCAAATGTAAAGAATATATTTTATTGATCACAGATACTTTTATAACAAACATTTATGTAATAATTAACAATCATGATGATCTAAATTAAATACATTCACTGACTATATAGATATGTTATCACTCCATTTAAAGTGATGCTATTATTTGCATAAACAACATCACATACATCGTTACAGTGTAAATGTGTATAGTGCTTCAGGAAACATCCAAACCGTCTAATAAACGTATCAGTTTTCATTACAAACTACGGAATTAAGGAATTTCCTCTCCGCATTAACTCCTCTTGTCGCCGATCTAAATCATTATCACGATTTCTTAACCATTTGTCACATAACAATTTATTTCCAATGACTCTGATGGTGTGATAGCAAATTTCTCGTCTGATTAAATCGGTCACATTGTATTGGAAATCGGGTGTTCTTAATAACAAGTCTACAAACTATGATCAGAAATCACCAATAGTCCTCAATGAATTATAAGAAACTCGAACTGTTGAAAAGCACGTCTAGAATGCATACTGTATATAATGTACATCTATTGCCCTTGTGGTAGGGAATCCCGATTCTTTGTTTCTCCGAGATCAATCAAGTTTTACGATAACAAAGCTTAACGCTTAAAGTTAAACGTGAATCGAGGAGAAACAAAAAATTGTGTTTCCCTACAACAAGGGCGTTAGTTATTTTTTTGATATTCCGAAATGATAAAAATTCCAAAAATGATGAAATGGACACACATTTGTTGTCGTTTGCTTCAGTCATTCGGAACTCTATTGCAGTGAGTCTTACGCATTTTGTCTAGAGAGACTCCGACTAAGGAAAATATGATCTCGGAAACTCGAGCGCGTGAGGGTGACATACTGTGTTATTGCCCTGCCATGTGATCAATATCATCCAATCAGATACGCTATCATGAAGATGAGGTATGGTAATAACATGTGTAACTAAAAACGAAATTCCTGAACAGTTATCACTAAAGCTAGTACAATTAAACTGTATCAAACAAGCATTACCTAAAATTGCAAAACTTAGTGTTGAACTGTACAATATCATTGCAAACAATATTTGATACCTGTAAAATCTGTCACGACTGTAATGACCAAGTATCAAATAGGATTTTGTTTACTTTCTTGTGTGGGACTTTAACGAAAGGTAAACCCATATCGCATTTATATGTCATCCTTTCAGTGGACATATATATATATGTATATAAACAAATGACAAAGTTTCTTAGTACCTCCCTAGCGCTTTCACCTCTTTAGATGTATATATATATATATATACTTACATGTATAACGTTTATTGTCACCGGAATTTATATTTATTTGCCTGCATCATTAACAACAAAGCACACATTTTATTGGGAATGACAGGCATGCATTATAGCAAGTCTGCCTCATAGAAGCTATCTAGTTGTATATATTTCGAGAAAACAACATGTTATGCATAAATTTATCAATAAACAGTATCGCACGCGTTTGAGCTGTTCACTCCTTCCCATCTATCGTCCCATTATGTCATCCACAGCATCGAAGCTGTATAATCCCCCAATACCAGGAGAGGAAGGAGGTTTAAGGGTCCTAAGGGGTTCAACCGTTCTAGTAGAGGTTGCAGGTTCATCAAGAAGAAAAGGATCCTTATAAATTGGCTCCACGCGAGGTAGAGGCAAAACACAAGGCAGGAAAGATGGATGGCTTGGTATCACGAGCGATTTCTTCGGCCGGAACAATCCAAAATGTCCGCGCTTCATGTAAAGCTCACTGCGCATGCCGAACTTCAAATTGCTTGTTTCCGCTTTAGAAATGACAATTATTGGTGACTCGGGACGATGTTTCTCTGTCGTCTTCTTTTTCTTTTTACTATACCCGCAGCAACAACAGAGGATCAGGAGGATGAGCAGCGATAGCAGAATGTACAATGGAATCAAAAGGAGCGCATACAGCCCATTATAGTTAATTGTGACCCCTGCATCGGGCCCACTAGCTGCTGTTGCTGAAGTGTAAAATGCAAAAATATCAATATTTGAAATAGACTTGAACGATTTTCTGTTTATTTTCATTTTTAGATGAAGCAATAATGTTTCGACAATGGTAATTCTGTGAATTAATTAACTTGAGAACTTGTTGCTCAAGCAAAGAATACAATTATCAATAGTTAAAAATGAAAGAGAAAGATTTTAATTATGTTCTGATTAATTTGATATTGAAGTTTCGAAATATCTTTTTGACTATGGTAAATCTGTGAATTAATTAACTTGATAACAGTTAAAATTTATGATACATGTATAGCTGTTGCATTTATATGTACCTGTCCGTATGCTTTATTAGTATGCGTGTATTTTGTAAATAAATGTAAATCTGCAAACTTGTACTACAAATTACTTAAAATATATTGTAACATGCATGTAAGTTATAATAAGTCCGAATCAATAATATGTTAATACAATATAAAAGCGAACTTACGTCCTACTGCAATACAGCTCTCTGTAAATAGAAAGTAAGAGACAAAAGTCAAAATTCTTAATTGAACAGGTTTGCAAAGAGTAACAGTATCGTCGTTGATTCAAGTTTTATCCAAATTTGGGCTTGAGCATCTTTAGGCAAAGGAGATTCAATTTTGTATAAACAGAGTGTGTAGCCCCTTTGGGCGCAGAGGGGCGGGGCCCAATAGGGAGAATAGAATTTTAAGTCTATTTGCAGGGATTTTATCCAAATTTGACTTGGAGCATTCTTAGGTAAAGGGGACTAAATTTTGTATAAACAGAGTGGCCACTCTGAGTGCAGAGGGGCAGGGCCTGGAAAGGGAATTTGAGGTTTAAGTCTTCAAATTCAAAATTTGGCCTTGAGCATCCGTTTCATAGCGGACTTAATTTTAGGTGTGGCCCGTCTGGGTGCAGCAGGGCGGGACCCAATAGAGGAAATCGATGTTTACATCTTTAAAATCCTATGTCTTATGTACTATTGGGGGGATTTTATAAAAATTTGGCCTGGAGCATCCTTGGGCAACTCGGACTAAATTTTGAATAAACACAATAGGGGAATTTGAGGTAGATTAAAAACATCCTTCTCCTCCTGTACTACTAATGGGGTTTTAACAAAATTTGGTATAGAGAATCCTTGGGTAAAGGAACTCATTTGTATTTTGTATAAACGGAGGGTGTAGCCCCGTCCATATAAATTATTTGGCAAGGGGGATTCAATTTGCTTGAACAGAGAGTTTGGTCCCCCTGGGAGCAAAAGGGAAGGTCCAGTACAGGGAACATAGTAATAAATATTAAAAGTCCTTCTTCTTCAGTTTATTTGGAGGGATTTTATCAAACGTTTGTGTAGAGCATCCTTTGGTTAAGGGGACTCAATTTTGTATAAATAGAAGGTTACTTTTAGGGGAAATTGAGATTAATGTTTAGACTCTTCCCCCATTCATTGGGGCAGAAAGAAACGACCTAATGAGGGCATAGTGTTGCTAAGAGACAGAGTCAATATTTGGAAATAGTTGTGATATGTAATAAGAATAATTTTCCAAAGTTGCTTTATTTTCCAGATGAGCGATACTGGCCCCTGTGCCTCTTGTTTGAATATAGGATAGCTTTGTAATCGTCTGGTAGTGCAAAACATGATTTTTATTGAGTATATGAATCCGTTAGGTGACAATGTTTAAATACGTGTTCACGTGATCTTACGAGAGGGTGTTGGTACAACGATGGATAATCCATGAAATGATAATCTTTTGATAATTGTAAGAGAACTTACGAGAGGGAGTGTTTACAACAATGGTCTTGCCAGTGACGCTGTCCTGAGTACCCGGTGTCACGTGGTCTGTAGTGGCCGTACAGTACTTGGCGGTCTCAGTTGCTGTAACAACATCATCGACTCTCTGAAACGCCTGGAATAAAAGTATATTGCACGTTAACAAACATGTCTGTGCTATAATATTTTTTCACGGTGTTTGGATGGCGCAGTGGATACATTGTAGCACACTTGCGTTTCACCAAGGCGGCCGTGGTTCGATTCCCCGATCGGACGTGAAAAGTTGTGGAAGCACCTGTGCGACCACGTTGGTTTTCCCTGGGTACTTCGTTTTCCCCCCACATTAAGACCCCGCTTACATCCTGGCCAGAAAGAGTGATGAATATAAGTTGCAAATACTTATTCATATTTGTTCATCAGGCACTGCTTACAATTTGTGGGGAGGGGTTGGGGTCTATAGTTCAAGATAAAGTTATACATTAAAGTAACTCAACTTCTTTAATGTACATTGTTCTGTAACTTTCAATACGAACTCCTGAGTCTACTTCAAATACTTAGAAGGAAGGTGAAGTGAAGGTCAATCACTATCCTCGATACTGAAGGGTTTACGATCACTTTCGCTCTCTGCACGCCTGGAATATGTCACAGCAAAATTTATGACAAAAGCTCGGCGTACACCAGTTTGTGGATACAACGATAAGACTAGTGTGATCCTTTGATGTACATCAAAAGAATCTGACGGTCGCATATAATTGGATGGCTATGGAGTCGGGTGACGCTCCTCTGTAATCTTCAAAAGACAGGTATCAACCTTCGCGATCGGTCAGTGTTGTTTTTTTTACCTGAGCCCAATCAAATAATTACCCGCGTGCCTTCAATTTTGCTAAGACATATTCCAGGGGTGTACAGAGAAAAATGAGCGTAACCCCTGTAGTATCGAGGATGGTCAATCACCGACTTAAAGCCATTATGTTTAATGAGTTCCAATAAGTTGTAAAAAGTTATCAAATAAGAAATGAAACGAAACAATACATCAGAACTCAGTACGTAATTATTTGTACTGATTTTCCTACCACATTTTTTGTCTTTCCGTATTTGGTAGACAATAATTTTGTTAGTTATTTTTATTATCTTCTTAACGCACAATAACCCTTTTTAGTTATTCATTCGTGAGGAATGATTGGATGAAATTGCTTAAATATCCGTACGAAAATATTGCATACTCACAAAACAGGAAAATTGGTACGTCGGCGAAGCATCGTTATTCCAAAGTGAGAGATAGGTTGTCTGACCGGAAGTGATGTGATGTATACAGGTGTACTGTCCTGCAGCTGAAATGAGTGACATTTAATCAATCGTTTCTTTACGTAGTAATATCAAAATAATGCATGAATGATCCTACATCACAATGTTACAACTATAAAGTGTACAAAGGCATGAGAAAATTCCATATTTGTAAATATATGAACTTCAAATTATACCATATTAGGAAGGAAAACAAATAACATGGGAAAACCGTTGCGTCAACTAAACCAAAATTAGATAAAACAAGGGTAAATATGAACAAAATGAATATAAAGACAATAAGACCAGGTGTTCCGGAAGGATAAGCTTTTCTTCTTTATTAACGACAACCGTCTTATTCTAGGTGGTCAAATCCAAGTAATGTCACGCCTTCAAAACAAGTGCTTTGGTAGTGACAAACACGCAAATATAAAATATCGACCAACAATTTGAGGGCTTTGGTAATGATAACGAAACCATACGGCACACTAATGAGCATAATCAAAACATCGACCTGCATAATTATCCTACAAAGAAATAGCATATTTCGAAATAAGATATTGAATACAGAAGACAGCTACATGTACTATCTAGCTAAAAAAACATACTGGCGAGAGTTTTTTCTGTTGCACAGGGAGCATCCAAGGTAAAGTTCATTTGTGTTTGGTTTGAACACACGTCAAGGATACTGTTGGCACAAGTCTGATCAGCAATTGCTACGTCATCAAAAACTGAAAGGACGTCATCCGGGCATTTAATTGGTGCTGAGCCATCATCGACGGATCCTGAACGAAGATATTGATACATGAATGAGGTTAATATTTTGTTTATAAAATGAATACGACATCTTGTGTAATCTTCGAACTACAAATAGGTAACTTGCCAAAAAATTAGTCTATACAAGGTCAAGATTTTTTTTTTAAATTATATCAATGTTGAAGCAATTATAAACATGAAAATTGAATTATAAACGCTTAATTTGACAACTGAAAACGTCATTTTCATTTACAGCAAAACTAACATTTGCAGCCTTAGGTACAGCCATTGTATCTCAAAATCCCTATTTCGTTTTGTTTAAAAAAACAACTTTTGTTTCCTACGATATATTGTCGATACCTTTATAACACCTAAATGACACTATACACATTATGGTAGTATACATATACGTAGTATACATGTAACAAGGTTTCAATGCTGATACAGATGTTAAACTCTTTTTTTTTATGTAGCGATGTTTGTAGAAAACTGTGTAAGAAATACAAATATTCCACTATTTTAAACTTTCCTCTAAAATAAAAAGAAATAAAGAAATTGAATATATCTATTTTTACCTGTTCTTAAAAGGCACATTATTTATAATACACACGTATCTGTCAATTTTTGGTTTAAGGCTGTGCTTTTTTCGCTGTATACTGCTAAAACGCTTATAAAGGGCATATTGATTATCTGCAATCAATTAACAGAAGTTCCCACCTACCAGTTTTGACAAGTGTTATAAAAGTATGTGTTTCGTAGGGAGTAGCTCTGTTACACGCTTGTGCCATAGTGGCAATATCTTCAGCCAAGGGAAATATGAAATCTCTGACGAAGACGTCATACTCTGTAAAACAAATTAAAAAATATCACTAGTATCCATATGGATAAACGTAAAACATCTTAGTATCCGTCATTGATTAAAGATAAAAACGATTGTTCATTACGAGCCAAAAGCTTTTTGTCTTCAGAGTGAATCTACCTGAAGAAATATCCACTTAATAGATACAAAGGGAAACACTGCGTTTTATTTGTTTCTACATTAATTGCGATTGCTAAAGACTACTACCCAGTCTATCTATAAAATGGCACATGTGTTGGCTAAGTATCTCTCCTTGCACTTTGGTAACAACACAAACATCTACAAGTTGAACATTTGTGACTTTTGATTTGTGTAAAATTAAGTTAATATTACCTGAATAACATAATTGTGCCTCTTAATATTCTAACCCAGATGCCATGGTTCGCAAACAATTTGTCAGGAACTACGGTCTTATCATTACCAAATAAGGAATAAACGAAATGCAAGGTTCTTAAACATATATCAAACAACTACTTAATATCATTTCCGACATTTTGAAAGATACAACAAAAAACATATTAACGTACCTGTTCCCAAGAAATATGTAAGGACGTTTCCATTGACTTCATGAATGTCCAAACACAGAAAGAATCGAGTGATTACTCCAAATACGTTTTGAAATTCAACAGCCCTAGATAAATATTAAGAACAAGCATCCATTAGAACATACTCGTATTTCTGTGTACGGTAGCTACATGGTTTCTAGGTCATCAAAATCAAAATCTATATGCAATGCCGCTCGTTTTACTTAATTTGGTTTATTAGTGTTAACGTTTTGGGCTCTGTCCCCAGGCTTGGACATAGTAAGATCCTTAAAAAGACCCCGCTTAACGTTCGGCATTTAGGTTTTTCGCAACCACTAGTTTACCCGTTATCAGTATACCGTAATGTAACCAGATAGAATATTTCATTGGGGCAGCACTCTAAAGTCCGCATTAGATCCGCTCTATCGTAATGAGGTGCATACGTCATGATACCATGCCTTCCGCACACATACACACAAGCAAGCATGCATTGCATCGCACACATTGAGGCACGTCCTTAAATGACCTTAGCTGTCGATATGACGTTAAACAAAAGAGAACCAAACCAACACGCTCAAGACATGATATGCTGGTGTATTTGCCTCTTTGCGATAGAGCGGTTCTGAAACCATCTTCGTTGATTTTGTATTTTGCAGATAGGCTGTAATCCCTGGGCTCTATTGTCACGGGTTTATGGTTGAAATGTGAAGCTTTTTTGTGATACGTTTATTGGTATACTCGTAGACTTACTGGAAAAGATAGGTCGTGTCGGACTGGACTATACAGTTGAAGTCAAAGGTGGCCACGCCGGAGATATCCATTGGATATTTCAGAATAGATGTCCCTGATATTTGAAGGTTTCCCTTCTCGGCACTTATCCATGTTCCGTCGGTAAGGCTGGTTGGAAAGGTACATGTTCCCTCTGTAAAATATATTACATTCCTATAACTTTTCCAACACTACTGAAATAATACGCTTCATGCAGCTTTCTGACAGGTATCAGAAGATTAAATAGTGATATCTATTTTCAAATTGTGTTAAGGAAATGACTTACCTTAACCGTTCCTTGTATGATTATATCTTTAATGTCATGAACAATATCTTACAATTTTAAATTTATACTGTATACTGGGAAACTTCTCCCCCGTGAAATGATTTTTTTCTTTAATCGATTAAGTCTATATTCGCCATGTGTTAATGTCGATAGTTATACTGGAATGTTGTATACCGGGTAAATATATATATAGCTTAACGTAAATCACTTGTATAACTTGTAAGTAGATATGTCATTAAAACAAAAATTATAGGGATAATGTGTGAGGTAGCATATGACGTTACCTCAAGAACAAATCACAGGAATAAAGTGAAAGGTACAATATATCCTTAACTCCAGCACACATCACATATATTATACACTACGGTACGATATATCCTCAACTCTTACACAGATAATCTCAGATATAATGAGTCAGCTAAGACACATTATTTATTATCATTTATTATTGTTTAGCATCATTAACACAGAAGTATATGCATTATAAACTAGTAATGTTGCGTCGTTATCGAAATCAACAAGACAGTATTTCGATGACGTCAGTGATAGTGCCATCATAGTTATACGTCATTTGTTATTTGATCTAACAAAGTTAATATATTTAATCCCACGACATGCTAATTTCTTCTTCAGTGTATGTTAATAAATAACGCCAAAGCAACCGATTTAAACATCATTTCTGTGACGAAAACTCATTTCAACAGTAACTTACTATGTCAACAGTCAATACATCAGGATTTAACTCATTAAATGACGATTGTTTCCTATATAATAGGCAAGGTATCTATGGAAAATCATCATGCCTGTCATGATGTAGACTTGTCCTGTCTCTAGAGTACTGAACTATTTAGGAATATATATATACTTTATTAATTTTGATAACTTTCTTCTAGAGTTTCACACTAGAGGAAGATAACCTAACTTGAAAATACTTAAGTTTAAACAACAAAAAGAAACTTTAGGACTTGTAGTCAGACTAGTAATGATGGAGCTGGCCCCGTCTCTAGCATTCTAAACTCTTTAAAAACATGTTGCATTCTAATAATTTTTATCATTTTATTTTATTCGCGAGTTCCACACAAGGGGGTTGGGGGTGCAAGAGGCATATGCAAGTAGAAAGCAAACAGCTCGAAAACAGAAAATTATATTTAGATGAATATTTCATCTTTTAAAATATTACTTGTTTTAAGGCTAACCTGTGCTCGTCAACTATGTGTGTTATTTGGAATTTCTATTTTCCGAATATGAAAGTAATAGGTATTGTAACTGATACTTGACATAAGCAATCTGAGAAGGGCGGAGCTAATTTTGTAGATGACCTTTTTAGATTGTTAATATATTTTCGGTACTTGATTTATTTCAGTTGTATATGGATTGGACGGGCTCCACGCATGTAACATGCTCGGTGTTTAGGGCAACTAGGTACCCGAACAATGTGTCAAGATGCCTGAAGCTGGGTATAGTCCGCATAAACCTATTCCACAATGGTGCCATTCGGATATCGTATGCAGGGATATACATTAATGTAATGCATACAAGTTTGTCCTACATGTATCGCAATGCTTAATGATGTTATCAAACACCACTAAGCTTATTGTGAATAATAACAAGCTATAACTGTCGCGGACACCTTTGCAGAAAAAACACCCCAACTGCCCCCATAGACGCAAATGATGCATTAGAAATAGCTCCAATGTCATAACACCTACATGTACATGTACATACCATTTGAGCAAAATCGAACGATATCTCACTTTGACAAATCAGAAGCCATTCCATAGTGGCCTTCTTGTTCAATTTTTAATCGACAAAAAGTCATGATGTACATTGACATTAATGTTCATGTCAAATTTCAATGGTATTTGGCAAGCAGTTAAGAGAGAAAACGTTTGAATTTGTTTGGCAAATTATGATAAGAAAAAACAAGATAATACTTTATGCAGTTAAAATAATCATTTCCCAAACTCGCTTCGGCGACTTAATTAAGTTAATAAAATACCTATATAAAAGTTCTATTCATATACGTATTACAATTAACAGTCAAAAAGATTTATATAGAAAGTGGAGAGGTAGGAGAATATAAATATATAGAGGTAGTTAGGTAAGCCCTTACGTTAATTGGTTGGTTGTATAGGGTTAACATCTTATCAACAGCTAAGGTAATTTTAGGACATGCCTTCATGTGTCTTGTGTATGTGTGCTGGAGGAAGGGTATGTTGGTGAAACTGCCTCTTTGTGACAGCGCGGATCTGATGCCACATCACTTCTGGCTTTAGTGTTGAACGTTTGCCCAAGTGAGGAAAATATTGAGTTCTATCCCCAGGCCGGGACATTTCAAAGTTCTTAAAATGGTAGTTGCTAATCCCTGCTTAACGTTCAGCATTTAGGGTAATGGCAAGAACTCGTTCATCTGTTGGAAGTGTGATGTGAGCGGGCAGATTCTGTACTGGGTGCCTTCGGCATGGTATTTCAGTGAGATAGCACTATGAAGTTGGCATAAGATCCGCGCTATCACAAGGAGGCAAGTACACCAACAAACGCTATCTCCGGCACATATACACACATGCACGCTTACATAACACTTGGAGGCTGGTACTTAAATGACCTTAACTACTGGTAAAAGGAAGTTAAACAAAAACAAATCTATTAAACCTTAACCTGATGCCGACTGACTGAAATATCATGTTGAAGGTACCTAGCACAGCAGCGATTTATTTTGATCGCCTTTGTGTCTCCAAATACAGGGCACAAAAGCAAATCCAATTTCTGCAGGGACATCCCACATCTGTCGCATCGTACAATACATGCAGTTGGTAAGAGCATGTGCAAAAGAGCTTCTTTATAAAAAAAAATACACTTTACTATTTTGACATCATAAATGCCATTCAGGATTGCTAACCAGACACACAATTGAGCTTTAGTTAAACGTTCTGTTCACAGTTTCAAAACACTTATTGTATGGGTGCGAAATGTACTTAGGTACCCTGGATATTTTTAATTTAGTTTAAGACAAGGGATATAACATTACGTACAAGTAAATGGTCATGTGATATTGGAGTTACTTATTAAAGGTAAATGCAATTTTAACGAAACAAAATCTTGCGAAATATCCAGAATAAACCAGTATTTCTAATATGGTAAAAAATATAATAGATGTAAAGATTTCTGTAATGACTATTTCTTTAGATCGCGTTCAATATTGTAATGCAGCGAACACACAATTTAAAAGAAAATACATTAAAAAATACCGGGGAATTTTTTGCCGCAGTTTAATTTTCGTCGTGTTCGCCCTCCGTGACGAGTTTGAATGAATAATTACAGTGAATATAGGTAAACAAAACACTATACACTAATTTTATGTGAAAACGAAATGTACGCTAGACGAAAATTAAGTTAATGAATGAAGGGCGAAAGTTCGACTGGACGAATATTTCCTAGTATGCAGTATCTATATTAGAGAAAAACACGACATGGTTCATCGATATATGAACGTAAGAGGCACCTAAGCAATCGTCATTCGAAAATAGGTTGTAGATGCAGTATTGCTGAAATATTAGATGACACGCTTCTTCTGGGTCAATATTACTTTCTAAGATTAATATAACCATAAAAGTCGATAATTGATAAATTGCAACATATCGCTGTTTCGTCCTTCAAGGACTCAGCAGTGAGGGAACAAAAAAGGTGAAAATCCAATTAGGAAGGTGTGTAAAACCCCATTTTTATGACTTTCAAATGTTTTGGGGAAAACAGACATTTTATCAATTTTACAAACAGATATAGGAAAATAATAACAGAATCAGGTAATTCCATGGTTTACGTTCTTTTTACTAATACACAGAGAGAAAAGTCATGCTGGAGATAAAATAATATGTGTTTAAAGCAAGTTATACTTAAATCAAATTAATTGAAACTACTAGACAAAACATTTTTTCATGGGTTTTTTTGTATGAATAGTAAATCTTTCTTATTATTTCATATCAAGTAACTACTTTGGATATCTACAATATTTGATGATACATCAAATTATTTTATATGCGATTGCCCCATTGATCTCTTATGACCGAAAAGGTATTGGGTTGCGTAACAATTTCTTTATATAAGAACAATACCATCGTACCCATTTTGGCAATTTTAAATCAGTAAATGTTGTTTATTTTTTTAAATAACAACCATCATTATTAATTGCAATACTCACCTGTACAATGGATGAAAAGTCCAGTACACAAGATAAGCAGGATATGTAACATCTTTTTGAAGCCTCCCTGCCAAACGTATTTTGTTTCCAAAATTTGAAACTGTTATCAACATAGAAATACAACACGTACACGTAAAACGGTCCAAGGTTGAAACGCAGGTGATACTGAATTAATATATTGTCTTGGTAATGAGTATATTCATTTTTACACAGATAAATAAGTTCCGAACTCACAATTTGATTTTACATCTCAAACAAAAATCGAACTGCAACACCATGAAACAAAATGCTAAATACGTAAATATCGCTCATTTGTAAAACAAATAAAAAAAATCAGTATTAACTGAACAATGGTACCGGACCTATTGTGGTTTTACTGTTCGCTCAATACTTCATTGTGTGGTGAACAATTTTACTATGCAAATGTATCGAAGCCGGAGGGCGGAACACGGATTATTAAGATACGATCTAATTTCCTATCGGTCCACTTCATTTAGAGGGTGTTCCGAACCAGACATGCATCTTTTTAATGTACTGACTAAATACGCCGTTGCCGTCGCCAAAACAACAATTAATGTGTTTTAGGGACAACATGCGGACGTCGCTACCTTTAAATTTAATAATTTAATTAAAGTATCAATTTCGTCCTAAAGTTTCAATACACCTCGTTATTGTTTATTATTTGGGCTGTCATTATTGTTAACTTCAACCTTATTTAAATGCTTGATAGGTCGACTTATGAGGTTTATGGTGTTTGGTTTATCAACAATTTTGACACACATGTATTGTCCAGTATGACTTTATCGCGTCGTTTATCGTCAAACACGGAACAAATGCCTCTATTATTACAATTTATGACACACAGCAAGTTACACTGTATTCTTACTGCCCGAATGAATTTATGTTCGTTTCTTTTAGGGTGTGACCTTATATGGATTTGACACAGATTTACAAATGAAAGTGTCGGCTGTCCTGGATGAAGTAGAAAACGCTTACCCATCCGGAACGGTCTTATAGTTTCTTTGTTTTTTCTCCAATTCTCTAATCATTCTTTAACTGTAATACCTCTCGTTGATTTGATCTAGACTTTACATGGCTGATGTCGTTAATGAAGTAGGAGACGCTCACTTCTCCGGAATACCTGGTCCTAACTTGCATGTGCCTTTTTAATGATATATGATTTTGTCAATATTTTGGCCCTAGTTTGTCAATTTTGAGTCGAATGAATTACGGTTCTATGAACAATTACTTATTCCGTTGCCTTTCCCTTTTGTTATTTTGGATTGGTTAGGTTTATTTGTGTTTTACGTCCTATTAACAGCTATGGTCATTTAAGGACGTGCCAGGTTGTGTTGATAGAGGAAAACCGGAGTTCCCCGAGAAAAACATCGACCTACGGCCAGTACCTGGCGACTGATCCACGTAGGTCTTGAACCCGCGACCGAGTGGTGGAGGGCTAGTGGTAGCAGAATGTTAGATGCCTTAACCACTTAGCCACCGCGGCCCCTGCATCAAAACAATTTAAAAAATTGTTTCATAGATGTCTTAATAGAAATGTATGTATTCAGGAAATTAAAATTCCGTTACATTCGTATTGTACTTCATAACACTTTAGCATAAAAACTGAATGTTTATTTGGTTACTTGCATGGATTGATGAAGTAAAGTGACTTTGGTGCAAAGCATGTGATCTTCAAAATAAAAACAACAAAAAAAGAAATGCTCATGGATACAGTCATATAACAACATTGTCCTCCTTGCACCAAAGCACAATTGTTTTCATTCTCTTTTTGTTATCACGCTTGCTTGATTTATCATAGTTGTCTATTATTTAGTAGTATGGGACATAACAATTTCAAAGAGTATGTTTACACCATTGCTAATACTTTTTGAAGTCATAAACGACTTATAACTTTCATCACGCAACTCTGGTAGTAAATAGCTTATTACGATCACACGCAGGTTTCATTTCAGCTTCTTGTCGTCTGGCCCAAATCAAGGTAATACACAAGCAATGTTGACTTACACTGACATAACATTTTCAGAACCCTCAATTTTCAACCACATTTACCCAAATTACATTTATGTTAACGATGTTCCCTTGTCGAAATAAGTGTTAGGATTACAAATCATGATTCAGACGAAGGGTTAATCACCCTATTAAACAAACAAATACATTCATGTGACCAGCCCAATTAAAAGACCCCCTGTGTTAAAAAAACGTTAATTACACTGTATCACCATTTTAGTAATTAAATGGTATATATGTGACAATGAAATAGAAGTCAACTGTGGTTAGAGGCCACGTCTTCCCGAGAAAAGTTTCTTAAATATAGGCTTGACTCTATTGTACGCTTGGATTTTTCTTTACATGACCCGTCAGCTTTAATGTTGAGTGGTATACGCACATCATTTGAAGGTACACGTCCTACTGATAAAAAAAAACTGGAACCACACATTGGCAATGGTTTTCCCGACATGACCATAGCTTGAGATTTTTTTCAGAAAGCAAACCATACCTTGCGGGAGTTTTATGAGCAAAATACTAAAGATATGAAGATATATTCATCAACTGTGTATAAACGAAAAAACACAGTGCAGTGGACCGGGAATCCTAAAAAGAAACTTTTCTTTAACTGATAGTTTAATGTGCTTATTTTTTAGTTATGTTTTTACTCTTATAATATACAGTGCCATAATACCACTTCTTGTTCAATCTTATTTTCTATGTCGGACACATCGATATAATTATTGCATTCCACTGTTTGTATTTCTTAACATTGGTACATTCGACCTTCCTAACCTCCACCTACCTCTACGCACTCACACACATTTCCCCGCTCTATTGCATTGTCACGGTTTGAAATTAGTGGTTTATAGACATTTATCGCTGAATCGTGTTAGCAAAGTTGTTATCTTAATCGGTGTATACACCACTCACCGTTATCGGTTATTTATCTTTCTATTTGATGTTCGCTACTTGCTCTCGTCAGCACAGATTTTAGATATCTATTTTCAATTACTGTTATTTAATCATGCACCGATGAACATATGCTTACTCATGCATATATTCCCGATCATCATCCTCGTGTTAGACTGGCTACCAGTCTCTAAGTTTTCTTGAAGAAATTCCCGGCTGTATTTTACTACTATTTATCTCACCCTAGTTTCAGAACTTTAAATCAGACATCCACGTGAAAAGAATCATTAGATTTTATTTTTTCTAAGTAATTCAATATTCTAGAGATTTGGGCCAGTTTATCTTCGTGTGCGACATTTCAGCAAAATACAGCAAAATGATTCAAGATAATGCAGTCGTCCTAGCTACAACAGAATTTGTCAATTATACAGATTTACCATAGATACTACATTTATGGCAATACTACAGAGTTGTGATATTTGGTGTCCGTATCTTTGTTATAGTTACTAAAAAAAAAGTCATATCTATTTGCCATAGTTATTAAAGCTGCTACAGAACTGTCATAGTTAATGTAGATTTTCATAGTTACCTCAGATTTGCTAAAGAACAACAGATTTGTCATTTAACAATTTGTTGTAGTAACTTCAGAGTTGCTTATCATCGTAAATGAAAATTTAATTTCGCATATAAGATATTCGCAGAAGCACTGCAGATAAACATTTAAAATAAATCACTCGAATGAATAAATCATGATCAGTCATCACCTAATGGCTTCCGCACCACTAACATAATCAAGTCGATATGTCTTGTGTTCCAATTATAACAAAACGTATTCTGTTACAAGTATATATTACAAATACTTATGTGGATTTCAAATATCAACTGTTTGTAGTGTAGCAGGGCCAGCACAGAAATGAATACAGTTTTCATAATATACTATTTTGTCCGAGTCAGTTGGTAAGTATGGGTGGTTATTTTATCATGGGGTGTTTATGCATGTGTATGTAGACATACTGTAAATATAATTGTGGATATATATATATTGTTTAGTTCGCTTGTCTGCTTCTAATTGATATTTTCATAAATAGTACTTAGAGTGTTGTTTTTGTTTCGATGCATCATTAAAAGCAATGAAACGTAACACATTTCCCCGCTCGTTTTTGATTACAATTAAGACTGGAATGATTAATTGACGACATAGTTAAACATTTAGTGTATATCTGATCCATCAGCTAGAGTAAATCTATATTGAGATATATAACCCTAACACAAACTACATATATACAAAATATGTAACATATGTAAAAGTTCTAACAGCTGTAAGAATAAAAAAATGATAGTCTTTAATATATACAATACACAATACAAATCAGTATCTACAATGAGAGTACATATTGTATGTCCGCTATAGAAAGCCCCTTGATTTGGCGACATTCCTTCAGATATCGGGAAATTTTCGATGCAGTTTCAAAGTTTCGCCTTTTTCGCCTGCCGTGATAAGGGCGAATGTATCATTATAGTTATCATTAGTAATCAACATAAAATGCACAGTAATAAAATTAGAAGGGCGAAATTAACACTAGACAAATATAAATTATTATGGTGAAGGGCGAAAGTTTGGCTGGGCGAAAAGTCCCGGTATACAGTAAATACTAGGAAACTTCGCCCAGTCAATTATTCGCCCTTAGCCGGCAAACCATGTTCGCATAGAGTTGCTTTTGTCCTTGACATGCAATAACTACATGTTTTATGTTTCGTACTAATAATCGCTGTCATGATAAATTTGCCTTCACTGGGGAGGGCAAAAAAGGAGAAAATTAAACTGCAGCGAAAAATTCCCGGTATATAGTAAACCAATCTATTACATGGATATGTCATGTACGGCCGATATATTCGCATATTAGTCCTGATTGAGTACATCATTTCACAACATTAGACATATCCGTCAATTTTCTATCGAATAAGATTTAAGTTCACCATCTCTATTTCATAATCTAAACATCGTTACATTAAGGGGCAGCAAGGAGGTGCCCTTTTCTCTCAAAAGAAGACTGTCACAACACTAAAAAATGGTCCGTGCTACAAATGCATGTTAAATTTGTTGATTTAGCCACCAAATCCATACCGTCACGACATTGCCCTTAGTACACATGTTCGGGTGTTCTTAATGCTGCCGAAAACATACTTCCTTCGGGTTCTCCAAAACCCGTTATAAGTGTACTTAAGATGTAAATACTTCAATAAAAATCATGATATAAGAAATCTGATATCTGATAAAAATATATCCTAGATTGCATTGCATAAATTTCAAGTATCAACAAACCAATAGGTTGTAACATCATGCAGTACTTCGCCTCGTTTAACATGTTCCCCGACCGTCCATCTGGATTCT